ACTCCTGTATTCATGTCATGTCAATCCAACCATGTCAAATTTACCAATTATGATGACTGGACACACATTCATGCATAACACCACATACCTGAGCGTATTGACTATTGCTGGAATGATGCCACATTCAGCTGCTTTTACTGGGTTATCACGATGAATATTCCAATACATGGCTTGGAGATTTTTGATAAAACCAACAGCAACTGAACCATCGGATGATTCCAGTCGTGAAACAAATCCTAATACCACGATGCCAAACTAATGATATTGTTCAATGTCAAGTATACAATCAACATGACATGACACTATCCAAACTGATCCAATATTGTATCATTGTAAACATACATTTTCATCGTCAATACCATGACAAACTTGCAAGAACAGGTCAATTGCCAATCTGAGCACTTCTTGATTGGACTCGTGAACAATAATCTCAACCATTGGCTTGATGTCAAATCCATCCTCTTGACTCCAGCGGTTATATTTGTACAGCTTTTTACATGTTTTTATCGCCTATATGCATATTGACACTAAGTGAGTTGAATGTCAACCATTTGATCAATATCAATCATGACTTGCCATCATTTTGACCTGACGGTTTGATGATTGCATGAGCTGTGCAATTTGGTTGCTTAGTCGATGTGATACTTTGAACTCATTATTACTGTACATCATTCTCAAAAACACTGTAGCAAACTCCATTATTTTGATCTACACAGCACATGTTGATTATTTTAGTCATGAACAACAATCCATTACTGTTACAATATATGAATACCTGTAAACTGGGTCGATTATACTCCAAATACTTGACTGTGATATCTTCCAGTCCAATACTCTGTAAGCGAGGCGCTACATTTATATATCATGCCATTTCAAACCAACACAAAGTCAGCAACAGTTTGAACTCATCAATAATACAATGACTACTAAACTTACTGTAATTCTGTTTTCTCAACTTCATTATCAATACAAGCAGTCTACCCCATATTTCATCAGCCTTGTGTAGTTGAGCATCCGTTGTTAATAGTTTTAAATCATCCAGGAGTAGAAACAACTCTTTCATGTTATCATCCAACTTCATGTTTGATAAAATTAGTAAAGTTGAATTTTGATCAAGTTTTGATGGCAATTTCATTCATGCGAATGTCCAACAATTGCCAAGAATTGTTCATGTTTGGATTGTTGTAAAACACATAAACGAGTTGTTCTATTTTAGTATTGTTTTGATCAGTTTTTTGTAACAAAATTGGATTGTTATCAAACATGCATTTAGAAATACTGTAAATTAATATTCTGAATGTGATCGTTGTGGATTTGGTTCAATAAACAAACTAGTTTACTATAACACATGGTAATGGATTACTAAACATCATCATAAATCAGATGGACTGGACTGGAATGAAATGAGATCAATGACAATCGCATTACAAACAGTGTGTGGTGATTAAATCATCGAGTATTTCCAAATACAAACTTGAATGAAAAGTCTTGCCACAATACTGATCAACTGTATTACTGTTTACACTGTGGTATTATTGATGTATTGGAATATTTGGTGATCAGATACACAATGATTGTTGGAATATCCAGACGGATACTCCTAAGTAGTAATCTGTGACAAAGCTAATTCTAATAGCGCACACTTTGAATCTCCAAATTAAACCCTTCATCACTACCAATCCATATGCTCCAAACTCCATTATCCTCATCTCTAGGATTCGAGTCCCCAGTAACGGGTAAATGGTATCATTATTAAATTGACTAATTACAGAAATCAATACTATCAACTACTTTTCGTTTACAACCGCTAACTATCAAACGTGTTATTTGTTCGTATCACAAGACAAACAATCAACTACTATTGGAGCCAAGATATTTTCTTATCAATAAATAACTCTTCAACTATTTCAACCATCTAATTAACTTATCACCCCTCTTCACTACTCTTGAAAGACCAAGTCTGTTGATCTTGGATTAAAGTGCAAACTTCCATTACACTTTTGATTTGTTCTCTTCTGATAACTACTAACAGTATCAGACTATACTCTACTTTATACATTTAAATTTAAATTTATACAAATCACGAAGCTCTAAAAATTCTGACAGTATACATGGAATATTGATATCAGTTTCTTGACTGTCAATTACTGCTAAATGTGTCCATAGTTGTCACACACTGTTTATTCGAGATGTGCAATCCTGGATAAAAGACTTGGCGTACAATAGTGGATGACCTGAAATGATTGGTTGCTTACCGTGCCAGATTCATGCTCTGACTCGAATGAACACAATTGATGAGATTCACCCATAATCACTGCTATACTTTGTTCAAGATTGTAAAAATGAATCAATGTCATTAAAACTGAAACTGAATAAATGGTACTTGAAAGTTGCAATGATTTGGTTGATTTTTGTGCAGTACATGTCAACATCTAGTCAGCGTTCATTTATTGCAATCAATAACTTGCTGAATTCGATAAAATCAATACTTGAACTCATGTTTTACACCTTCTACATTTATGACTGATAAATAGTAAAATGTAAATACTAGCCAGGTTTTTAAAACTTGATTCTTGCACGAGCCGACTCGTCCAACTTTCCACCCCATTCTGACACCAATGATTCAAGCTCATCATAGCTTGCAATGCGTTTGTTGTAGCGCTGTTCAATGACCTTTCCTGCCAAATCCGTTTGATCATGATTGGTACCACAGAATATCTGTTTAATCGATGTTTTCGATGCAGAATTCATGTCAATGACCATAGAACAACCTGGATGACCAGAGAGTGAACCATAAAAACCTAGAGAATTTGATGCAGAAACAAAATACGTTGAATCTGGAACAGAACTAATGCTAAACATCAGTATTTCTGTAGACAAAACACAATCATGACAAGAATTGAAAATCCAGAACAACAGGATGTGACTATTGTACACAACTTGCATCAAAACCTTGTTTGAAGACTTGTTTCAAAACTGGATGTAATGTATTTTGGGTCGACGGAAATGAATGTTCAAAATCGTTGACCAATTGCATGAAAACAGGAATCCCAATCAAAATCAGAATTGAAATTGGACACATTAAAGTCATTTGTCATCATATCCCATGGCCAGATACCAGTATTCAAAATAGTAAATAGTCGGTGGTTATTGAAAATAATCAATATTTGCCAAAATCCCAGCAATACAATCATGATAACTTACTGGCTACCTCAAATCAGTAAATCGTTTGAAAATAATACCACAATAACTATCAAACATACTTTGAATGTAATTGATGATTCACCAACAATACCACTGTATGCGGTAGATTTGGAATATCAGATACAACAAGTCAAGTGTCGACATGGCAAACAATGAACTGGATGTGTTTTTCCAGCATTTGCTTGACCCAAGAAATGGTGCTGGGTTCCATCAAGATTACGGATTCATAGTATGATATATTTAACATATTTGGCGTCTACATCAGCACTCATTACCATTTGATACAATTTCTGCTGTAATGTGTGCTGTTTTCCCATCACTTTACCAAGAACATCTGAATCGCTAAATACATGATGAGTCATTCGGTCTACATTGATCTGAGCGTCCGTTACAGTGTGATGATGACTTTTGATCAAAGTACTAAGCCAGAATGTAAAATATACATACAATACAATGTATCGTAGTAACTCTTGTTCAGCAACTCATTGATTCAATGATAAAGTGGCTTGTATTGATTTTGAATGATACTTTTCATCAAGGAATTGAATGTTTGATTTCAAGAGTTTGTTGGGATCCACTTTGATTGGGTTGTCCGACTTGAGCATATATCGAGGTATGATTTCATGAGTAATAGGTTCAATATCATTGCACACATAGTGGGTTGCTACTTTCACAAGATGGTTGGTTAGATTTCGTTCAACAACATGATACTTTTGACCGTTTTTAGGTTTGATGAAGACCGAGTTCACGACCAAAGTTTGTAGATACTTGGATCTTAAGGATGTGCTTGTGATGTGTAATGTCATTGAAGTGGTTTTGAATAAACCCAAGAAAATACATTTTGGAATGGTATCAACAAACAATTGGATTGGATTTATTTTCTATTATTATTTAAACTCGTTGAAAATGTTGGAAACCTGTTGGAAACCTGTTACAAAGTAATTCTGATTTGGAAGAAAATAGTGGTTCAATTGGCTCATACAGAGTCCATTACGAGACGCTCGGATTGAGTTTTGTCGTTGATTTATTGTTGCCATTAGGGAAACCCCAATAACAATATCATGAAAATGATTGGATCAACGGTGAACATTGATGTTAAACTCGTCAAAGTCAAACTGCGGTTTACAAAACGTATCCAAGGATTCAGGAGTCGAGTTGAAGCAACAAAGGCGTACAAGCAACTGATTCAACTACAAATAGAGCATTGGAACCAAGTAGGCAAGCTAAAGCGACAGTTTAATAGACATATCAACAAACATCCTTTCCACCCAAAATACAAAACAATACAATGCAAGACACATGCTCACCAATGTGGAAGAGTTGATGCAAAATATACCGAAGAAATCACCAATCAAAACATTGGATATTGGCTTGATATTCAATTTGGGTATATGCTGCAAAATGTAGATACTGAAAAAACAATTCAATTTAATATTTCAGATAATACATTATTGTTTAATGGTAACAATCAATCCATGATTAATATGGATATTGACATTGTTTTGGATCTGATTGACGAAAATAATATTATTAAACGCATGAAATGTCATAATCCAAAGTATATTGTTGAAAGTATCTATGAATATGCCATTTTGCAAGTAACACTGGTTGTTATCAGGTCATTGATGTATATGAAACAAACCATGTCAATGTATCAATCAACAACCCAATAACTGTTGATGTAATACACAACACAATATACACAATCAATGATATGGTTGTTGACCCATTCACAATACTCGACAAATATCAACATATCAAAAAGTTTAAATTTATTCAAATTCATTGACACATCATCAATCCAAATCCGAGTCCGGCTCTTGAAATTCTAAACCACGCCTTTTCATAAACCTTTTCAATCTTTGTCTGATACTGGGTACTTTTCTACTTGCCGCTACATACTCTTCTTTCAGTTGCTTTTCAACCTTTGGATCGTACGTTGATCCTGATATCTCTTCTCCCCTTTCTAGCGCTAGCTGTTGTTCCAATCCAATGGCTTCATAATCACAATATTTTTTGTGTTTTTTCTTTTGCACTATTTTAGACGCTACAAGCCTTTTCTTCATGCGATCAAAGGTTCTCTGATCCCGTTCGTTTAATACAGTCGCTTGATTTGGAACAGTATTGCCCGACTCGTCATGAATCATTGGTTGTTGTTGGTCTTGTTCCATTGGTTGCTGTTGGTCTTGTCTGGAAGTACTTGGACTGGGTTGATCAATTCGTCGTTTCCGACTTCGTTTGGAAGTACTTGGACTGGATTGATCAATCGGCTGTTGTGGATCTTGGTCGGAAATATTTAAATCAGTTGCATCTATTGGGTGTTGCTGAGTTTGGTCGGGGATACTTGAACTGGTTTTATCAGCTGGTTGTTGTTGGTATTTGTCAAAATTGCTTGGACCGACTTGATCAATTGAGTCAGAAACTTGACTGGGAGTATTTAAACCAGCTATATCAAACAGTTCTCGCCAGTCTTCAAAAGTGTTTGAATTGACTTCATCTATTAGGTGTTGCCAGTCTTTGTCAGGGATGTCTAAACCGGGTTCATCAACTGATTGTTTCCGACTTTGTTTGGAAGCACTCGGACTGGGTTGATTCATCGATTGTTTCTGATCATATTTGGAAATGTTTGAACCGGGTTCATCAATCGGCCGTTTTCGACCTCGTTTTGGAGTACTTGGACTAGGCTGATCCATTGGCTGTTGCTGGTCTTGGTTATAAATATTCGAATCAGGTTTATCAGCTGTACCAGATACTTGACTGAAAGTGCTTGAACTGGGTTGATCAATCAGTTGTTGCCAGTCTTGGTCGGATGTGTTTGGATCAATCGGATCAAATAGGTATTTCCAGTCTTCGTCAAGAATGCTTAAATTAACTGCATCCACTATACTTTGCCAGTCGTCGGAAGTGCCTGGATTAGGTTCATTGGTTGGATCAGATACTTGACTGAAAGTGCCTGATGCTTGGGGTAAACCATCGTTACCAGTCGGTATCAATATTGCATTGGCAGTTGCTGCTGCACTCAGTACAAGTAAAATATCAACCAATTTCATCAGATTGGTCAATGGGTTTAAACAATCAGTAGAAAGTAGAGTATTGAAACTGGTGTCGATTATAGGACTGAAGGTAATCGATTGTATTTGTATGTTTTGTATAGCAAACCAACCCTTTTAGGTTAACCAATATACATAGTTACTTGATTGCTTGTAATGAGCCAATATCAAACTAGACAGTGTGCTGCTCCCTATTCATAATATCATATTGATCAATTTGATGATCGTGTCGATTGAACTATGCTTTTACGACCCTTTGATCAGGTATATTGAAAAGCACCCTTCATGAGTGTTGTGCAGCCACAAACGCTCCTTTTTACAACCGTATTCATGTAAAATGGATCACTCCAGTATTCATCTTGAAATGACTGTATTCTGTGTTGCAACATATAATGATTACTACGCATTGACTGTATTGCGTGTTTGGTATACAACGATCATCATATGTCACACAATCAGACTATAGTGTTGAATCTACATTATGTGCACTCTTAGTAATCATACATTGTATGGTCACCAAGTTTGAACCCACATTCATGTATTGTGTTTGACTGTCAATATTGTCAATACAACTCTGCACATTTGTTGTGTTCATCACCATCCAACCCAATCTCACCATTTCAATCAATCTTGGTCAATGTTGATGATTTACACGCTAATTCATTATCCAATCTTGTCTGATATTATTATTGGCTTTAATCACATTTGGTTTGTACAACTGCCATGATTTGTACTACCATTATCATTGTGTATCTGAACACCAAACATTCCAATACATCAATAATACCACAGTGTAAACAGTAATACAGTTGATCAGTATTGTGACAAGACTTTTCATTCAAGTTTGTATTTAGAAATACTCGATACTGAGCAAATGATCGATTATGTTGTACAAACGGGTTATTAGCAGTGAATGGGTAATCAACCAGACTGTCTATAATGTAATCAAACTAAATACACACAATACTGCCAATCTATGCAAGAAACATGTATCAACCAAAATAACAGACATTTCTAAAACCAACCCGTGATAAAGGACGGATTGGGCTGTCATATATATGGTTGCATATCTACCAAACATATCCAGACCGTACAATTATGCATGATATCACCCTGTTGTAGTTCAGTTATATCCGCAACATTGTGTCTAGTACACATCCAACCCTCAACGTGCCAGAATAAAATTGAAACCACTTGCCAGTAGATTCATGGCGCTGTACTAGCGTATACGCTTGGTCTGATGGTGACTGGTTGTATGCCAAACATGAGAGCATCTGGCAGTCAGCCCTAGATGTTGTGCACATTTGGTGAATACAAGTACAGTTGGATGTCACGGATAGCAACAATCGACATGACAGTGGACACTGGTGGACATGTACACTGCAATGTGACTGTCAGCAACCATCACCATCAGTGTGTATCATGTGTTTAAAAAGTACTCGCATGCATTGGATTCAACACCATGTTTGTGATTGGGTTTGATTTGTATTGTATTGGTGGTGTTGTATTGCATATATCAGTAGATTGTGTGCTGATTTGAATGGCATGATCATCCATTGTGGTTCATTTACACGATGACAATCCGATCTGTTGACACGGCCAGTTTGTTGAACGACCTGCCAATCTCCAATTCAATTATAGTACAACGTCACTCATTCGGTGTATCAACGACAGCTTGCCGAGTTTGATGTTGATCATGTTGTGACATAATCAGCAATGTTTGATGTGTACAGTCTACATTAATCTAAAATGACTGTAGTCATACCAATGGAAAAGTCATGGTTTTGAAATACTGCAACAACAGACTGTTGGATGCTGTTGTGTCCGAGTGATCCAAAACACGACCAATTGAACAATCAGTCAAATATTTGATACACAGTGGCAGTGTATGCTGTGGTAATGTATTGTAAATGTGATGATAATTATCCATAATCAAGGTGACAATCTGACACTACCTGATTACTTGATACATGACCACAATTGGAGATGAACACAGCATACTAGTCAAGTTGATTATACACTAACAGCAATGTTTGTGTACTGATTCTCCCTACAGGGTGTTTTTGGCGTTTGCTCACCCTACATGGTGTATTTGGCGTTTTTTCTAAATATACATTTGAAAAGTGTTGATTGTCACCCTTGAAACTGCCGTTGTTATAAAACAGCAGTCATGTATCAGGTTCACACACTTTCATCACACTACTCGATACAATGTTGATTACTCTAGAATGCGTTATACTTGCGTTGCAGGCGGTTGCTGCAGTTCGACTTGCATTACATTCACCAATTGAAATTACCAGTCCATCAAACAATAGGCTATCAAAACGATCACCCGTTGAATTGGGTGATGATATTAGGAAATGTTACACAATGAAAGTCAATGCTAATGGAGTTGATGTATGTATCATGCCATTTATTGTAGTTTGATATCAATTTGTACCACGTTGAATCAATCTCACACTTGTTTAAAATAGTTGAATTTACGAGTCGATTCAGGAGTTTCCGATATAATGGTACCACTTCCTAGTTCAAGCAATGATATAGGTTTGGCTATACAAAGTATTCCAGGTGGGGAACTCGTTACTATAAATTACAGAGACAAAGAGTATAGTGGATTTAGTTCCGACACCGATGTGACGATTCCGGGTACTAGTATAACTGGCATCAATTTACCAGTAATAGCAGTTGAAAGACAATCGGCAGATTCGGTTGGTATCAGTTCAAATCTTGATGGAGTATTTGGATTTGGCTATTCCTCATTTTCAAAACATCATCCACCAATCACTGCAATGGATATTTTGTACAAAGATGGTATCATTCCTAATAACGAGATTGGTCTTCAATTGTGTCCGTATGATATTCTGCATGAAAGTTTCATCAATATAGGAAACACAGACATAACTGCAAAATGCGGAACAGATGGAAGCAGTGTTGCATGGGTACAATCACCAACAAATGATCAATTTACTATCAACATCAAGAGTATACTAATCAATGACGAACAAGTGGAGCTGCCTGCTGAATTCCAAAAAAGGGTAGAAGATGGACATACTTTGTATTCGTTTATACAAACATGTTCTGCGTATATGTATCTTCCTAAAACAGTCGTGGCTACGTTGATCAATGATATTCTTGATAGTGGTGCGATCAGGGTTAAAGGTATATTATTTAGAAACAAACTCGGCAAAATAATGCTTAAAAGCATATTACAGGGAAACTATATAATGCCCAAATCCGAGTTTAAAATCAAATGGGAAAAGCTGCCGTCGTTTACAATTGTAATGTTTGCTCAAAACCCTGTAACTGTTAACAACTACAACTCTGTTGTAACGATCAAATTGGGTCCTAGAGACTATATACAGAAAACTGATTCTGATGAATGTAAATATTTGTCAATTGTATGCAATATGTGTTGTTTGATTAACCTGACTAATATAATATTGAATTATAGTCCTGTTTACTGTAACAGCTGGTCCAAATAACAATGCAGCTCTTGGTATACCATTCATGACCCGACTTGAAGTCACATTTGATCGACAAAATCAACGCATTGGGTTTGGTCCTGGATGTGGATGTGAAGTCATGGCCGATGGATATCCTACTATCTCGAACAGTAATCAAGTGCTTTGGCCATTAACACAGTAAGTTGTTTGATATTGATGTGTGTATGTGTAGATTTATATATTAATATTGATCATAAATTTGATGAATACTGTTAGATTGCCTGAACAACCAAGTACTTCAAGTTCAAGTGGCAGATCTACTCTCAGGAGATCATTGTCGCGACTTGGTAGTATTCGTCGTGATAGTAGGAGGCCAAAAATGGCTTACAAGGATTCTGATGGGTATTGGCCACTAAACTGATGTAGTAATAAAATCGGCTATATGTTGCATGAATGATGACCATGATTATTTTATAGTTGATATGATGTACATCGGGACTCTTGGTGTTAACAATTAACTACAGCTGATCAAATAGTTGTACCTGAAAACACCCACCACACTGTCAAAAGTCGCAAACAGACTCTCAATAAACTCGACTGAATACAATTCATTAGTGACAAACTGCTACTATATGTATTTTTAATGTGGTGTGTCCATGTTTGATTATGTGATATGTTCAAGCCGTGCATGTATTGGATCAGTCCAGTGTGTATCGTAGTTGTTTGGTACACGATGATCACGCATACTATTGCATTGGTAATACATGGTATGGATTGAATACACATCATGATCGCATAGCTCAGTCACGATCCAATTGACACAAACAGTCGAGTCGTGTAGTTTGGGTTCAGCTTGACACATTTGTATTGTCAGTCTCGGACAAAACATCAAAAGTGGATCAAAGTCAACAGAAACAACCAACAGACTGGATCCAGTATGTGTAGTCACACTGGGTTGCATATACTGATCACAGTAAACAACTCGAGTGTCGTTTTACTAGTTGTGGTTATGGTGACATGTCAGTGTTTGATACATACAGCATTAAAATGATTGGTCAGCAACAATGTGATGGAACTGGATGTGCAATATCAAAACCATATCCAGAATACGTGATATAACAACAATTTACAGCCATATTGACATAAATGGACCACCAAATAACAGTGTTGGTGTGTAATAAACAGTTGCATTACTGACATGTGTCATGATTGTTGTTGAATTAGATTGCGATCGTATCTGTGATTCAGAATACAACAAATGTTGTACAGAGTTGTATTGACAATATTGACAGTCAAACACAATACATGAATGTGGGTTCAAACTTGGTGATCGTACAATGTATGATTACTAAGAGTGCACAAAGTGTAGATTCAACACTATAGTCTGATTGTGTGTCATATGATGGCCGTTGTATATCCAACACGCAATTGCAGTCAATGTGTAGTAACCATTGTATGTTGCAATGCAGAACACAGTCATTGCATGATGAATACAGTTGTAAATCAAGGCGTTTGCGGTTACACAACACACTCATGAAGGGTGTGCTTTTCAATATACTTGATCAAAGGGTCGTACAAGCATTATTCAATCGACACGATCATCAAATTGATCAATATGATATTATGATTAGAGAGTAGCTCACTATAAGCAATCAAGTAACCCTGTGTTGTTGGTTAACCTAAAAGGGTTAGGGTTGGCTTGCTATACAAAAATACAAATACAATCGATTACATTCAGTCTTTTAATCAACACCAGTTCCAATACTCTACTTTTGTACTGATCGTTTAAACCCATTGATTGGTTTGATGAAATTGGTTGATATTATATTCGTACTGACTGCAGCTGCAACCGCCAATGCAATATTGATACCGACTGATAACGATGGCTCACCCAAAGCATCAAGAACTTTGAGTCAAATGTCTGGTCCAACCAGTGAATCTAATCCAAATACTTCCAATGAATACCAGCAAGAATCAATGGATTTGAGCCTTCCCAACCGAATCCAACAGCAGCCAATGGATCAACTCAATCCAAATACTCCCGGTCCAAACCAGCGACCGACTGTGATTGTATTTGGTCCAGATATTCTCAAACAAGGCCGAAAGCGCATGATTGATTTAACCACTTCCGACCAAGACCAACAACAACCAACAGATGTAGCTGGACCGAGCACTGCCAAACGAGGTCAAACACAACCAATTGATCAGCCCAGCCCAAGTACTTCCAACCAAAACCAGCAACAACCAATGAACAAAGTCGAGCCTGCTAATACTGGGTCGAATCAAGTTACTAAATTAAGCAAAAAGGATCAGATAATCCTTGATGATATAAAGAAAAATCTTGAAGCGTCTAAAGAATTACGAAAGAAAAAACTCAAAGACTATCATAAATCTATGGCTTTTGGATACAAACAATGGTCAGTGTTGGGAAAAAAGGAAGATATATTTGTATCAAAGTACGATCCAGACACTGAAAAGAAAGCAAAACAAGAGTATAAAAAGGCAAGGTATAGAGTAAACAGTATCAGAAAACAATTGAAAAACTTTATGATAAAGCATGGTTTGGAAATCGAAGAACTGGGTTTGGATTTGGATTGATGATTTGTCAATGATTTTGGTTTTGAATAAATTTAAACTTTCTAATATGTTGGTGTTTGTTGTTAGACATTGGTAATGTATGACATTTGTAATAGGACCCAGACGGTCAGGATGGGGTCTAGTAACAAGCAGTGTATAAACAAGTAAGCTATACAATGCTTAGATATGGTGATGACCGTTGCCTCACTCTATGCAATGACTGTAACGCTTGGGAACCCTTAACGGTGAAGATTAGGAGTGACGCTTATACCGCCACTAATTCACCACTACTACTTACTATATATAAGAGACAAAGTTCTCTTATCAATAAACAATCACGACTATTCTGATTCATTCCTTCTTCTTGTCTTACATCTCTGTGATCTTCCTTCAAACTTATACTACATCAATATGTCACTATACGTTAATGAACAACAGGTTATGAGCCCAGCCTCACAGCAGGTCAAGATCGCTGAAGGTCTTATTATTACGGTATTGACCCAGGACAATTACACTGTCTGGGCAAACCAAATGGAGGCCGCCTTCGAAACTCTGGATCTATGGGAATCTCACATCATAGGTGAACTTCCAGAAAAGATCGAGCGCGACTACAAATTAAAGGAATTCAAGGCAAGAGGAATCTTGCAGGCAACAGTGAGCAGTAAATTCAAGTTTATGCTCTGTGACAGTAATGGAGTACAACTTGACGCCAGGAAAATCTGGGTCGGACTCAAGAACCATTATGTTGACTACTGTGAAAGATCGCTGACGCGATCAGAGGAAGCCATGGCAAATCTGCAGTACGATCCCAGGAAGGGAGTCGAGGAACTGTACAACACTATGACGAGTCTACGTCATAAGATTGCAGCGGCAAATATATTTTGGGGTGAGAAAGTGTTTGCATCAAGGGTGATGGCAAAACTTGTTTCCAAGAGCAGAGAATGGCGCTATTTCGAAGGACATACAGTGCGATGGACCGACGAAATGCTAAGCCCCAACAAATTCCTGTCGGAACTCATCGAGGAGGAGATTAAACTCATCAACATGGGTGCACTACCGAGGCACGGTGTAGATGACACCATATACGAGGCGAACTATGCGTCTAGAAATCATAGGAACCTACGGAAAGGTTCAACATCACATGGGCCAAATGCACACGGCGCAAAGCAAGGCAATTCTAGTCGGGATGACTATTTTGCAGCAAACCATGAGATGGATACTTATTACCGTAGAGATCAGGGACGTCGACCCTATGAACAAAGAAACGACGATCAAGACAGAATGCCCGCATGCCATAATTGTGGTAATATAGGCCACTATGCAAAGGACTGTCGACCAGCTCCAAGGAACGGCAATTACCGACAATCGTCACCGAAATTCTTCTCCAAAGGGCCACGATCAAACAACCAAGACCGATCAAGAAATAATCAATCGGCAGACGGAATGTTTGTAGCAATGGATGACAAGAAAAGGGACGTTGTAATTGACGAGGCATGTAGCTCCATCGATAGGAGTGATATGTTCATATTGGACTCGGGAGCCTCCAGCCATATGGTATGCCGACCTGAATGGGTGTATGATTTTGTACCGTGCAGCAACCGACAGGTCAAGGCATCAGGACAAGACATGCACAATGTCATCGGTACTGGAACAGTGGAAATCCTGTGCAATGTAGGTCACAGGACTGTTTCCATTCAACTGGGTAATGTTCTAGTGGTGCCAACTTTCGGAGTCAACCTTATCTCTGAAAATATACTCGAAGACAAAGGATGTCAGATCAGTATTTTCAAAAAGGTCAGGACGATAAGAAAGTCGAATGGCGAAGTTATCATGACTACCCGTAGAGACGGAGGTGTAAACGCAGTAAACTGCGAGGCTATAATATCTGATGAGGAACGTGCAATGGCTCATGCTACAGTAATTGCAACAGCTAATCACGCGTCAGAAGTATTTAGAAAGCCCACAGACACTGCTGGCTGGCATAAAAGGCTGGGGCATATAAATGTCGAATCGATCAAGAACTTGGCCGACAAATCGGAAGGTCTTGATATTATACCGGGAAAGACCAAAGAGAGGTCTCAGTGCGGGGCACCATTATTTACTCATAGCTACAATTTACGCGGTGGTGTTACACCGTTCTGTACCTATTGCGATAGATAATGTGGTATATCCAAAAACATCAGAAACTCCAGGACATGACACGGCTCTAGGTGGATATAAATATTACCTGATCATAGTAGATGATTACTCAAGGTATTCCCACCTGTATCCAATGATCTCAAAAGATCAAACGTTCCAGCGGTTCAAGGAACATGTTGCCGCTGTCGAATTAAGTAAAGGCTTACCGGTTCGAGCGATCCGAACCGATAATGGAGGAGAGTTTACCTCCAGTGCGTTCCAACAGTTCCTGAAGCTTAAAGGAATTGCAGTACAAAGGACGACGCCTTACACTCCACAGCAAAATGGAGTTGCCGAACGCAAGAATCGGACAATAGTTAGCGCTGTACGCGCTATGTTTGCCGGTTGCAAGCTTGGTCGAGAATTCTGGGCAGAGGCAGCAATGACTGCAGTGTATCTACAGAATCGGTCTCCTAACAAGGCGCTAGGTCAAAGAACGCCATACGAACTATGGACAGGAGAGCTGCCAAAGGTGATGCACCTCAGGACGTTCGGATGTGCAGCGTATGCACTCAGACCAAAGCAACTGCTGGCAAAATTGGACACACGCACTAGAAGGTGCATATTTATCGGTTATCACTCACAGGCCAAGGCATACAAGCTGTTTGAGCTTGAAGGCAAGAAAATGATAACAAGCAGGGATGTAGAGTTTGCTGAAGAGGAGTTTCCTTCACTCTCTAATCCCGTTCGTCGAAGCAATGCCGTACAAGTAATGACACTGTACGAAGGGGCACCATTATTTACTCATAGCTACAATCTAGGTGGTGTTACACCGTCTGTACCTATTGCGATAGATAATGTGGTAAGTCCAAAAACACCAGAAACTCCAGGAAATCCAGGAAATCCAGATTGTGCAAGTACGCCAATTGGAGGGGAGTCAGAACCAGGTCGCCGACAAGTACCAAGAGTAGTACCGACTGCAATGAATACAGCGAAGATGACTGTACCAGATCGCGGGACCGAGGTCACAACAAGCGATGAACGCATAACTCAGGAGTTATTAGGGCGTGGCATCAGCAGGAATAAGGCTATCAAGACATCGCTAAATGAGTCGAGTCTAGCCGGTTATAGGAAACCGAACCAGAAACCGAGATCGAAATCTCAAGGTTCGAGGAAAGCAGTTCAGGAACGTCCAGTTGACGTTATGAACAGGGACAGAGCCACGATGGCTGCTCCCACAGAATCGACGGTCACGGCTGATTATCCAGGAGCGATATCAGAGGTTGATGACGCGTCTGAGCCGAGCATACAGGCTGCGGTGGAACAAAGAATGGTTGAGGATTTGCCAACCAATACAAGTCAAGACGACAGTGATCTGGAAGAGTCAGATCAATACTACTCGTACACTCACGGGAGTGGTACCAGTAATGCCGATGAGTCGAATAATGCAGTGGCAGTTATATCGGACGGATCATCGAGGAACATTGTGCCAGAAACGTGGCAACAGGCTATAGTTTCGAGTGATGCAGATCTATGGAATGCAGTCAAGCTCATACTACACTACGTGCAAGGAACGTTAAGTTACGCACTAGAACTAGGAGGAACCAACGCATCATTGAGTGGTTACTCAGATGCCGATTGGGCTGGAGACGTAAAGACCAGGAAGTCTACGTCTGGATATTTATGTTATGTAGGCAATGCACTTGTATCGTGGAGGTCATCAAAACAGACGTGTGTGGCCGTATCTACTATGGAAGCCGAATATACTGCTGCCGAATCAGCATCGCGAGAATTATTGTTTCTGCGCGATCTACTTGGAGAGTTAGGTTTCGAACAAGATGGACCAACAACGCTATACTGTGATTCGCAATCGGCGATATCAAACATGATTGGACCATCCGTCGTACACGAGGCAACCAAACATATAGGCATTAAGATTAATGCATTACGAGACAGAATCAGCCAGGGACTGATCAAACCAGAGTACATCGGTACTAAGGATCAAGTAGCTGATATTCTGACAAAAGGATTACCAAGACCCGCCTTCGAACAATTCGTCAACCTGCTCGGTCTTCGAGAGTGTTCTCGACGTGGAGGGGTGTTAGACATTGGTAATGTATGACATTTGTAATAGGACCCAGACGGTCAGGATGGGGTCTAGTAACAAGCAGTGTATAAACAAGTAAGCTATACAATGCTTAGATATGGTGATGACCGTTGCCTCACTCTATGCAATGACTGTAACGCTTGGGAACCCTTAACGGTGAAGATTAGGAGTGACGCTTATACCGCCACTAATTCACCACTACTACTTACTATATATAAGAGACAAAGTTCTCTTATCAATAAACAATCACGACTATTCTGATTCATTCCTTCTTCTTGTCTTACATCTCTGTGATCTTCCTTCAAACTTATACTACATCAATATGTCACTATACGTTAATGAACAACATTTGTCGAGTATTGTGAATGGGTCAACAACCATATCATTGATTGCGTACTGTGTTGGGTATTACATCAACAGTTACTGGATTGTTGATTGATACATTGACACGAGTTGTCAGGTGAGTTAAATCAACAGGATTGAATAGTAAACTTGATTGATTGTTTTAATGTAATTTGAAAAGTCACATCATAGGTTGTTTATTTAACAAAGGGAAAATGCTTTGGTTATTACAAACGTGTCTGTTTAGAATAACAGTGCCTGATGTGTATATTGCATAATGTTTAGCAATCATGGATAGAATCATATTAACCAATATAATGTTAGACGTTGGTAATGTGTGATCTTTGTAATGGGACTTGGATTGTTGAGATGTGCAGTCTGTTGACATGCATTGTGTGTGGATACTTGTGTGGGATTCTATGTTTGGTACACAAGTATAGCCACCACTGATAGAAGATCTATAGTGATAAGGAACCCTCAACAATGATATTTGAGCTATGGACCTCATATCTTTCTTGGTATTGTTCCACTACTATCTCACCTCATAAAAGATACGATCTTGGATTAATAAACAACGCAATTCATGCATTGGTTCATTACTTTATTGTCATATTTTACTTACTGTGATATACTTTCGACTATGAACCACACAAATATGCCCACAAGCTACAAGAACCAACCAAATCATTCGTATCACCCGAGTCAAATAGTCCAGTGGTATCAATGAGTTGGTGTCAAATGGAATGGGTTGATTGGTAATCCCAAATGACAAATATACACAATTGCATGGATCCAGAAATGACACTGCAATGATCAATTCAATGCATGGTAGTTGATTGGTGCAATATGATCAAACCATTAGTTTAATACACTATTGTTTGGTAATACACGATGTTTATTGAATGAATGACAAATAACAAGCATCCAAACACACAATACACGCTGCATTACAACATATTCTGGATGATGGCCCATTTTGAGTTGCAACAATGTGACGAGTCTATGATTGAAAAGTTTGTTGCTGAACATCAGAATCTTGGAAAGTTTCACTGCTCGAATCGTGGCAATCATTGTGATAAGCGATTGTAGAAATACTCGAGGCAATCCCGATATCCGTAAACTGATTTCGGTGAACTATAATAATCATTCAGTGATACTCCAAATGAAGAATGGCTTGTAAGTTTGGTCGCCAACTCTTTATTTTCTTCCGTCCTATCCAAAAGTTTCCAAACGTAATCAGTTGCATAATATCTGGATCCTTCACAACGTTGACGATTATACTCATAATCGGTTTTAGCAGAACTCAATTTCCGACTCGGAATTTGACTCATACTCTCGAGCTTTTCCTTCTTTTTAGCAAGCAATCTTTCCTGAATATCAGCATCAAAACGTTGACTTTCAAGTAGTTTAAACGCTTTCATGGATTTAATCCGAGATTTTGCAATTTCTTCAATCGACGACAGTTCAGTAGCATCAAATTGACCGCAATATTTCTTAAATTCATCTATGCTAGGAGATTTTGGAGAGTCAGATCCACCAGCTGGAGTTGCGCTTGTAGAGGCTGTTGGAGTGCTAGCTTCAGCACTCATGGTCGAACTCGGATCAGTTGGATTGGCAATTGTGACCGAACAGATAGCAAGGATTGATGACAGTACGGTGATTGATAGTTTCATTGTATTGGTTTGGTTAGGCAAGTTGTAATGATTGTTGCTTAATACGTCGGTTTGGTGTCATATTTGTATACATTATTAGATTGATAATATTAAAAGCATATTCCATGAACGACCGTCCTAAGGGATTTGTGTTGTCGGGGTTAGCATTGATTTACTGTTATGAATATCAACATAACTTTAAAGGGATCCCCTTTATACAATTGCCCATTGCTTGATTTAAACCCTGATATCAGGGTTAGCGACCAGAGTATATTGTCGCACTATGATGTCGCTACACAATATATTCTAGGTGATATCATTACATGACAATACACAAGCAATATTGTCCATGCACTCCATTTATGTTGCAAACACTCTGGATCTCATCTGTTCAACATCACATTGTCACCAATACAATAGTATGTGACATGATCATATTGCATCAATCGACTAGTATACAATCGCTGAATACATCACACACATCAAACCGACTCAGTGATATGCGAGTGTTGCGGTTTGACCAAATCACAATCACCCATATTGTCGACTGTCCAACTCGTTGATATTCAAACCGTGCCATCACTGGTCACAATATAATGGTTGACTGGTTCGCTTGATTGACCTGACATATTTACACTTTGCAAACCTTGACTTGATTCATCAATTTGGATATTCATATAATATTGGGTTTGTATCATCACGTTGTACTCGTTATCAAACACCTTGATGTGTTCATGCAACACAAACTCGATATACACACATTGGTTACTGTTTGGCATGACTGGGTCGATCATCAATACCAGACAATGCAACTGTATTAGTTGTATGATACGATCAATCATGGTTGGTTCATCACCATCAAATATCAAATGTTGGTCACGTATACATTGATTTGTAATTGCATGGTCCGTTGGCAATGCACACTATGATATGATTGACAAGTTGTTGATTTGCAGTAATCAGATGTGCATCACCTGTAACATTGGATGCAATTGACGAGTTGTAACTGCCAGTCAACAATCATCGATATGTTGGTGATTGTATTGACTACATGATTGGTATTGATTAGCTGTCATGATCGATTGGTGGACAATACAATCCACATTGATTATGACGTGTTGCAACTAGTTGATATATGCAGACTCGACTGATAATCGAGTATATGTTGATGTGTAACTCTGTCACTGTTGGTTTGGATCGATCATTGCTACTGCTTGTATATGCAGTGTATGTTGGTGTCATGAAATGTTGGACAATATTCATGATTCAAATATCGACAGTCAAACATTGGTTAACCAACAGTTGTACGATTATACAACTGACCCGTGTATTGGCAAGTGATCAACATCGATCCGGTCATGGTTGAAACGGTGTATCACAGGACTTGAAAGTTGACACATTATTGTTGTGGTGTAATATTAGCAACTACACACAAATTGACATGAATGACAATGTTGATGTCAGCTAAAAAGTATTGGCGGTTTCAACCAAACAGTGATTTGTTGAAAACCAATACTATCTTGACATATCGACATCACACATTGATAGTAGTGTCAGAATACCACATGGTTCCAAGTAGTTCAAATCAGTCAATGTGTAGTAGCCATTGTATATTGCAACTCAGAATAAAGTCACTACAAGATGAATACAAGTAATCCATTTGACGTCAATACGACACTACATATATTACATTTCAAACTGACACAACACTGATTGACCAATATCAAACCAGTTGATGTTGCAATTTACATCCGACTTTGAACAAGTGTATTGCTCCGTTTATTGTACAATACACGACATGGTCAGTTGGTGTATATGAAACAAACCATACCAATGTATCAATCAACAATCCAGTAACTGTTGATGTAATACCAAACATGCAGTACGCAATCAATGATATGGTTGTTAACCCATTCACAATACTCGACAAACACCAACATATTAGAAAGCTTAAATTTATTCAAAATTGAATTCATCGACAAATCATCAATCCGAATCTGCTTTCGGTTCTTCAAATCTCAAACCATACCTTTTCATAAACCTTTTCAATTTATGTCTGATACTGTTTACTTTTTTGCTTGCATTTATATAATCTTCTTTCAATTGCTTTTGAACCTCTGAGTCGTGTTTTGATCCATGTATTTCTTTTCCCATTGATAATAGCGACCATTTCCTGTATCCAAGAGCCATAGATTCATGATATTCTTTCAATTTTTCCTTTCGTATTTTTTTAGACTCTACAAGTCTTTGCGTCATATCATCAAAGGTTTTCTGATTCTTTTGGTTTAATCCAGCTATTTGATTTGGAACAGTATTAGCAGACTTGCCTTGTCCCATTGGCTGTTGTTGGTGTTGAATGGAAGTGCTTGGATTGGGCTCATGAGTTGATTGTTGCTGGTTTTGATTGGAAGTACTTGAATTGATTGCATCAATTATTTCTTGCCAGTCTTCAGAAGTGCTTACACTGATTTCATTCATTATGAATTTCCAATATTTATCAGAAGTGTTTAAATCGGATTGATCCATTGAATGTTGTTGGTCTTGGCTGAAAGTGCTTGGATCAGATGTATCCATTTGTTCCTGGTATTCATTAAAAGTGTTTGAATCGACTTTATCCGTTGAGTATTGCTGGTTTTTGTCGGGAATTCCTGTATTGTGTTCATCAGTTGATTGTTTCTGATCATATTTGGAAATGCTTGAACCGTGTTCATCAATCGGCCGTTTTTGACTTTGTTTGGAAATGTTTGAACTGGGTTCATCAACTGGTTGTTGCTGGTCTTGATTGGAAGTGCTTGGACCAACTATATCCATTGGTTGATGCTGATCTTGGTTATAAATATTTGAATCGGGTTTATCAATTGGATCAGATACTTGACTGAAAGTGCTTGAACTGATTTCATCCACTATATTTTGCCAATCTTGATCAGAAGTGCTTGGATCAGTCGAATCAAATAGGTATTTCCAGTCTTCGTCAAAAATGCTTAAATTAGTTGCATCAATTATGTCTTGCTGATATTCATTGGAAGTATTTGGATCGGGTTCACTGGTTGGGTCAGACACTTGACTGGAAGTGACTGATGCTTTGGGTAAACCATTATTATCAGTCGGTGTCAGTATTGCATTAGTGGTTGCTGCTGCGCTCAGTACGAATAAAATATCAACCAATTTCATCAGACTGGTCAATGGGTTTAAACTATTAATACAAAAGTAGTGTTGAAACTGGTGTCGATTATAAAGTTGAACTCAATCGATTGTATTTGTATTTTTGTATAGCAAACCAACCCTAACCCTTTTAGGTTAACCGACTACACAGGGTTACTTGATTGCTTGTAGTGAGCCACTATCAAACTAGACAGTATGTTACTCCCTATCCACAATATCATGTTGATCAATTTGATGATCGTGTCGATTGAATTATGCTTTTACGACCCTTTTATCAGGTATATTGAAAAGCACATTCTTCAATAGTGTTGTGTAACCGCAAGTGCTTTGTTTTACAACCGTATTCATCCAACAATGTCTGTATTCTGCATTGCAATATACAATGGTTACTACACATTGACTGCAATTGCGTGTTTGATATACAACAACCATCATACGACACACAATCAGACTATAGTGTTGAATCTACACTTTGTGCACTCTTAGTAATCATACATTGTACGATCATCAAGTTTGAACCCACATTCATGTATTGTGTTTGACTGTCAATGTTGTCAATACAACTCTGCACACTCATTTGTTGTATTCTGAATCACAAATACGATCGCAATCTAGTTCAACAACAATCATAACACATGTCAGTAATGCAGCTGTTTATCACACAGCAACACTGTTATTTAGTGATCCATTTACATCAATACGGCTGCAAGTTGTTGTTATATCACGTATTCTGAGCATGGTTTTGGTATTGCACATCCAGTTCCATCACATTGTTGCTGACCCATCATTGTAACACTGTATGTCACCATAACCATAATCATGAACATCAATATGTGGTTTCACGTATAATATTAAAACCACGCATGTCATTGGTTGAATCATCACTACTAGTGTATACTACAATACACTACATGTATGTTGACATGTGTTGTACCAATTTGGTTGCATTGCTACAATGTGGCATGCTCCAACCTGTTTGAATGACTGTTGTGCAACATATTGATATTGTACACATGTGATACTGGTCACCAACAAAGTGATCAGCGGTATACAATTGATTATGCAATCACTGACTGCCAATACTTCAATTATGAATATTATCCACCATTTCATGACACCATCTGATACATTCAGTGCACAGTAGCTGATTGGTGCAATATGATCAATTCAAGCATACTATTACATTGGAAATGGTGGTGACAATGCAAGGTGTTTATTGGACAAACAAGACTGAATGCTTACATGACAAATGCAAATTGACAGTATAGACCATACAATACACACTGCAGTACAACATATTCTAAACAAGGTTGTTGATAGCGTGATTCCAGTTTTACAATGAAATTGAATTACTAAGTAGTTTATTGTCCAAACATTGATTTACTATGCACTTTTAGTTTTGGTATTTCAAGTTTGTTAATTTTGAATCCGAGTTTGAACTTTCGAGTGAATCGACCCTTATTATCATTGCTTGTTGATGGACTAGATTGAATTTCATCCTCATCGCTTGCTGATTGGATAGATTGAATTTCATCGTCATCATCATCCGTGCTAGATTCACATGGATATTCAAAAAATTGAGTCTCGGGGTTAAAGTGTACTTTAGCTTCCCTTGAACCAGCATCGTGACTTGACTTTTGCTGATGTTTTTTAGAATGACCATGCTTTGAGCTGTGAGGTTTAGAAGTAGATCCGGGTTTCAAGATGGATTTTAATTTTGGAGTAGGTTCAGATACAACTCTGACTGACGTTTTTTTGGGAAACCCAAAAGCCAACTTGCAACGCATCCATATTTTTTTTGCTTTCAGTATCGCCGGATTTTTTTTATCAGATGAGCTCATTCTACGCTCCTTTTGTTTAGCCTTGAGCATTTTTTTTCTTGCCTTGGGGCTCATCTTGTGTATATATTCGTTTTTGACATTGGCTGGAGTCTTTATACCCATATTCCTCATTCTTTTTTCGACTCTATCCAGCCTTTGCTGAGGTGTGAGAATGGACCGTTTGTTCTCTGGGATATAGTTTTTAGGGAGATGGCAGACGTCGTCATATAGTGTGTTGCCAAATATATCATCATCTGACTGTTTGGACTGAGAGGATGACGATGATTCATTGGACTGTTCAACAGAACTGTCTGAATCATCAGGATCTATAGTCGACTGAGCTACATCATGATTGGTTTCAGTTGATTGTTGCTCTGTTCCAGTTGAAGCGCAAATACCAGTGTGTTGCTGCATGTGTGTTGAACATTCTTTTACAGGTTCTGATTCGCTGGCAGACGGACGATCAATGACTACCGCACTGACTGTCACCGACAATAGCAACAACACAATAGTCGATATGAATTTCATCCTGTCGACGAGAATGAATGTGATAAAGCTTGCCAACTAGTAGGACAATTCTTGGTAATGAATGAGCCAGTTGTGGATATGGACCATACTTTATAGCGATTAAATATATGATCAAGACATAAGGGTTATATAAGCTTACGCAGCAACAACTTGACCGCTGTTCAAGTACATATAGCATAAATAGTTGTAAGTTCTTTATGCGCAGCCTTTTAATTATCGAATGAAGCGGACTCATAATTAAGGACTGGTGACCCTAATCCATATACTAAAAAATATGTCAAGATCGATTGGTATAATCAGTCAGTTTCAAGTTACGGTCAGTATAGAGTAACGGTTTACCCACACAACAGCTGGCCAAATATTAATGGCAAAATCCTTCAAACGGCTGCCTCAACACTTGATCTAGTGATATGACACTGTTGCAGTCCTGTTCAATGCAGTATGGATTGATGGTCATATCAGCAGTATCAATACTTTATGCCAACTGTAATACTTTCAATACGCAAACTCAAAGTATTGCCAATGATTAGAAAAGCTTCAACATAACTCTTGAACTGTCAATTGTCATGCTATCAATAGTATGAACATCCGACTCAATACTGTACATGACTGGTTGTCAAGAGTCTTGCAGCATTTACTTGGCAAACTGGATTCCTATTTCGATTATACAAACATGACATCAAACACATGTCTACTTTGGAACAAGACGTTGAGTTGAATGTCCAGCAATATACAAAAATATACAAAAACAGCACGAATTGAATGTCAAAACTCGATTACTAACAATTTCAAATCTACAGAAACGAATATGACAACTTGCAGTCTAGTCATGTAAATGGACTACTAACAGTGTTGGTGTGTAATAAACAGTCAGTGTCATGTCATGGTTGACAATACAGTGGTGTTGTTGGTGGTGATTGGCATGCATGGTTGCATTACTGACATGTGTCATGATTGTTGTTGAACTAGATTGCGATCGTATCCGTGATTCAAAATACAACACATGAGTGTACAGAGTTGTATGGACAACATTGACAGTTCAACACAATACATGAATGTGGGTTCAAACTTGGTGATCGTACAATGTATGACTACCAAATGTGTCGAGTATCCATGCAGGATACTAAATGGTAATATGTGATGATCCAAGGACTCGTATCACCAATGTTTGTGTGCCATAATTCCACTATTTGACTTGGTAAACAATAGGAATTACACCTATTGATCAATTTACTTTTCTGATTGCTCATCATACATTCTACTTGTTCGTGTCACCAAGATACAATCAATCAATTACTACAAGACTGACTATAACTCATATTTATTAATAAATGACTCTTCCAACCATTTCAACATATTATTGTTTTATTACATATTTTCATTATCATTGAAAAAACCAAGTCTGCTGATCCTGAATTACTGTGCAACTCCCATTACACTTTTGATTTGTTATTTTCTGTCAGCTACTAACAGTTACAGATCATACACACTCCTCCATTTAAATTAATATAAATCAGATTACACAAAACTCCAACAGAGTTGTTGGTTGTTGATGGGCAAGTTGGATATAAAGTTGTTTTCAATCAATCCGTTGGCAATCATGATAGCATACTTTTATTTGTATGTACGCAATATTGCTGTCATCTTGTGTATGATGTTTTCTATTCCTACAAACGCATTCCATTTCCAGCTGTTTTTTGTATACATTTGATATTGTGTAGCATGTTAAAGGATTTAGGTGTATCGAAAAAGTAGAGTATACAAGATAGACAAAAATTACCGAGTCTTTCAACAAGTAAATATAATATAATATAATATGCCGCTATATAAAATATTGGTAACGCTGGGTCTTTTGAAAAGTAAGAGTAGTGGTATTGAAACATAAGGGAGATAATGGAGATAATGAGGAAATGATAAATTAGGGAGTGTCCAATGCAAGTACTAATGCTTGCTTGTTAAGGGTTAAAGCTTAGATATCTTGCTTGGATATTACAACAGATACACACTAACCATTCAAACTGTTAAAGAAATCAGACCTTTGTTGAAGCAATCAAACATTGCCGCTTTACAAGCAAAGCTTAAAGTGGAGATATTATATCTCCACTTTCTCCACTCACTCCCTTAACTAAATTACTATAAAAGCCAAGATACTTTCTTACTAAATAAACCATCCTCTGAATATCCTCTGAATCAATCATCTAAATATCATCTGACATAACTTCGTTATTATCTATTAAGTTCAACTCGTTATTCTGTTGACTTTCATTTGCGTGACTACTTCCTGATTATCATTCAAGATCTCTTCTGACCGATCTTTTCTACAGCGGCAGATTATATATTATTACCTTATACTTTACTAATTGAAAGACTCAGTCTCTTTCTCTATTTTCTATCTCTATACTTCTTGCGCGATAATCAAAAACTTTAACACAAACTATACGTAAACGGTCAATGTCTGATTGCTTCAACATAACAATGAGGATGTAAAATGTAGTACAGAAATAGACGACTAAATTACATTCATTCCAACGGATTTAGCACTCTTGTTCAAGTAAAACAGTATCATTTGATGTTCACTATACACTACTTGTACGTTGAATCATGCCAATCACTTGCTATTTTAACAAGCATGTAATATCACAACACATATTGATGATCAATTAATATCCGAGTGTCAACTCATTTCAGTTTTGGTTTATACTCATTTCTTGGCCCTTAACCCTTGACTATAGCCATTTTTAGGGTGGGACTGCATAGCCAACCATATGATATTCGAATGTATGGTCAGATAGCAGCTCAACCAAGATTACAGGTCAACATATAAAGGGAGATTCTTCAAAGTTTGGCATTGACAACAAATCAACACCAACCCTGACAGTAATACTAGCCCTTAAAACGACCACTCAAGGAATATGCTTTTAATATCATTTATTCAATAATGGATATAAATACAGTTCAAAAACCGACTTGTTGAATGACATTACAACTTGCTCAGCCAAACCAGTAGAATGAAGCTCGCAGTTGCTGTATTGTCATCGATCCTGCTTGTTTGTTCAGTCACTACTGCCAATCCAGTCAATCCCAGTGCAACTACAGATACTGGAGCTAGCACTTCAACCTTCATTCCCAGTACAAAAGGTATAGGCTTGGGTGCTCTTGATGATGCACTTCCAGATAACGTCAAGCATTTACTCGACAAATACGCAGAGATAGAGAATGATCGTAATCAGCAAAAAAAAAAATATTGGCTGTTAAAATATCGATATGAGGGTCAACATGACGTGGTAGTGGGCTGCAAAAAATATCTTAAAACTCTGGGATATAAATCTCAAAACAATGACGATCCAAAACATGGTGAATTTCAAAAGGCTAAGCTTGATTATGAATACCAACTATCTAAACTTGACGAACTTCTAAAAAGTCTTGATGAGTGCGAGTCCGAATTTGGTCGTCTTGCAGAAAAAAAGTGGGAAATCGATAAACAGATTGTGGGTCTCGTTTTTGGAACCCCTCTGGACTTTGAATCAGTTCTTCACCAAGCTTCGCTTATCAAAAAAACGCCTTCCGTTAAAAAATACCTTAAACTAAAATCATTTAAATACAAGATTTTTGGTAAAAAATCTGGTGGTCGACGAAAACACAAAGATTTGGAATCATCGGACGAAAAACCGGATGAGGAATCTGGATCTAAATCCAATAAGAAGAGTACTTCCAAAAAACGGAGAGCTTCCTCCAAGTTTATGGGTAGATTGGGATCACTCTTTCAGCGACCCAAACGTGAGGATCGCGAACCATTGATTTGAATGTCAATCTGGACTCGTTTCAACCAATTCAATTGCCATTTTATTTAATTTACAATAAAATTGGATTTGCATGCATTATATCTGATCATTTTACACAGTCTTGGTTGGCATGATATCATAGTATGAATTGATGATGCTGACATGCATGTGTGTATTGTGTCGATATGATATTGCTTGTCATGTCGTATTGACACATGCAACACCAATACCAACAATAGTCATGTGTGTTGATATCAGATCCGACCAATTTGACTCGTTTATTGTGGTGTCAAAATGGTTGCATCAATAGCCTGACTGATCACACACATCAGTCGCAGTATCAACTTTGTCGTATGTCAAGTATCACATGTTGAATATGCAATGCCAACAATATGGTCATTATACACATGTTGATGTATACAGTAATCGTATACTGGTCGATTGGTGCAATATGATCACACATACTAATGGAATGTAATAATCATGGTATTTGCAGCAGTATACCATATTCCAACTGTTGATATTACGCATCCAGTTCCATCATATTGTTTCTGACCCATTATTGTAATGCTGTATGTCACCATAATCATGGACATGAACATGAGCATGTGGTTTCACGTATAATATTAAAACCACGCATGTCATTGGTTGAATCATCACTACTAGTGTATACTACACTACACTACATGTATGCTGGTATGTGTTGCACCAATTTGATTGCATTGCTACAATGTGGCATGCTCCAACCTGTTTGAATCACAGTTGTACAACATATTGATATGGTACACATGTGATACTGGTCACCAACAAAGTGATCAGCAATATACAATTGATTATGCAATCAAACTGGCAATATTTCCATATTAAACATGCTCCAGCAAATTATAACCCAGAGCAGCAACCCATAAATACTGCAGACTGATTACTGACTGACCGTTTGAATGACAAAACTATACAAAGTGAAGCGAATCACTCAAGACAGTAAGCCTCTTGAACATTACAACTGATTCCACATTTATCGTGTTGTTGATGAACACAATGTAACATAAAATGCGTACTCCTAGCATAAAATAAAACACGAGTGATTTTGGCTAACCAGTCATTTTGAAACTAGACTGTACAATCTGATATACAATCAGACCATCAGCACTCAATGAATAACCATCCAACTTGCATCATCAAACCAATCCTAACAATGACAATGCTAAATACAAGAAAGCAAACCGTCCCAACCAAAACTCACCTGGAACGAAACCAGCCATCAAATCAATTGAATCAATCTTGCTCAAGTAGATCCACTCCATCTTAAACTCAATTTGGCTATTTTTGACTTGTGGACATTTGTCAGTCTGACATGATTTGCCTACTATTATAGTCACTCGTCTATTGATACGTTTTCAATTACCGTTCAGAACCAGTATTTTCCAACCACGTTGATCGTATTGGCTGTACACTCGATTCACTCGCTTACTTTAAAGCTGCTCGACAGTTGTACTGTGCGCTTGATGATCCTGATTGAGTCATCATTCAACTCATCAACGTAGTTGTCTATAATAAACCAACGTGTCATCTTGAATGGTAGCAGTCCTTGTCATGTCTGGTTACATGAATACACACATGCATGCCAGCATCATCAATGTGTACAACTATGCAATATATAATGTATTGTACTGTATTGAAACATACAAGTGTCGGTGTACAATGATCAGATACAATATCAAATGGCAATTGTATTTTATTTTATTCAAACAAAAATACAATAGACTCGGTTGAAATCAATCTAGATTAGCATCCAAATCAGTCGGATGAATCTTTATTTTCGAGTTGATTCCTGAATGATCAAAAGTTATTCTAATTCTGGAATAAGCTTTTTGTGAACGAGAGAATTTGAAAGCTCTTTATGTACTGGATGATGTTTGAGTGGGTTGGACTGTAGACGTTTCGCTTGGTGATGATGAACTTTTATGATGTTGTAATTGATTCTGGGTTCCGCTAGTAGAGGCTTGCTCGGATCCTGGCTGTTGGCTTGGTGTGGAATTGCCAAATGTGCTGATGAGTTTCATAAACTTGGGATCTGATTCCCAAAGTCTCAAGTAATGACTGGTTGGTTGACGCAGAACTTTTCCAGTCAAGCTCTTTACAAGTTTTATTTTGATTTCACCCAATCTCCGATTTAAAATGCTATAATCGGAATTCCGCAGCTTCCCAGTAAGTTCATCAAGATTTTCTCGTTCTTGTTTAAGCTTCTGTTCAAGTTTCTTGCGCCTTTCGCCGTACTTTGGAGGATTCTCTATAGTATTAGATACAATTAGCAATTCCTGAGGGTTTTGTTTCAGCCGTTTTATCAATTCTTCTTGAGCAAGTCTTTCAAGTTGTATCGATTCATGCATTTCCTCCGCATCATCACGATCTTTCTTCACCAATACGTACTCTTTGATCAAAGCTATATCCTCTTTTGAAGGTGTAGTTTTTGAACTGGGAATGACGGTTGAAATACTAGCTTTAGCACTTGTAGTTGCACTGGGATTGACTGGGCTGGCTGTAGTAACCGAGCAAGCAAACAGGATTGATGCTAATACTGTGACTGCGAATTTCATTGGTTTGGTTTGGTTGAGCAAGTTGTAATGATTGTTATTTGATGGGTCAATTTTTGATCGTATTTATATCCATTATTGAATGGATCAGATTAAAAGCATATTGGATGGCCGTCCTAAGGGGTTTGTGTTGTCAGGGTTAATGGTGATTTGTCATCAGTGTCAACCTTTGAAGGGATATCCCTTTATATAACAACCGCAATATTGATTGGACCACTGCTTGACTATCCATCCAAGTATGGTTGATTGTGTATCCAACCCTTTTTAGGGTAGAAAAGGGTTAGTGTGTCAAAATATGAATAAATGCATGTTTAAACAAGACCATCTAACAACTGAATGTCAGCTCAGTTGTTGGATGATCATCAATGTGTTGTGGTTTAATGATGCTCTGCATTCAACTCGACACGATCAGTCATCGCTACACATTGTCCAGTAATTCAATCAATCAACTGAATCAATATAATCCAGTTCATGTTGCAACCACAATGTCACATTGATGATCAGTGACTTGCAACTGTTGTGTTGGCATATTGCATGTTGTGTGATATTATATCAATATCGATTGTCACTATAGTTGTATCAACCACACATCATGATCATATGTCATGGTTGACTCGTATTCTGGATTGATGCACTCATTTCATTCCATTCCACTCCATCACTCGAACACAAACATCGTATGACTTGCTGATTGCTAATACTCATATTGATCGAATACACACTACATGACACATGTCAGGTTAGCGTATACATTCCAATATATATCACATCATGTTGCTGATACCAGGCATTGTGATTCAACAGTCAATCTGTATTCGAGTTCAACTACAATTGTTCGTGTTAATCATAATATACACGACCAATTGTGGTCGAGTTGATCCGACTGAATAGAGTCCGAGTCATCATGTTCATATCAAACCATTGCAAACCATGACAAGTCTATTGCACAACTCCACTCGTGTTGATTACAACATGCTATTCAGAAATGTATTATATTGTCCTGTAATGACTGTGCATGGTTGTACATGGTTGTTTGGAACCAGTAACTCCGTTGATTGATATCCACAATATGATCCAGTAGTCGTCCAGATTGTGTGTTGTATTGGGTGTGTTGTGTGATGATATCAACCTGTAGTCAAGGTTTGACTATCTGAACATGTCGGTGACTTTTTACCAACTGTGTGCAACTCGATGTCCAATATCGAGTCATGTCATTGGTCAATTGATTGGTTCAATTCATCAGTGGGTTTGCTGGATCCATGTGGTGTGCAGCACTTTCAAGAGTATGTTGAATCTGTTGCAGTATTGGAACTTTGTAAACGGATCAACATACTAACCTGACCATGATTGTGGTGGTTATTGCAGTCGAGTCGTAAAGCTTATTCTGGCAATCATTGATGGTTTGGACAATCATTTGGACAATCGTTTGGATGTCAGGTTATGGTATCCTGATTGACAACTCGACTCGGATACAACTTATTTGGACAATTACTGATCAATGGATTGATTAATGGACTAGGAATCAATCAACACATTGACAGATTTGTCATTCCAAATGGAAACAACGACAATCCAGTTGTAATCCATATTGAGCCTTGAATTCAAACAGTCGTGAATCAAATCATTAATAAACTACAAAAACAGTCCAATATGCCAACTCGCATTTATCCATGACTCGATATGTGATGTTCAAATGTCTAATATTCAGACTGTGCTGATTGCAATTGTGGTTGCAATTGTGGTTGTGTGTAAATATTAATCCAATACTCGATTCAACTTGAGCATGCACAGTTTTGTAGTAATCCATTTGATCACATTGACAGAATCAAGCAATGATCTGATTCAACAATACTGAATGATGCATCCATATCACTTGTATCAATCAATTGTACACAATCAGTCAATATAATCAACAATCACTGTCATGATTGACATGATTGATTCAATTCATTCAATTCATTCAATTTATTCGATCCATTTAATTGCATAGATCTGACTGGCATTGCAGCTCATTGTTGTAAAATCACAACTTCACAATTCACCGCCAACGATCAAGATTATACACCCGCTCATATATGTATTCGTTGTATGCCGTTATGATTCGAGTTCGGTCACTTGTCAATTCATCTCGATAGCGTTTGGCTTCAGTTGGTGATTGAACACCTTGAATATACTGCGTGGCATCATTCCACAGTTCAGGCGGTATGTGTGTCTTGTCAAGACTCGAGTTGTACCATTGTGGTTGTTGTGGAGCCACATGCGCAGTCGAAACAATCCGACATGCTGGATCCACTACAAAAAATGTCAGAATCTTGCAGTGTCCTGGTTGAGTTGGATCTGCAAGTTCAAATGATTGTTCTTTGTGTTGATATCGATTGGGATAAACTAAACATCGACCATTTGGTAATTCAAGCGATCCTATATACTGACTATGCGGTGATTCTTGATCAATGCCATACACATCTTTCCAATACATATCAGATGCTCCTTGATAATGACACCAACTAACAGCCACGCGGAAATCGAGTTTGGGTGTGGTGATATTTTCCACGTCGTAGTAATACAGTCCAGTTGCAACAATTGATTCGTTAATTGGACCTTCATTGTGCCAGTTTCCCTCGTCGTATTTAGGTTTGGATGGTGTCAGTTGAATGTTGGTGAGTTTGACAATGACTTGCAGATTACAACCACGCAGTGACACTGGTTTTGCTGATTCATATTTGGATTCAAAATGTTCCGGAAGTGTTGGTACATATACGGGACGAGTGACTTGAGTGTCTGGTTCCATACCACCACGACTTGACTGGTTTGGTGGTTCATATCCATTTGTGCCATTGTGAATATCAATATACCTAAACACTGGATCCATCGTTCTGAACAGACTTTCAAACATTGGGACAAAACATTTAAATATTTTGGCAATGCATTTGTACATGTCTCGATGCCATATCGGATTCAGATTGTTGATGTATGAGTTGATGGTCACACTGCCATCCTGTTCGACACGGAATTCACTCGGAAGACATTGGAACTTGCATGATATAAACCCGAAATCGCCTTCAATGATGGGCGTATCTGAAACAAGTCGAGTCGATAACAATATATCGCATGGTACCATTGTGGTGTATTCGAGTCGTATACTCAGTGGTGCAATCATCGTTTGTCCATATACAACACTGTACATTGATGCATCAATCAGATTGTGCACCATTTGACCAGTGTTGTGATTTGATCCATGTTCAATATCCGATACATTTGTCATCAATCGCGTATGTACATTGTCAGGTATGCCATTGTCCAGTATATACGTCAGTTCAACAGGTCCTGGGACAATTGTGCCCAATCCATCACTGCCATTACAAACAAGCTGTTTGACAAAAACCTCGAGTTGTTCCAATGCAAGATTAAATGTTGATGGCAATATATTCTGACCGAGTGAGTCAGCCCTCCATTGCTCCACAATACGCTGGTTTGTGATATCGATCCACCACATGGGTTTGCAAAGTATACATTGCAGATACTGGATATACTGCATTTCGACAAGTGTGCGCACCTCTCCATGTGCATACCCAGCCATTCCAGATTTCATATCAATTTCGGCATTGTCGTCGTATAGCTGAATGCTCGAACTAGCAACATGAACCCGATGCTGGAAACACGTTTCAATAATCTGCTCAGCAACCCTTCTTTTTATGTATTTAGCAGTATCCGATTGTACAATAACCGTTAGATTTTCAAGTATCCCGCCTTGTTCCAACTCGGTACGTATTGAACTGTCGGGATGATTGTCGGCAAAATCAGCAAGTATTTTGAGTAGTTTTACAATGCCAGCATCAGAATCACCATAGTCATAAAAATCCATATCTGTACGTGAAAGAATAGTGTTGAGTTGCTGCATAATTCCATATTCTCGAAACACCTTGATCATCTCGGCCTTGTTTGTAGATTTCTGAATCATGTCGTTGATATGACCAAACCGGCACAAAGAGTCACGTATATCGACATCACACACTGACATCGTCAATTGCTCAAAAACCAACGATCGTGCAAGCGATACAGGAAAGTCGCGCATATTGGATGCAGCTGATCCTGCTATCTTGATTATGCGTTTTTTTAGTTCAAGGTCGTTGCTGTGTTTGATACACAAGTCGCTAAGCGTTTGAATCAAACCTGATCTTATCAACTCGGCTGAAACTATTTCACAATCTTTATAGTCGCAAAAACTCTGAATAGTATCAATACTTTCATAAATCACTTCTTGATCGACACTCCTGTATTCATGTCATGTCAATCCAAACATGTCAAATTTACCAATTGTGATGACTGGACACATTCATGCATAACACCACATACCTGAGCATATTGACCAGTGCTGGAATGATGCCACATTCCACTGCTTTTACTGGGTCATGACGATGAATATTCAGATACATGGTTTTAAGATTTTCGATAAAACCAACAGCAACTAGACCATCGGATGATTCCAGTCGTGAAACGAGTCTTGACAACACGATGCCAAACTAATGATATTGTTCAATGTCAAGTATACAATCAGATCAACACATGACAAGACACTGTCCAAACTGATCCAATATTGTATTGTTGTAAACATACATTCTCATCGTCAATATAACTGCAAACTTGCAAGAACAGGCCAATCGCCAATGTGAGCACTTGTTGATCAGACTCGTGAACAGTCATCTCAACCATAGGCTTAAAATCAATTTTACACTCCTCACTCCAGTGTCTATAACTGAACAACTCTGTACATGTTTTTATCGCCTATATGCATATTGACACTAAATGAGTTGAATGTCAATCATTTGATCAATATCAATCATGACTTGCCGCTATTTTGACTTGACGGTTTGGTGATTGCATGAGTTGTGCAAGTTGGTTGTTTAGTCGATGTGATACTTTAAAATCATCATCATAGTATACCATACTCAAACACTGTAGTAAACTCCATTACTTTGATCTACATAACACATGTTGATTAGTTTAGTCATGAACAATCCATTATTGTTATAATATATGAATACCTGTAAACTGGGTTGATTATACTCCAAATGCTCGGCTGTGATATCTTCCAGTCCAATACTCTGTAAGCGCTGCAATACATTTGTAGATCCTGCCACTTCAAACCAACACAAAGTCAGCAATAGTTTGAATTCATCAATAATACAATGGCTATTAAACTTACATGAATCATGTTCTTTCAACTCCAATAGCAATACAAGCAGTCTGTCCCATATTTCATCAGCCTTGTATAGTTGAGTATCCGTTGTTAACAGTTCCAAATCTTCCAGGTGTTTGATAAACTCTTTCATGATATCATCCAACTTCATGTTTGATAAAATTAGTAAAGTTGAATTTTGATCAAATTTTGATTTGATAATTTCATTCATGCGAATGTTCAACAATTGCCAAGAATTGTTTATGTTTGGATTGTTGTAAAACACACAAACGAGTTGTTCCATTTTAGTATTGTTTTGATCAGTTTTTTGTAACAAAATTGGATTGTTATCAAACATGCATTTAGAAATACTGTAAATTAATATTCTGAATGTGATTGTTGTGGATTTGGTTGAATAAACAAACTAGTTTACTACAACACATGGTAATGGATTACTAAACATCATCATAAATCGGATGTGATCAAATGGACTAGAATGAGATCAATGACAATCGCATTACAATGTGTGGTGATTAAACCATCGAGTATTTCTAAATACAAACTTGAATGAAAAGTCTTGTCACAATACTGATCAACTGTATTACTGTTTACACTGTGGTATTATTGATGTATTGGAATATTTGGTGTTCAGATACACAATGATAATGGTAGTACAAATTATGGCAGTTGTACAAACCAAATGTGATTAAAGCCAATAATAATATCAGACAAGATTGGATAATGAATTAGCGTGTAAATCATCAACATTGACCAAGATTGATTGAAATGGTGAGATTGGGTTGGATGGTGATGAACACTGTTATTCAGTGGTCCATTTAATGTCAATACGACACTACCATGCTGCATAAACACTACATACATTACACTGCAAACTGACACAACACTGATTGACCAATATTGAAGCGGTTGATGTTGCAATCTACATCCGACTTTGAACAAGTGTATTGCTCCGTTTATTGTACAATCAACACTGATTGTTATCAAGTCATTGATGTATATGGAACAAACCATGCCAATGTATCAATCAACAATCCAGTAGCTGTTGATGTAATATCCAACACAGTATACACAATCAATGATATGATTGTTGACCCATTCACAATACTCGACAAACACCAACATATCAGAAAGTTTAAATTTATTCAAAATTGAACTCATCGACACATCATTGATCTGAATCTGAACTCGGTTCTTCAAATTCTAAACCATGTTTTGTCATAAACCTTTTCAATTCTTGTGTGATACCATGTACTCTTATGCTTGCCTTTCTACACTCTTGTTTCAATCTGATTTCATCCTTTGGGTCGTATTTTGATTCAGATATATCTTCTCCTCTTGCTAACGCCAACTGTTGATTTAATACAAGGTCTGTATGATCATTATATTCTTGGCGTTTTTTTCTTCGTATTTCTTTAGACTCCGCAAGTCTTTCCTTTATACGATCAAGAACTTTCTGATCTCTTTCATTTAATCCAGTCATTTGATTTGAACTAGTATTGGCAGATTCGTCTTGGCTCATTGGTTGTTCATGGACTTGGCTGGAAGTGCTTGGACCGGGTTGATCAATCGGTTGCTGCCGGATTCGTTTGGAACTGCTTGGACTACTTTCATTAATTGGGCGTTTCCGGCTTCGCTTGGAAGTACTCGAGTCAATTATATCAGATAATCGTTTCCAGTATTCTTCGGAAGTACTTGAACCGGATTGACCTGTTGGGTGTTGCTGGTTTTGATCGGGAATACCTGAACTGGGTTCATTAGCTGATTGTTGGACTTGACTGGAAGTGCTTGGACCAGCTACAATTACTGTTTGTCGTTGGCCTTGACTAGAAGTATTTGGACCAGCTACAATTACTGTTTGTCGTTGGCCTTGACTATAAGTATTTGGACCAGCCACAATTACTGTTCGTTGTCGGGTTCGACCAGAAAAGCTTAAATCCATTGGTTCTTGCTGATATTCATTTGAAGTTCCTGGATTAGGTTCATTGGTTGGATCAGACACTTGACTAGAAGTGCCTGATGATTGAAGTGAACCATCTTTTTTAAACGGGACCAATACTGCATTAACGGTTACTGCCGCACTCAGTACGAATAAAATATCAACCAACTTCATTAGATCAATGAATGGATTTAAACAAAGTATTGAAGCTGATGTTGATCATGAAATTGAACTCAATTGATTGTATTTGTATGTTTTTTTAGCAAACCAACCCTAACCCTTTCAAGTTAACCAACAACACAGGGTTGATTGCTTGTAGTGAGCAACTATCAAACTAGACAGTATGCTGCTCCCTATCCACAATATCATATTGTGCTTCCACGACCCTTTTATCAGTTGTCTTGGAAACCACCCTTCAGGAGTGTGTTGTGTAACTGCAAACGCTTTGCTTTACAGCCGTATTCATATGGAATGACTGTGTTCTACATTACAATACACAATAGTTACTACACATTGACTAAACTGTGTGATGGACACAACAACCATCATATGACACACAATTAGACTATAATGTTGAATTTACACGTTGTGCACTTTTAGTAATCATACATTGTATGGTCATCAAGTTTGAACCCACATTCATGTATTGTGTTTGACTGTCGATGTTGTCAATACAACTCTGTACACACATTTGTTGTATTCTGAATCACAGATACGATTGCGATCTAGTTCAACAACAATAATGGCACATGTCAGTAATGCAACTGTTTATTACACACCAACACTGTTATTTGGTGGTCCATTTACATCAATATGTCTGCAAGTTGTCGTTATATCACGTATTATGGACATGGTTTTGATATTGCACATCCAGTTCCATCATATTGTTGTCAACCCATTATTGTAACGCTGTATGTATCAAACACTGGCATGTCACCATAACCTTAACCAGTAAAATGGCACTCGAGTTGTTTACTGTGATCAGTATATGCAACCCAATGCAACTACACATACTGGATCCAGTCTGTTGGTTGTTTCAGTTGATCTTGATTCACTTTTGATGTTCTGTCCGAGATTGACAATAAAAATGTGCCAAGCTGAAACCAAACTACACGACTCGACTGTTCATGTCAATTGGATCGTGACTGAGCTATGCGATCATGATGTGGTTCATCAAACTAAATGTCTGGATTCCAATACCGAGTATTCAACTTGAACATCAACATTCCGATGTTGTCAAACCCAAATGTGATTGTATTCATACATGTAATGTCAATCAGATACAACACTCGTGCTATCCATCGTGTGTAATGTCCAACAACACAATAATTCATGTGTAGATGTTGACAAGTGGTTAGTATATGGCTTGACCGCTGATCATAAAATAACATAATGACACGGTCGGTTGATTGGTGTCATGATTGTGATAGTGGGTCCATGGATCATGAACATTGCGTCGAGATGATGGTAGTCTACACCCGATATGATTGATACGCATATAGCTTGAACTGATCAAACAAAGTATGGTGTACATAGAGTTGCGTGTGGTATACAGTGATCGTATATTAGTAGATTGGTGCAATATGATCACACACTAATGGAGTGTGATCATCATATACTTGCACCAGTATACCATTATCGCGCATTCAATTTCAACGTGCATACCATTATGTCGGTATTTCTGACCTACTGCAACAAGTATACAAAAAATATTATAATACCATTTAATCTTTAAAACTCAATCAAATTGCAGTGTACTGATACTTGTCACTTGCTCCATTTTTAAACACATGACACGATATCAACGATTTTTGGTCTAGACTAATAACAAAATAGATGCCAGTCACAAAACACACCTTTTTCATCTGTTGGACTGGAGTGTATCATTCATCCAGTGCTGATAATATTGAAACTGAAAGCATGATACCAAAAGTGAAATATGCTATATTGCACGAGTACCATGATGATCCACACTCCATTCATTTTTCAAACACTTCAAATTTTGCTCATTCAATAAAAACATTTTATTATCAACATCGACATAATATCTTCAACTGTACAGAATTGATGTCACGCCAATCAAGTACTGTACGTTTCCAGAGTGTGTCGTTCTAATGCTATCATTTATCAAAATGAGTTTTTGTTGATACTGGACTTGCCAGAAAAAAATTGGACAGTATGGTTGATCGTCGCGCCATTGATGACAATGGTTATACCAAAATAGGTATAATCATACTATCATCTACGGTACCATTGCCTATACCAATTTTGATATTGCTGCAGATATTGAGCTTGACGTTGATATTGAAGCCGACGTTGATATTCAAGTTGCTGTTGTTGAGTATAATAACCATTGTTGTAATAGCCATTGTTATAATAACCATTGTTATAATGACTATTGTGGTGATGATTATTGCGATAGTAATGTCCGTTGTAATAATAGTACCCATTGTAGTGCCCATTGTGATGTCCATTGTGATGTCCATTATTATGTCCGTAATAGTTTACGTATTGGTATCCATTCCAATATGGGCGGGATCCGTGATGTCCATGGTGTCCATGGTGTTTATATTTGTATTTATAATTCCATTGCGTATACCAGCGTTTTTCCAAATGAGAACCGGCATCATTCACCATTCTTTTTTCGAGCGTGCTATCTGGTTCATCGACAGGCTGGGGATTGATGACTGCTGCATTAGCAAAAAGCGAAAATAGTGAAAACAGAATAATTGATCTAATTCTCATCCTGTTGATAGGAGTGTGTGATAAAGCTTGTTGATTCGGTAGGATAGTCTTTGGTAATAAATGGATGGACTGGTTATAGATATAAACTATGCAAAATGCCTCTGTTTAAATAGTTTTATGATCGCTAGGGACAGGCTAAAAGATAAGGGGCGTATAGGCTTACTTCAGGGACAGCTTGGCTATCGCTCAGGTACATGTAACACAGATGCTCATATAGTCGTAGACTTTCTAACCCTTTAACTATTGTGTAGAGCAAGATTCATGGTTAAGGACTGGATAGCCTTGACCCGTCTACAAAGAGGTGCGTTGAAATGGATTGACGTGGCCAACTAGCTTAAAATCAGGGTGGAGGCTAAAAGGGCCAGTAAAAAACAATAGCTCGCTCATGATATGGCTGGTTAAATATCGGCGGTACAAGTCCTTAAGTAGTCCTGCGTTGACACAGTCGACCACAATGGCGTATGAGCTAACCATCACCAGTCTAAACCCAAGCATGGAAGCGGAAATATGATACTGTGTTGCAGTCCTGTTCAATGCAGTATAGATTGATGGTCATATCAGCAATATCAATACTTTATGCCAACTGTAATACCTTGAATACGCAAACTCAAAGTATTGCCAATGATTAGAAAGCTTCAACATAACTCTTGAACTGTCAATTGTCATGCTATCAATAGTATGAACATCCGACTCAATACTGTACATGACTGGTTGTCAAGAGTCTTGCAGCGTTTACTTGGCAAACTGGATTCCTGTTTCGATTATACAAACATGACATCAAACACATGTCTACTTTGGAACAAGACGTTGAGTTGAATGTCCAGCAATATACAAAAATATACAAAAACAGCACGAATTGAATGTCAAAACTCGATTACTAACAATTTCAAATCTACAGAAACGAATACGACAACTTGCAGTCTAGTCATGTAAACGGAACACTAACAGTGTTGGTGTGTAATAAACAGTCAGTGTCATGGACTGGTTGACAATACAGTGGTGTTGTTGGTGGTGATTGACATGCAAACAACAGTTGCATTACTGACATGTGTCATGATTGTTGTTGAACTAGACTGCAATCGTATCCGTGATTCAGAATACAATAAATGTATAGAGTTGTATTGACAATATTGACAGTCAAACACAATACATGAATGTGGGTTCAAACTTGGTGACCATACAATGTATGATGATATGCTATAAACTCGGTATATATGCTATTGAAACATAAAAATATTGCCCATGATCATTAAACTTTAGACTCATTAGATTAGCACGTGTGCTCAAAAAGTAAAAACTGTTCATCACTCGATAGCAATACGCTTATACACGCAGCGTATATTCGATAAATGGTATTGATCCATGAGTCATGGTACAAGGAAATGTACCGTTTTACTGACAACGTGAACAATATAAACCTATTTCAAAATGACAGTCTCAAATATTGAACATATTTAAAAACGTGATACTTTTAATTCTTGTGCAAAACCACAAATTAAAAAAAGCACTACAAGTCTGTCAAATAAACAGGCGTGAATTGAATGCTTGAAAACAATTGAGATAATATTCAAAATATACAAACTCTGCAACGTCCAGGGGGAAATAGGAGGCCAAGAATTGTCAAAATATAAACCAAGATAAGCATATTACAAAAGATGGATTTCAAATCAGGAAAAGCGTCGATAGAATAGTCAAGATAAGCGTAAATGTGAATGAATTTAGTAATCCCACAGATCGAATACCACTCGAAGCGACTCTGGTTGTTTGAGTGGTGGATAAAGTACTTTTACTGACTGGTGGATAATCCGATGGCCAAATGCAATCTTCCGTCAAGTACGTGACAGACGGAGTAGGCGAATTTTTAGGTGTTGCAATAGCAGTGGGCGACACATATCCATTTTCTCGAGTAGCTGTCATCGTGACACCCATGTCTAGCCGCTGAATCGCATAATACCCCTCTGGAGATATGATATCATTATTTAAATGATATCTGGTGGGAGTACTGAGTTCAGCAGAGATCACAATAAATTCAGATGTGTGTGTTAGTCTTGAGAAAGTTGTAAAGTTGGCTCCAACTGACGAGACAATTTGCAACATATTCGATTGTTTAGTGAATACAGGCGTAAAAATTGTTGGAAATAATAAGATTTACTCGTAAATGAAACTCTAAGTAAGGATATTAGAATGTATTAAACAGTTAGTTTTATGAAATGATGACTAGACAAGATTGCGAATTTAGATCACTCACGGTTATTGACAAAAGAGATGGGAGCGGAGATAAATCAGAAGCTGTCGGTAATTATCACCGTCAGTGTGCATCACGTGTATTTAAAGTACGTAAACTTCATTCAACCGCACCTTCTTGTGTGGTCGAGTTTGTTGCTTTTGCAACTCCCATTACCAAATCTACAACATCCTTTTGTAGTTTAAAAGAGTTTAAAATATTTCAGATTCACATTGTGGGTTGTATATGAACCTTTTAAACTCTCATTTTTCAAACGGGCAGCTGGAGATCGACTGGCGTCCATTTATGATTACGATCCTTTGTAAAAACGTGCTGGTAAATCACCCCAATACGTCAAGCGCTTGCAGAAAACAAATGATCCATCAAATTTCCAGCCAAAAAGTTTCTGGATGCTCCTTGCAACGTGTATGCGCAACCAAAACCATACGATCGTTTAGAAATCTTGAAAATAATTCCTTTTCATACAACTCTTACGGTTATGCTGCAACATCTGCAGTCAAGTGTGTATTTGATCAATTGACCAACTTGATTGAACGAGCATTGCAACAGTAAACACTGATCTTGTTGTGGAAGCGAGATGCAAGATGCTGTTTTGATGCACCAACCAAATGCAAAACAAAATCCAGCAAGCGGAAAATAGGTCCATCACAGTAAACACAAATGGGGTCGTTTAACTCATCTCACTCTTGTTTTCCATGAAACAAGCATAATCAACCAGATTGGTAGCAGTGTTCACGCGATGATTGCAGTCTTGACACTTTCAAATCATCAACTCGAGAAAATATCAGGCTACAACAAACAAAATCAAAAACCACGAGTTTAAAACACTAATGACCATGCAATCATCTCTGGCTTTGAAACAAGAACGCTTGCCGCAATTTCATGTCACGTAAATACTGGTTGTGGTTGCAACAAGGAGAGTTGAATACCTTTGCTTTGACGTGCCAATTATTTCATCTCTACTTTCATCCCTTGCCAATATCCGCGAGTGATTCAAATTCACAATTTTGACGCGAATGATTTCATGATACCGACTGTTTATTATACCTCGACTCTTACTTTGAGTTTCATTTACGAAAAAACTTGTCCATTTACAGCATGTATGCACACTCTAATCCATATCTAGTGCCAGAGGTCCGCAGCGTGCGTATCTACGAAAAAATCGTACCTCAGCGCGGTAAGTCGAGTCTTGCTTGACAAGAATGTACAATGACCAGCTACTACATCAGGCATATTGTTCAATTTAAAAGACTCGAGTCAAGTTTCAGTGCTAATCATTAATGAATAACTGCATGAACAGATACCAGAAGAACAGTATCACCCAGTATTGGTATAAACTCCAAGACGGCTGGAATTTCAGCAAAATGTACTACAGGCTCAGCATCACCATTTCAAGTGTCATTAAAACGTAACAAAAATATAGTCAACAGTATGTCAATATTACCAGTATGTCATCTTTACTCGGTAGAAACACGAATGCTAACCTTGTTGGGTTGGCCAAGGTAAAAAACCAAACACTTTTGAGAGGTATCAACCCATAGTATCCACAACTGCATCGCAGGCATTGCGTAATATACTTGCAAATGCAGTATCTACATCACCGTCTGGAGCAGATTTGTTTTCAAAAACATCAAAATTACAGCATTCTCAATCACCAACAGCCTTGGGATCGGATCAGCATTCATTAGCACGACCCCTTTATCGACAAGGATCTAGACCTACATCCGCAGTATCTACAAAAAAATCTTCAGCTGCTTCCACTTTAATATATCATGAACCTATTTCACCTAATGATCGACAACAGACATTGACAGAGGAGAAATCACGGGAACAGTCGCTTGCCACAGCAAATAAAATATATAAACGATTGCATGGAAACTCCTTGACCGTATCAAATGAAAGTCAGCGCAATGTCACATTTTCAGAATCAATTGTAAATGGAATTCTTGTGACTAGACCGGTGGGATTACAAGGACAGCAGGTGCAAAATATACAGAACCCGCGATTGTGTGGAGGAAGCACTGCAGCTCAATCTGCATTTCAAACACTAGGATATGAGGCTCCACTGATGCAGAATACATGGAAAAATCAATCAGAAGGCATCAACCCAAGTCATTCAAACTCTGTTTCAATTCCTCGCAAAGACATGGTGATTCATGTTTACGACGAAGCTCGCAATGGTAAGAATGTACAATCTAGATTCAAGTTTTGTAAACATTCTCATTTTAATATCTTGATTCCTGATAGTCATGCGCGATTTTCATTGCAAGAAATCACTTTTACTGCGTGAGATGAAGTATTTTGAATCATGTTTGTCTGAAAAAACCTTAAAGGCAGATATTATTGAAATAGATGTTCACTGCGATGTACATGTGTTTGAATGGCTGATTCTATTTATTACAAAGCAGCAAGTACAGCTAGGTTAGTAAGACTATTCAAGTAGATACCAACCAAAAGCTAATATTAATACTGTAATGTTGAGTATGCTGTAGATTCAAAAACAGTTGTGAGTATACTTATCAGCTCAAGTTTTTTGCAAATGTCTAGTTTGGAAGAAACTTGTCTTGAATATATCCACGCTCAGATCAACTCTATTATAGACACGTGTGTTGATTTTAAATGTATAGGTCAGCTGCTAATGGGACGGTAAGTTATTCAGCGTAACTAATATTGAATAGTAACCTTGTCAAGCAATATGTTCACTGCTAATCACTGTACTTTTATATTGGGATGATGAAATAGACTTGCCAAGTTATTTCAGCCAGATGAACTGCACCATATCAATGACACACACGACAAAATCAAAAGGCATGCTTGAATGCATTGGCAATGTCAATAGGTTTCAATTACTTGTCAAACAAGTGTTATTTACTCGTGTATATTTTCAGTCAATTATACTTGATCAAAATAGGTGAATTGATGCAAACACAGAATGGATTGCCAGCAATCAGCTCATGTACTGCGTGCGGAAAGGTTTATGCTTCAAACAAACACCAAAGTCTGCAATGTGACATGGCAAAAGTATCAATTGATTATCATGGCGAAATTACAACTCGGCACACCATGTATGTTTCCATTTGAGAATCTCGTCATTTTTTAAACATGTACATACTAACAGCATGTTGAAAAACATATCAATCATATAGTAATGGAAATTTTGACTTGTACGAGTATATTGTTGCAATGTATATTAGTGTCAATTCTTGGGAAATGGTATACTGGAGGTAAGCACATACACCAGTGGCATGTTTTTGTGCAACCAATATTATGGCTGATGCAATCTAGTATATTGTTTTATAATACCGATTCTAATTTGAATACTTGACAATAAACATCATTCTAGGATATGGGGATATTTAAACCATATGACATGCAGTAGTTGCCACAAGATTTTTGCTTTAGTGAATTTCAACAAATGCCAAACACATGAGACTGAAACCTCGGATCAAAAACAGAATGGTTCAAATCAAGGGGAATATAGGAAACACGTACATGCGTGCTGCAACGACTCGAGTGTGATGTTTATGCCGTTTAATATAATTACTGGGTGTAAACTTGTCAATCATGTTGCTGTAGTGGATGATAGCACAGTAGACATCTACAATCTCTTTCAACGACATATCGATCGAGTGGTATGGCATAAACGCGGATGGAGCCAGTTGAACGAGACGGAAAAGGACTCGGAAGCAGCAGCAATGTTGATACCAAATATGCCGTCATCTGAATCTGTAGTTAATCTTCAACAGTCTGTATCTAGAGGATCGAGAGCTGCGCTTGAATTAGATCATCTGTTTGGACTGTGGCCTGGAGTTGAATCTGACAAAAATATCCGCCCATCGTCATCTGAGAGTAGTGAGAGTGGATCGACTGGAAGTATACGCGGCAGTCAAAGTAATCAACGATGGATATCAGCATCTTCAAGACCAAACTGGCGAGATTCACTGACTGAACACGGTGCTAGCAAAGTGTATACAATCAAACACGCAAGTCAGCATGAGCTAGAAATCAAACCCAAGTATATTCAACGTAGTGATGATGTAGCAAACATGCAATCGCTCATGTCAGAGTTGCAATTGCTTCGAGGATAAATTCAGACTGGGAATGAAATGAAATGTGATATTCTAGGATTGAGCTTGACTTGTTTCGCTTTTTATTGGCAAATCGGCCATTGCATTGATAATGGAGCAAGAAGACTTGACAACCATGTCCTTCAAGGACACTGCATTTTTACAATTAGTTGAGTCATTTTATATCAGACATTTCAACTCTTGTTTAGAAACTGACATGTTATGTTTGTATTAGTTGGGGTTAAATGAACATAATGCATTGGACTACTTTTCCATGAGTCAGTTCTATGACAAGTCATGTCTGAATGAGCAACTCAAGATGCAAGTTCGACACAATGAACTGCAAGCACAACAGTTGGATGGACGGTAAGGAGGTTTGGGTTTTGATCAGATAAACCCTTTCGACTCTAAACCACAACTCACAAAGGGAATATAACATGCATTTAGACAGATGAAAGGGTTAGAATATACGCTTTGGTATTTCACTCCTCAACCCAGTCTGTATGTTATTCGAAAACAGACTAGACTTAGTCCAACTAGAGTAGATTTGGTTGCTGTATATTACATTGTGGAAGGCACAATCTATCAATCGCCCACACTATGCCAGGTGCTTGCAAACAGAGTTGTAAGTGGATAAATGATTACTGTATGCAATGTCTAGTCTTGGATACTAAAACGTCTGTATAGCGCACATCATTGTATTTTACCAAAGATGCGCTACACGTAGCAAGGGAATCGTATAGATATAATCCAATCTTGGGTCATACATGGTCCAACGAACCAGATTTGTTTGAGCAACTGCAAACATCTTTGGAAAAAAAACAGCAGCTGAGATCTAATGCTACCATATCAGACACTGCATGTTCATCAGATATGGACATGGATGTATCCAAGCCATGCGCGGATGAATTGACATCAACAGCAAATGTTGTATCGCTGGATGAACAGCATCGAGCAGAAATATTTAGTATGACAGTGGATCAGTTGATTGCAAGCACCGAAACATGGTCAGCGAATGCTCCTCCAGTTTCAACATCAATGGATAATAAACCAGAAACGATATCACGCATTCATACTCGACATACCAATGATTCCCCTTTGGCGACAATGGAGATTAAAAAAGAGCATTCATCACCCGGAATTGCCAAGGTTGTTATTAATTTATATTGTAATAGACTAGTTTGAAGGACAGATCTGACCAAAACTATGATATAGGTGGCATCTCAACAAAGTAAAACGTCTAGTGGAAAGCGTATGTGTAAGTCACTATTCAGATATACTGTAATTTACATGAAATTAAACTAGACAAGACTGACATGTGTCATGAATTGAATAGCAATTCAATAATATTGAAAAACGGATCAAATTGCTCACACTTGATTTCAAAATCCAATAAAATCAATATCGAGTGAATCGCCATCCTCAGGCGAAAAGCGATGGTCGCGTCAAATAAATCGAGTTTTTAATTTTTTATTGAATCTGGTCAAGATTGCTGAATCTGCGATTGATATTACAACAATTAGTAGGACTGATCATGACAGGAGCTCTTGTGATTATAATGGCTGTAATGGCAGTTTTCATTTCAGCCGAGTCATCTTTTAATTCTCGTGGAGTTCATCCCTCTAGTTGAGTTGACTGAAAAGCATTACAACGAAACCCTTTCTCTACTGACGAATACTCTGTACATTGTATAGAACTACATTTGTATCAACTTTCTACTACACAATTTACATGTTTGGACAAATCCGCCACTATTTCAATGACTGCTGTCAATGATGACTATTGCGACTGTGCTGATGGCAGCGATGAACCAGGTAATTCAATCTATTGAATGCGGTTTCAATAGTCTTGCATGTGTTGGTATGTCAATCAGTATGAATACTCAATTCAAAAACTCATTCTATGGATAACCACCAGGAACTTCTGCTTGTGCCAATTCATCATTCTACTGCAAGAATGTCGGGCACATTGGTCAGTCTATTCCAAGCTCTCGAGTCAATGATGGTGTATGCGGTAAAGTATTTGAATACTTTGTATAAAGATGGAATTCATGGGATATTCATCGAGTGTTGGCTTACTGATTTTCATGTAAAACAGATCCAGAATGCTGTGATGGGAGTGACGAGTTCAGTGGATCCACCAAGTGCCCCAATAATTGTATTGCTTCTGCCAATGCATACAAAATAAACATGGAAGCAGAAATGGCCATCATCAACCAGGTAATCAGTCTGTCATGCATGAATCTACAACTTCATATCAGGTTCATGTTAGTGTAGATTCTAACCATGTTTGATGCAGGGTGTTAAACAAAGAGAACAGTTGATTGCTCATGCTGAGGCTGGAAAGTCGAACCGAGAGGAGCAAGCCAAGGCGCTTGGTCGAACAATCAAAGTGGCTAACCAACGTATTTCTACATTCAAAGGTAATCTCAAATCAATCCAATATGTTGTGATGCTTGAATTGACCTTTAAACATGAACAGATATTTTGGAGCAAGCCAAAGTATACGAGAAACAAAGGATTCAAAAAGAAAATCTGGATAAAAAGATTGCCTGTGCTACTCGATTACAAGATCTGCGTAACGAGTATAAACATACTCTTCATGCAGCTCAATCGATTCAATCCAAACATCATGCGCTTGTTGACGCTATCACCAAATTATACACACTGCCTGAAAGTATTCGTAATGATCCAATCATTCAGTCTCTTATCGATGTGGCAAACCTCAACGGAATTGATTCTGCTGAAATCATTCCTAGTAGTGATTCGCAGCAACTAGAAAATATTCAAGATTACACGGTCGACGAGATTGAACAAGTGTTGCCTGATCCCTGTAATGATACCGATGTGCCTTTTGGTGTATGTGTCGCTTATTCGGTATACTACTCTGCATTGTACATCAAGGATGGTATATTGGCTCCCGTGCACTGGAGTGGTTGGAAATGGCTATACCAAAACTTGATGGAAATGGGCGATCCAGATGCAATCTACAAAAATCCCAACCAGGCAAGAGAAATGCTTCAAAATGCCGAGCGAGATTTACAAACAATGCAAAACCAACTAGACGATATTGTCAATATGGACAAATTGGACATGGGTCCACATCATGAATGGGAGGGTCTATATAAAAAGTGTATCAAGTTTGTTGCACCCGAGTAAGTTTCGACTTTTTGAATAGACCAACTCTTGAATGTGTTCGACTTTTCTGATTAATGATAAATCTTTAGATACACTTATGAGGTCTGTCCACTTGAGACTGTAAAACAAATCATCAAAGGAGAAGGCGATGTGACTCTTGGGTAAGTCTAACCCATTCCGCTTTATTTTGTACTTGAACAGTTTTATTGCGGCTAGACTAACATGGCTATAGATCGTTTACTCGATGGGGAAGACGCGATACTACCAAGCCGAGTGAGCCCTATACGGCCATGATGTTTGAGAATGGTCAGCAGTGTTGGAATGGCCCATCGCGATCTGTTGAACTCGTTTTACGATGTGGAACAGAGTTTAAGATTGTGAGTGTGAATGAGCCCAGTAAATGCGAGTATTACATGGAAGCAACATCTCCCACCGTTTGTAAACGTATCGAGGTGATTGAACATGACAAGACTGAGCTGTAAAGAAACTGGAATAAATCAACTGTTTTGTTGCCTTTTTTACTGGTATTGAAATGATACACCCAATCTCATTAAAAAAATACTAGTGAAAATTCATATAAATATATTACAACTCGATACAATTATCCCCAAACTTCACGCAAGTAGCGACCATCGCTTAGCTCATTGAGAACTCGTACTGCTTCGACACTACCAACATTTTTCAAATCCATAATGACTTTTATCAACATGTCATGTATACCCTTTCCCATAGCCAAGGATCCACAAATGTACAGACATGCATTGTGAGCATCAACCAGTTCCCATATAGACTTTCGATTTGCCCATACAGCGTCCTGCACATAGGAATGGATAGACGGATGCTCTCCCCGCGATACACACTCGACAAACTCGGTTACAATGCCACAGGAAATATACGACTGAATTTCAGAATGGTAAAGACTGTCACCCTCATCGCCATCGAATCTGTGTCCGTGAATAAGCCATACAGGTCGTGGAGTGTATGCAGTTGGATGAAGTCGTTTTGCCTCGGCGAGAGATTCAAGGAATGAAATAAAGGGTGATATGCCCGTTCCAGAGGCAATAAGAATCAGTGGGATCGGAGAGTGTTGTATGTCTTTTGGCAGGTGAAACGCACTTGCTGCTACACGGGGAAAGATTGGAATATAAACATCATTCATGGACACATCCACCCATGAACGACAAGTGGTATATCCAGTAAGACTGTCAAGCCAAGAAGAGCATAATCCACGCATAGGTTTTGGTGTATTAGTGCAAGGATCGTTGACACCATATGAAACAACATTAAAGGCAAACCGAATGCGAGCACGCTCAATCGGAGAGCTTGCCGCCGAGTAAAACCTAGGCTGTAGACAGCCCAAACAGTCAATCAAGATGCTAAACGGAGGACTGCATGATTTAAAGGTGGAAAGAATATCCAAAATGTTGGGCTGCTGAGCTCGAAGATTCTTGAAAGATTCAGATCCCTGTGTGCTGCACAAAAACAATAGCTGTTTCTTTTCATCTACATTGGTCGTGTATTCTGCTAGTAGCCGGAAAAATGATTTTTTTGGAAGCGCATGCAATTCAATAAAATAAGTGAGGATTTCGGTATAAGTTGGTGGTGTTGCAGTGGTAAATGGAAGATCCGATTTCTGTTTAGGAGAAAGCTCAACAATCTGATTGCCAGAACCTAGATTCAATCGTTCAATAAGCCGTTGTACTAAATCTGAAGGATTGGGAGCAAGTATTCCGAATGCATCGCCTGCAGCATAGTTCCAATTCAAACCCGTTAAATCCAATTCAATTTCAAGTACCCTGTCAGTAGCAATTTGACCAGTTAGACACCGTACATTGGATATTTTGGCCATGAGTGGAGCATTGTGAGATGGAGGCTGATCGAGACAAGGAAGGAGCTGATTGATGGGCATTAAATAATCACGAGTATTTTCTGATGCAAGCAAGTCCACCAGCTGGACAGGAGCCTTGGCAAGACCAGTAAGTTTAGAGGAAGAAGCAAGAACATCCATGTGGCTAAGATGCATAGGTCTTCCAGAATAACAGTCATTTGGATTGACTAGATTAGCCTTGACAGAATCATGCACATCGTTTTGATTAGAAGTAGCTGCCAACTGAGCAGTAGATGCAGCAAAGGATTGACGAGCTAAGCGAACAAAAGATCGAGGACGACCCGATTGGGTGCGTGCATTGGAAGTAGTGATATCATTGGAAGCAAAATCCTTGTTTAAATCCACACTTGAGCCAGCCTGATTGACAAGCAATTTGGCGAAAGCAGCAGCCTTGAGATGGTCGCGCGTTAATATGGAGTTGAGAACCAACCACAAGTTTTCGATCCAAGGATCAACAACAGACTCGATGCCGACCGAAGCATCAGCGAGCGCTTTAGCTAAAACTGATTTTGCACCCAATTGAATCAATCTGCGATCCAGTCGTTTTGCAGGTGTGCAGAAATTGGTATAGTTTGAGTCACCCAGCCCAAGAATAGTATAAGGTTTTCCAGCCAAGACAGTAGCAGGATTAGGAGTGCTTCCAGGACGCAACCATTTCCAGAGTAAGTTTGAATTGTCTGGATGATGACCATCACCTGTAGTGGAAGATACAAAGACAAGCATGTTGTTTTCAAGCCAAGGAATACGATTGACATCATTTGCTTGGAAACAATACGACTGAAACCCTCTTAAAAGGGCTTCTCCATGAATATGTCGAGCAATGGCCTCTGCAGTACCAGTTTGAGAAGCATAAATGACGACAATACTGTCAATGCCCAATGACATGGATGAGACCGAGTGAACCACTCTGTCAATAGAAGTAGGTCGTGGAGTAGCTTTAACCATTGCTAAATTCCAAGAAGCTCGAAGTCTATTCTCAATGCTATAGTTTGTTGGAGCAAGCGATAGAAGAAGATTGTCAATGATACGAAATGCCTTGGCAGTATCAGATGGTTGAGCAGTACGAGCCTTTGGTTTGTAGTGATTATTAGTTGAATTCAAAGACGGGTTCAGAATGCGAATGTCAGGATTTGCTCCGTATAGGAACATGCGATGTGAAGAAGGTGTTGGACTGCAATACAAATGATCGCTGTTGTTAATAAAAGAGTCGATGCTGTTGGTACTTGTGTTGGAGTCTTGTGGTATCAATTCTTGAGTCATTGGAATGTGAATGAATTTCAAATGCAATGTCAGCTAAAATAAACTCAATCGCATTAATACAATATAATCAATTCATTGAATTAATAAAACTAGACTATTACATTCGACTTACTTTAACAATTAAACCACTTGTTGAATAGTAGAAATAGTCGTTTATAACTTTTTAAATTCTAAAAAACTTCGGATCGGAACAACGCGTCCACTCATTGCTAAACGCTGTTCCGAAAAGATAGTTTTGACAATCGATAGTTGAAATACAAGATATTGACTTGACTTGATTGTGTCTTGAATAGTAATGTCTTGTATTCAAAACTTACTAAAACTTCATCAAATATTGATATCAAATCTGACTTGCATTTTAATTCGGCTGATTCGGAATCTGCAGCCAATCATATCGCTTACTCTTCACATGACCATCACGCCCCATCGTCATTCAGGTAACACAAACCTAGTACTAACAATTTATTCATCTTCTAGTCCTGCAACATCTTCAAATAGATTCTCTTCCACTACAACTTCCGACGCTTCTTCTTCGTTTGATTGGTTATAATACCCTGTGTAGTCATCCACTGCATCTGCATCGTCATCATCATCCCCTCGTAACTCTGGATTAAAGTCAAACAGTTCTTTACCAGAGAACGACATGCCCGTCTTCATGCCGGCCTTCATCTTTTTAAACTCTTCCATTTTACTTTGAAGCTGTTCTTCACGCTCGCGCTTCTCCTTTTCTTTGCGCTCCATTTTCCATTTGGCAAATGACTCTGCCGTCACTGGAATCAATCCTGTTCCCAAGTTGTGTCTCTAATGTTCATTCCACGGCAGTCAGTACAGTCATTTATCTGATACTTTCAAATATTCATTACCTCTGTCTCCAAGAAATCTTCAATCGTGATTTGATTCTCCTTTTCGTTCTCTTCGCGCTCTCGGCGCTCTTCCTCCGTCTCCTTTTTCTTGAGCACAAATCCAGGTGGCAGGGCATGTCGATACTTGCACTTGGTTCCATTCGGACTAACATTCACAACAGTCATAACATTCCAATAAGTCATCTGACCCCTTCAAATACAACATTACCAACATCTGAAAAACTAGAAATTCAACTTTACCACTCCCAAAACCAGCCGTATTTACGAGATTCAATAGCATCAATAAAATACTTGCACACAATATCTGTGGGCTTGTTTTTGTTGTCTCCTGTATTTTTCTGACGAACAGCATCTTCCAGTTTCTCCTGGTCCCAGCCTTCCATCCCGTCCTCTGTTTAAATATCAAACTACATTGTCAGCAACATCACCAGAAAAACAAATCATTTACAATTGACTGATAAATCAACCCTATTCATATAAAATGAAACAATAAAAATAGCATTCACACTTGTTCAATCTCCAAACATTGGCTGATTGGCATGTAGAGTTGCATTCCTGAAATGTTCTCTTGAACTAAAACGCAAGCGTATCTAATCATTTAGAATACAACAGTTTGACAACACCAAAACTGTAATGAATGATTCGGGTTATTGTGCAACGTATCGATATGCCAAAAAACAATCCCAGTTCAAAATAATAGTTGTGTAATACAACAAAGGATTGAGCACATCAACTTGTAGCAGAAAAGTGCAACGAGTATATACACCCTGTCTTCCAAAACACTGCAAAATAATCCTCCATTTTATATGAATACAGCTGTAACATCAACACACCTTCTTTGGCACGAGTGTCAGTATACACATCCAACTTTACTGATCGACGTTCGACATTTAGATCATGAGAAAACTTGCATCGTGTGCCCTTTTGGCATTGGCCTGCTTTAAAATATGCACACAGGACTGTCTTGGGATCCACACCTAATCAACACAATTAAATTCTGCCAATATATTCAACCTTGATCATCAGATCATCTTACCAAACGGAACTTTTTGCTGGGTTATAATAGGCTTAAAAAGCTCGGCAAGCTCAGCCTTTCTCTGCTCTTCTGCCTTCTTCTTGTCATCTTGCTCCTTCTTGCGCTGTTCAGCTAGATCCTTAAAACAGTTACAATATAATTGATATGAATTTGAGCTAAACGTGCAATCCAAAGAGTGGAGCATAGTTTTCATCACACTGGTTCAGCAGTGTCCAAGCTGATTGATGGCACAATCCAACACCGATTGCATCACAATCCCTCTTGAGCAATACTGCAAAAGAAATAGCATTTGCTTATAAAGACATACTAGCATTCAGTATGAAGAATCAATGACAGTAAACTCACTCGTTCTTTTTTATTACCAGATTGTTGAACCTACAATTCATCATCAATTCATCAGTCCATGCATGGATACATCATCAAACTATTAAATTCAACTGGTTCAAACTCTAACCGACTCTGGTTTACAGAGTAGTAAAAATCGATTGTTTTGAAATCCATGCAAGAATAAATGTTACCTGTTTAGTTACTTCTTGCACATATCGACTGACTTTGGCCGACTTATTCTTGTTTTTAAGACCGAATGTCTTGTCCTCGATGGCCTTGTCCTTTTTCTCTCTCTGCGCTTTAGGTGGCATGATGAACGGTTGACAGCGATATGGTTGAGTGCCAAAAATTCAATGTAAAAAAATTGAAGCAGTTGAAAGCCGAATGATATGGATTGTCTATGTGCAAGATGCATTGAATGGAATGGTTAATGTGCTTGCTGATTCCTGTAAGAACACTCGTGAATCGTATTGTTTTTGAGCATGATTTCCACTTTATACTACTCGATCCCTCTCATAAAACACATTCAATGACACTTGTCAAATCCAACTTTATTCGGCTCAATCTTGACTCGACAGGCCAAGTTCCAAACCAAAATGACCTACTTTCTGCGGTCGTTATCCATTTGTTCTAAAACCGCTGGTACTTTTTAAAAGCATTCAGTTGAATAAAATCTGATATATTCCTCGCCATCTTGCATCTGTTCACCACCTTTTAGACATATCAAATTGATACTTTGCCGCAGATTCATCTAGATAAGTGATGTGCATTCAGAGTCATGCCGCATGATATCATGGATTTGGAAAGAACACTCCTCAATTTGGCTTCATTATGGATGGACTCTATCGAGCTTCCCTCGAAGACGTAATCTGGCGGAAGTTTGCACTGCTGCTTCAAGTTTGCACACGTAATAAATGCTCAAATAATCAAGCACTAGTGTTTGAAAAACCTAGTGTAATGGGTAACGGTCTGTTATTCCATCAAACAATCTGTATAAACAACAAACCATTCATATTTTAAAACCCTAAAATGGATTCCAATGGTTCAAGTGATTCATGGGTCAAATCAACACACATCTTGACCCATCCAACACGGCTGTTTCATTATAGTCTAACCTTGACATAATCAAACCCATTCAAAATGATAAAATATATTTAATACCACTTCATAGACTAGACTTGGGTGCGTTTTTTCTCAATGCCAAATCCATCTAGATTACCAATTATCGTCACTGCAGTGCAACATGTGTTGCTGATGTAAATTTGCGCTTCATTAAGCTCCGCTTCTCAATCAAGCATGATTAAATTTTATTAAATATCCCATCTTGTTGGCATGGCCACATATTGCATCGAATGGCAAAGAAAATACACAAGCCATGTTGGATATTCCAGTACGACTCATAAGCTAGTTGATGATGTTTATCTGTGCGGAGAATGGATAACATCTGGGTCCAATCAAAAACTAGTTATAATTTCTCATAAATAGCCTCATGTTTCTCCACATGAAGTACTCGTCATCCTACACCTCGAGCTATACTGCCTTATTGCATATTTTATTAATCTAGCATCACCTTGCTCAATCCATTTTATTTCCATACTATTGACTCGAGTATTGAATCAGATCTTCCTGCCTCGAATTTACCAGATTGAAGCTTTACATCTAGAACCTTTATTCGGAACTAGATTTTAGATATACACCTATACACATACACTCTCCATATTTTCATAACATGTTTTCTTCTGCTACCAAGATTTTTCCTACAATGATGCTATTATGGGCACTCGTTTCTCCCGCTCTTGCTCAAGCTGATCCCGTAGGTGAGTTAATAATTTACTAAAAAATGATAATGTCGTCACAACGCCACACAAAAATGATCATTGACCATGAATTAAATGTTTAGCATGCACAAATTGTCTTGCACTTTGCCAAGCCAATTGGATTCAAACTGAAGTGAACTGCCAGGCCAATGACACTCCACAATGCCGTGCTTTCCAATGCTCATACGATATGATTTGTCGGACCCAATGCAACTCTCATTTCCAATGTAATGCAGAAATGAGACCTCAGTGTCTTGAACCTTCTCCCACAGCTTCTACCCCAGCATCTTCTTCAACCACGTCGTGTTCAGCACCCGTCATGACAGTCACTACTACTCAAACAAGTACTCTTTGGTCGTGTGCCATGACCACTACAATCGGAACAATGCCATTTGCTATGGATTTTGAAGCTATCCCTACTGAAGGACTCGCTGGTTATCCTCAAGGACTCTAACCTCTACATATTGCTATTACAAGGTTGATTTGAAAGCCGTATTCACGTAAAATGCATCATTTTATGCTTATTTGTACACATCTTTTCGCAACCCTTTCCATTTATTTAATCAAACCCTTAGTTAGATCCTTTTTAAAATATATTATTTTTTAAATTACTTTTTATGCATATCAAGTTGCGCTGTTTTAGTTGGGTTGATTACTCGATATAGTAGAATAGGTGTGATAAACGTGTGTTGTTCATTTTAAATTGGGGTTAGAGTGGATTGTCATGTCAGATAAACCCATCACAGTATTAGACATGATATATTCATCAATGTTTATTGGAATAAGACGATCAATTCAGCATGACAAGGGGCGATGGTTAAACCATGGCAATTCTCCAAAATAGATGATTTTGGAAAGTGTTGATCCAATCGACTGGTAAGCATGTTATCATTTGCAAGGGGACCCAGCATTACTCCCATGGGTCGTTTTGGAAATAAAGCTTACATACTGATGAGATGTGCGAGAAGCAAAAGGGACAACGATGGGTCCAATTGGAAGTGTGTTGGGCTGGATCTGACAATAGTGTATATATGGATTCAGAAAGTCCTTCAACATTGTCCATGACAGACTCGATCCAATTTTCCCTTTCCAATACAGTCACGTTCGTGTAGCGATCATGAAGTGGAATAGAGTCTCCTTTGAAAGGAAATCTTACACCTGCTCGTCCTGTACACAGTGATGCCATTTCGGTATCGAGCATGTGCCCACAGGGTGAGATGGCATGTGTGATGTTTCCCATAACAATACCTGGAATCAATCCAAGCGTTAGTGGCATAAAGCCACCCTCACTTCTGCAAACTGAGCATGCAGAAGTATAGTTGGGCTGCATCATGGTATGATCATATAAAGAAAAAACATGACCACATTGAGAAAAACACCATGGCCGATTCATGTATGTGTCAGTGACATCATCCCATTTCGCAGCCGTAAAAGGTTGTCCTTCCAGCACTAACGAAGATTCGTTCAAGTGGGTGGATCGAGCTCTTATATCCATCATAGATTGTCGCTTAAAGTTGCGACAGCGAAGAAGATCTAGCCATCGCATACGACGTATCAACCACCATATATTGTACCGCATAACAGATGGTTCGCGGATTGGAACAGCAATATGTGAGGTAGGAATGGAATCCAATGTGATGGGACATACTAACCCATTGGAAAACTGTTTGACTTGGTCGAGCATGTCGTTTGTGGTGAGAGCGGTAAAATCCACTTTTTTTGTATATCCATGAGTGGTGGTGTGAGGACTTCGCCAAAGAAATGATGTCGATTCGCAATAAATGATGCATCCGTCAATTAGCTGGTTGAGCTGTGTAGTGGCATCTTTTATATCGGGGAAATCAGATACAGTCATGGGTGCTCCACGCACTTTTGAATCGGAACGTAATTGAAATGCATTCCCCATGATGGATATTTCCATCCATTTGCCACCAATAATTATCCCTTCTTTGGATCGAATTGGACGCCAGAGAAGCACACTTGAACCAGTTGGAAATGCATCATAAATGGAATCAGAACCCTCCTGCTTGCATGCATAATGAGATGTTTGTGTTGTATGTGAAGCAACGCTCCACATCAATGCTGTATCAGTACAGACAATCGATCGGGTTGAATCAAACATGCCTGCGTATAGTCTAGCATCCGCAAGATCCTGTCTTGAACACACGATACGCATGGGAAACCCTTCTTTATCTTTTTCAACTTTATCCATACTTGGTTTTGTACTCAAAGATACCATCCCACTTTGACGACTTGTGCGACTTCTTGATCCCTTGCGTACAGCCGGTATTCCTCGTAAATTCAAAGCAGCCGTCTTTTTTTTATCGGTATGTTTAGTAGTTCCTGTTGGTGAAAACTGAGAAGCACATACAACAAAGTCGGCTCCAGACTGATTCATGTCTAACCCAAATTGGTACATATCAGTTGTTGTGGATGGAAAGCAATCGTACTTTACATCTATACTTCCAACAAACGAGACAGTCCCGACTGGTTTGAATGCATCCACAAACTTGAGTTGAGTGGATTCATCTGATTCTGGTCGGACAGGAGGTGAGGTTACAGTTGTACGACGACACAGTAAATCTACAGCGCCTCGAACAGCCTTGCCTATTTTTTCAGTCAGTTGTGAATCTAATTTATGTGAGCTTTCCACAGTAGTTGTACTATGTCGGCGCTGTGTATGCGCCTGGGTTTGTTGAAGTGTGTAATCTATCATGATACCATTGGGTATATCTCTGGGTGAAAGAGTCACTACTGATTGAGGCGGTGCTGTGTCACTGGAGGTTATATTACGTGTTGGACCCAGCACAATCAACATTCCATAAGAAACCAAGTTTTTTGAAGACAGGAATGCTGGCTGCAAAGTGACAAGATGGTTGGAATGAGTAGGATTAGTATTGCGACAGCGTGTCCAAAACTTGCGATTTTTTTTTGATTCACTCTTTACCCTAGCAGATGGTGTCAGGGTTGATGATCGCCACAATAGCGGTTGCGTTGTGTTGGGTTCTAAAGTTTCTTGTGCCGACTGGATCAGTGCAGACTGGCCCTGTTCAGAAGAAAGTGCATCTGCGTCACTTGGAACTGGAATTTGTGATGATTCCAGTTCAATCGAAGTTGGTGTGAGTGGGTATTGGTCTGTAACCACACTTGAATTTGGCACCACACACCCTAAATGCCAATTAGATTTTAAAGGTAAGGTTCCTGGTTTAGCTTGCAGGATTTCGTCACTACCATCGTCAATAGATATTGTAAATGCCGAGTTACAATTGTCTATTACAGTAGCTGTTGGTTTTGACAATGACATGAGTGATTCGGAAGGATATTTGGATTGCGATTCTTGGTCCATTATTGTAGTTGAATTCAATCCCAGGGCCGGATGATTTTTCCACCTGATGCATTAAAACATGAGTGCATAAGAATTTGCAACGACACATCATCAAAAGGTTAAATTAGCCTTTTGGTCAAATGTGTAGCATGTCTGACGATACTTGTGCATGCATAAAAGGTTACCTTGAGATGGAACAAGGAAACATCAACGTAGATTGAGAGTCAACAAAGGTGTTACAACCCATGACTTTCAGACTATCTTGGTTTAGTTCTCGCGTGCATTGCTCGAGTTCAAGGTGTTGATTCAAAGTAGGTATGAAGTCGGTTGGATTCAATGCTGAATTCAAGGACTTGGTAGGTGTATTAGCACACAGTACACGAAAGCTGCTAGAGTCTATTGTATCGAGACATGGCTGAACCGAGTCGGCAGTTTTTGGAGATGTAGCATGAGAAACCATGGCGGGGTGGTTGGACTGAGTGGACCACTGCAGTGTATCTTGAGTGAGGACGTGTTGTGATGGGCGGAGATTAGAAATATGATTTGCCATCATAGTCACAGATTGTATGGTAGAATCTGGATATGGCTTTTTGTGGTTTATATAAGCAGTTGTCAAAGCGATTTGAGATGCATTGGGTTGGTTAAGAACGGGAGAAGACGGACGCATTAACCCTTGGTATTCAGCCGCATCTTCGTTTTTAAAAGAGAATGGAAGTGCAGTGCTCATTGGGTAAACGGACGACAGTCAGTAGTTGAGTTGAATTCAAGGTCAGATGTATTTAGTAGAGAATACTAAATATAATGTTTTAAAGGAAACTGGGAATCGAATAGGAAGAGTTACTATCAGGGAGTACTTTTTGGATATGATAAAATAAGTTGAATGCGAATAAACAGGGTTAGCAAACAAGGTTGTGATAACCCAACGAATGAATGGTATTGGTTAAAGCCGGTCAGGACAATCTTGAATTCACACTCGAGTTGCTTTTATTTCAAGTTTTGGTAGACTTGGCAAGTTGTAGAGCAGATGCGATTCAAGTGTTGGATCACGACCAATTGCTTAGATTAATATTGGTAATTAAACAAGTATGGATTATGATGAAAAAAAAAGACGAGTTTAGTTGACCATGAGAACAGTAAAAAGTCTAATCTTGTAACACAAGTTGAATACTATCGATATATTCTACAAGACTTGAATCAGTTTTGTAATTAGATTCTGCTTTGGATTGGCTGCAGTTGATGCTCACCATCTTGATCATGAATGAGTGCATCGCGTCTAATGTTTGAGAGGATCGATACGACACCATCATTAAAGTCATTAAAACTAGCATTAAAGCTAGCATTAAAGCTGTGATGGATTGATAAGAATCGAGTGTATTGAATCATGGTCTAAACTCAGCATGGAAATGGGTTGAAGCAGTTGTCAGGTCGATCTTGCCAACTTCCTTTGATTTCAATCAACTAGTTGACAGAGATGAGTGGGTCGGGTCGCTCTAGTTATTATACTGCCAACCCAAAGGCAGAAGAAGAGCTGGCTGTAGCTATTAAAAAGGCTCTTTCTATTGATGAGTCTGCTCCCAAGCAAAAACATGTCCGTGCTTGCATCCTCTACACTTGGGATGTCAAAGGTTCGGGTAGTTTCTGGACTGCTGTCAAGACATATCCTCTGATGGCTGATGAGATAGTTATTTTCAAGTGTCTTATTACTATACACAAGGTTATTCGTCAGGGTCATCCAATGGTATATTATCAACTGTATATGTTGTCCTGGAACCCTTGAGTACACTGGATAAAGGATTACAAGTCGACTGTTGTCGACTTGTAGTCTTCATGAATCTGTATTAATAATCAAGTTTAATTTGTCTGCATGCTCATCCTTGTTTAATCTTGATTCGTTTCTAGGCATTGAAAGATGGCATCAACGAAAATCGTTGGCTAGACCAAATTGCTCGCATGTCTGCTGGCAACAGTAGAGGTAATCTTGAATGTTTTGCTTGTTTAATTCTGTTTTGACTCATTCAAATCTTATCCTGGTTTGGGTTACAATAAAGGTTATGGCACATTGATTTCTGGATATGTATCATATCTACAGAATAAGCTGCAGTTTCACTCAATTCATCCCGAATTCAGTGGTAATTTTGACTACGAAGAGTATGTCACTCTCCGAGGAATCGACGATCCCAATGAAGGGTATGTTTTAATCCTTTCTATAGTGTTCTACTCTCGACTCATTTCAATCTTTTATGATCCAACTATAGATTCGAGACCATTAGTGAGCTACTCGGACTTCTTGATCAGATTGACATGTTTCAAAAACAAATATTTGTAAACTTGCGTTCCATGGGTCAAAATGAAGCCCGTATTGCTGCCTTGGTTCCGCTTGTTGAAGAGAGTTTTGGCATTTATCAATTTATTTTAAGCATGATGACTGCAATGCACCAAAGTATGTGTGTTGATTTTGAATGATATTTCATAATGTCCTACTAGTCTTGACTAATCCATTTTTATCTACTATACACATGGCTTAGTTATTGGATCTGTCGAAGTTCTTGGTCCTTTGAGGGATAAATTCAAACGTAGTCATTACGGTTTGCTTCAATTCTACGACGACTGCTCTGGTTTAAAGTATCTCACATCTTTAATCTCTGTGCCCAAGCTATCCCACGAACCACACGATTTTCTTGCAAGTGGTAAACCTACTCAACAGCCTCGAAAAACAAACTCCAATGATGATGCCGCTAAACGCGAGCGCGAGGCTGCTGAAGCCCGTCTTCGTCAGCAACAAGAAGATGAACTTCGTCGTAAAATGATGGAGGAAGAGCAAGATGCATTGGATCTTCAACATCGTCAACAGAATGAGCTTCAGCAGCAGCAAGAGCTTTTACGCCAGCAAGAGATGCTTCGTTTGCAGCAACAACAACAGGAACAAGAACGTTTACGTGTTCAAATGATGCAAGCACAAGAGCAGCAGATGCAACAGTCCAGACTGCTGGATGCTCATTCCCAACTCGAGTACTTTAAAAATCAACATATACAAGATCGTCAGATGGCTGATCAGTACAGTCAGCGTGTTGCCATGCTCGAGCAACAAATTGCTCAGTTGAATCTAACAAACACTGCCGGATCTGGAAAAGATTCTACCATTCAAAGACTAAACGAAGAAAATGCCCAGTGGAAGCAAAAGTACGAGGCTTTGGCAAAGCTATATGCTCAGTTGAGAAAAGAGCATCTAGATTTGCTTCAGAGATTTAAAACTTTTAAAGATGCAGGTGGAAAAATCACTGATGAGGCTCGTCGTGAAAGCGAAAAGGTCAAGGCTGAACTAAAGGTAATATTACTATCGTATTGACATGAAATGAAACCCTTGTATTTTGCAATCATTCTTTGCTTTGGAATAAGCAATGATTGAATATTTGTTGTATGTTTCTGCTACACTTTGACTTTGATGAACACAAACCATCTCTTTTCCTCTTTTGGTAATCATGTATTGTGCAATTATCATGAAAAAGATCAATCAACTAAAAAGTCTAGAGGATAGTGTTGTCCAATGAATTGGCACTCATTACTTTACGAGACTGGCTGTTTATTGTATTTCGACACTCTAGTGTTCCATCTTATGTGAATAGGGTTGTAAATTGAGCCTTGTAACAATTGTTGATTCTACTCAACAAACGGTTTTATGATTTTGGTTTTGACGTCTATAATTCTTTAAATATGATGCATACTTTAGGCAAAATCGAATGAACTTACCGAGGTGGTAATTGAGCGCAACCGACTCAAGGGCGATACAGATCGTATTCGTGTCCAGTACGAAGAGGAAATTTCTCGTCTTCGCCGCGAAATCCAAGAAAATAAAGCTGCTCTTACTGACATATCCTTATCCAAAGGAGCTGAAGTGCAGTCCCTTGTTGCCCGGTTTACTGCAGAACAAACTCAATTGGAAAACATTATTCGTGCTAAACAGCTTGAAGCAGAAGAGATGCGCCAGAGGCTTGATGATCTTCTTGTCACGGTTGAACGTAACAAGATGGCCAATGAAGAAGAGGTATCGGTGTTACAGGCTGGGTTGGATCAAGCCTTGTTGGTTCTTTCTCAACACCAGCAGCAAAGTCAACAAGGGCTTCTTACACGAGACGATGAGATTGGAAAATTGCGCAATGAGCACCGAATGTTACTGTATCAAATGATGGACAATGTACTGCAAACATGCAGTACCACTGTCATGGAGTCTGTGTATGAGCTTGAAAGTGCAGCGCATGAAGGAAACCAGTCTGCTACTGCAGAATATGTGTTGACATTGATAGAAAAAGCTCAGCAAAATTGTGGCGAGTTTTGTGTGAGTTTTGTTCGATTGGTCAACGGTGGTGATCCAAAAGATGCTATCAGTACATCGAGTATGCTGGCTCAGTCTGTGTCGCAGCTGTTGTATAACGGAAAAGGAGTTGCGCGTCATTCTCCCGAAGACCAAGAAGCCGATGAAGTGATCGAGATGCTACGGATGGGTGCAAATGCCACGATTGACTTTTTTAACCAAGTCAAGTCTACAGCAATGGGAGCAATTTCACCTCAACATCAACCAGAGCGAATTGTTGAGTTGTCGCGATCTACCCAAGCACAAGTTGGACGTGTAGGACCATCCATGGAAAAACGTGTTGGGTCCAAACTGGACGGGAAGCTGGGTGATGGCGATCTTGGTGATGCAGTTGAGAGAGAAATGGGACAAGCAGCACAAGCGATTGAGGCTGCTGCTCGCCGTCTTCAAGAGCTTCTTGCATTACAATCTGGACCTGATCTTCAAGTTCATTCGGCAATTCTTCAATCAGCCATGGCCATCACTACAGCAATTGCCAATCTTATCCGATGTGCAACAGCCAGCCAACAAGAGATTGTGGCACAAGGAAAGGGCACATCGTCGCTAGTAGCATTTTACAAAAAGAACAACAAATGGACAGAGGGACTCATTTCAGCAGCACAAGCTGTAGCACAGGCAACAACGTATTTGGTGGAAATGGCAGATGGGTTAGTTCAAGGCACAAAATCGTGGGAACAACTTGTTGTAGCAGCGCAAGAAGTTGGTGTTGCGACAACACAACTTGTGGCAGCAGCACGAGTCAAAGCCATTGCGTATAGTAAAACGCAAGACCGACTAGAAGCAGCAGCTCAAGCAGTACGCGAAGCAACAAAGTTGCTGGTCAGAGCAGCCAAAGAGGCGGCTAAATTGTCAGCAGAATCCAAGGCTCAAATGGATGTAAAGACGATAGGAAAGCATGAAGCCAAAGTGCGAGAGATGGAGCAGCAGGTAAAAATTCTGGAATTGGAAAAGGATCTGCAAACAGCTCGTTACCAGTTGGGCGAGATGCGTAAGCGAGGATATCATGAGGATGAATGAAATGAGTTTTGTTTATTGAAAACTGGTGATCAAGTTGGGTTTATATTGTCCCGACAATTTTTGCATATTCACGTAAAGTGGAACATCAAGTTAAAATACAAGATAATCAGTCATGTTTGATGGGTTTCAGTCTTACTGGAATCATTGCTTAGAAATGGTTTTTGGTGATTTTAACAAGTGTTCTTTTATGAATTTCTACTTTTTCAAAATTTTGTATAATATATTGTCATGAAAACACATCAAATCATTGATGGTTTGACAACTTGTAATCATCAACACTTGAAAACCGAGACATTGCAAGTGCATTTGTGGAGATTGATCAAGAGAGTTGTCGAGTCTTTTTAAACAATGACATGCAACATTCCCAAACGGTCACTTTATTTCAGACAACATTCCATTTCATAAAGCAACTGTGATTAGATATGGTTTATCAACCATTCAACACATATCGCGATGATTAGAGTTTTATATTGTTGATTCATAAATCCTATTGATGGATTGAGTGTAATAAAGAATGAGTTTGTCAAACAGTATCAAATACTAAAGAGTTGATAATCTAATACGAAAACAACGAATATTCAATCATGAACGATTTCCAACCAAATGGTCGATTTAAATACAAAAATATTCGACTTTACATGAATATGGCCTTAAATTGTCGAAAGCAAGACATCAATTCACTGCAGGATATAGAACCATCTAGTATTCTTTCTACAAAAACATCCGAGTCTTCAGTCCCGCTCTTGAGTAGTGATTCGACTACTGCAAGTGACTTGGACTCTATAGTAATGTCTTTGGTTGCAACTAAACAGCAGTCTAATAGTTCCAATGAGCAGCTATCTGACAAAGATCCTGCTTTGAAAACAGAGTCTAGCATACTTGATAGTTGTGATAATAAAAGACTGCATCAGTCTCTATTCACCCCAAAAAAATCCAGACCTCATTCCAGACTGGGTCGGTCTTTAACTAGTCCGTCAACTACTGGATCTACCAATGCAGCCAATCCTGCTGCTGTTTTAGTTCCGGACTCACCATTAATACCAGGATCGACAGTCTCGGATCGTATTGATATGATTCCATGCACACCAAAGGAACAGACAGACAGGATGATCTACAATGGAGTCAAATTGGTTTCAACGCTTCAGATGAGATTAGGAGTCGATGATGACATGAGCCAATCTTCTCAGAGCAGCACTACTAGATTCGATGTTGTCGATCATTCTGTCAATCAAATCAATGCATTTTCCTCTCACACGAAACGCTCTCCATCTGCTGTCATGTCGGTGTCCGAACAAAGTTCTCCAATTATCGCACACACCGAATCTGTGATGTCTAAATATCCTGCTCGACCTCTTCAATCTTTACAAGCATTTTCTGAATCTTCAAATCTATTTTCCTTGTCATCTCAAGTTCCTCGTTCTGATACACGTAACGCTAGCAACGATTCAAAGTCTGGGCTCAATTCGGATACGTACAACTGTTCAAGTCCAATCCATGATGAAACTAAAAACATATTTGACTGTCGTCAACAGCTTCCTACCACACCTTTACTTAAAAACTCCAAAAATCATTCGATAAAAAAAAGTCATACACTTCCTGCTGTTTCTGTCGCTTCAACTGCCAAATCTACTTTTGCTACTCGTCCCACTTCTTACAAACCAATTTCCACTTTTATGTTTGGAAAGGCTCCTGTTGGTGTCCCTGTTCACGTTTCAAACACTCTACAATCATTTGCATACAGCAGCAAGCCAGTACGCAAATCGGATCCACTTTTAAACTCGTCTTCTCTCTATAAAAACACGTCGCCATTTATTAATACGCATTCCGAGAAAAAAAATGCAGTTATATCAGATACCCCTAGTGCTCAATATACTCGTCCCACTGCGTCTACTTTGTCCAATCCAAATCAGGTTCAGAATTCACTGTCAATGTTCAAATATTCTGGGAAAAATCAAGGCAAATCTACAAAAAAAGTATCGTCGCATAACATCAAAATAGAAGAACTTGCATCATTGTTTCCAAAATCTACCCCTGATGAATTAGAAAAAGCACTCGATGTTGTAAATGGAGATATAAAAGACGCTGCTGCATGGCTAAGAGCAAACCATGACTTTTCGGATCAAGCCATTGCAGAAAAAGGTGGAGTCAAAAGACGAAAGTTGGTTCGAAAAATTGATTTGGAACCTAGTTATGCCTCTCTGAATCACAGCGCTTATAAAACGAATCCGTTGCCATGTGACGATGATGACGACGATCATGATATTTTAAACGCTGACATGAAAAAAGTTACCACTGGTGCCATAAATGGAGTTGCAAAATTTACTACAGCCGTGACTAGTAAATCCAAAGCACTCGTTCCCATCACTCTGTCTGATGATGATGAGATTGTGGCGTATGGAGAGTCGCATTTAGATTCTAAAAAATCAATTTCTCAGTACGACTCTGATCCTATTTCAATCGCTGATGAAGACGATGTGAATGCAAACGAAACTACCGAGTTTGATCATGATTTTCAGATGGAGGATGATATTGAACAAGATTCAGCCATCATGATACAAGTGCTCGAGTTTTTCAACTCAGCCACAGTCGAACATATAACAGAATCCCTCAAATGCTTGCCAGAAGCATCCTCAATGATTGTTTCTTTGCGTCCATTTCATTCTGGCGACCATTTGCGTGAAGTTTGCTCTACTGGATGCAAAGCACAACGCAAGCTGTATCGACTGGTAGATCGCTACGAACATCTTTTGGAAGGGTTTAAAGAAGTCGACTCGTTAATTAAACGATGCGAGACTGTTGGAAACGATATCAAACAGATTATGACCAGGTGGATCCAAAATGCAGCAGCTATCAGCTCTTCACAGAATGATGGAACTTTCTTAGAAACTACCGCGTTGATGGATGAAACCAACGGGGAAATTTCACTGACTCAAGTTGCTGCGTTATCAGAAGATACTGACAGCCATACTGGGGATGCTAGTTCAGTTGACGGTGCTTTGACTGATCATGATGATGACATGGCACACATGGACAAAACTGATCATTTCATTGCAAAAAAAGATTTAACTGATGGTGCTTTGGATATTGACGATGAGGATGAGGATGAAAGCTTTTTTCCTACTCAAAAACCCAAAGAATTGCCCGATTCTACACGTAAACCGAATAGTTTTACCTTGACTCCTTTAATCTCCAACACATCTACACATCTCAATGACCCAACTAGTTTCAAATGCTTGACCAAACAACCCAAAATTATTCCTTCTACATTGCAGCTAAAGCAGTACCAAATTGTCGGTGTGAGTTGGTTAATGATGCTGTATCAGAAGCAACTGGGAGGAATTTTGGCAGATGAAATGGGATTGGGTAAAACTGCTCAAGTGATTGCATTTTTGGCGCATTTGTACACTTTGGGTGAACGAGGCCCGCATCTGATAGTCGTTCCTGCGTCTACACTTGGTAATTACAACGCCTGTGTTATTTCCGACAATGATTTCTCTGTTTAACTCTTTAGATTTGAATAGAAAACTGGGTGCGTGAATTGAATCGATGGTGTCCAAAACTATGTGTAGCGTCGTATTCTGGATCTCTGTCTGATCGTCGATGGCTGCAAGAAGACATTACAAATAATTCCAAACTCAATGTGATTGTCACAACGTATGTATTTATAAATGATATGTGTACACAACCTGGTCGATTAGCCTTTGGTTTTAAATGGCTTTATGTTGAGTAAATTAGATACAGTATGGCAACTGGATCCAAAGAAGACCGTACATTTTTACGCAGAATCCGAATCAAGTCGCTCATTCTGGATGAAGGACGTGAGTGGTTTTACTGTGTCTTGATTAGTACACTATTTACTAATTACCTTGTGATTTCACAGACATGGTTAAAAATATTGAAAGTAACAGATATAAGCATTTGATGGCAATTTCAGCACCATTTCGTTTGCTCCTTACTGGTAATTTCATTTGGCTACTCGAGTAATCATGTGCTTTGATGCTGACATACAAATCCCAATCAAATTTCACATGTTATTAGGAACACCACTTCAAAACAATTTGCTTGAACTATTGGCTTTACTGACATTTGTTATGCCACGATTGTTTGTTACTGACCAAAAAACGCTTGAACGCATCTTTTTATTCAAATCCTTGGGCGGTGGGGACGAGTCCTCTCTTAGCCATGAGCGTATTAACCGAGCCAAGAAAATCATGACACCATTTGTTCTTCGTAGGCGAAAAGACCAAGTTTTACGTGATTTACCACCAAAAACAAAAGTACTGAACGTGTGCACTCCAGTTTCATCGCAATTGCAGCTGTATAAAGTATGCAAATGTCGGTTTTGCCTTTAATTTTGAATATTGAAATTATTGCTAATGTTGCATATATTAGGATATTCTTTTGTGCTCTAAAAAAGCTATTGCAGCTTCTGAAAAAACTATCGTGCCACATACGACCAAACTGACTACTGACTCGGATAAAGCAGAGAAACCCCTTAAATCAGAGACTTCCGATCAAACAGCATCATTGGCCAATCGTCAGTTATCGAACGTGTTGATGGATTTACGCAAAGTTGCCAATCATCCTTTGCTTGTACGAAGTCGATATACAGATGCAAAGCTTCGTATTATGGCCAAAGCAATTATGCGCGTAAGTATACCTTATAAACTGGTTTAGAGTATGATATTGATTTTTATGAATGTGTAGGAGCCAGAACATTGTGATAAAAATGTCGAGTATATCTGGGAGGATATGTGTATTATGTCTGATTTTGAAATCCATCAGTTATGTCTCAAGTATAAAGTAAGACTCGATTACTTTTATTGGATACGCTTGCCAAGTCACCCATGCTTTACTTGCTGACAAGTACTTTTATTCCAATGTATTGTAGACATTAATGCCACACAAATTATCAGACAAGGTCATCATGGATTCGTGTAAACTTGTTAAACTTAAATCAATGTTGCTGGAGATGCGAGCACAAGTAAGCATTATTTTACTCCATCTGTGTGAATACACCACTAATGCAATATAAATGTTGAATGATATAGGGTGACAAAATACTTGTGTTTAGTCAATTTGTAATCATGTTGGATATTCTTGAACCAGTCATGGAGCATCTGGGAATCAAGTATCTTCGATTGGATGGAACTACACCTGTCGGAATTCGACAAAGCATGATGGATGAATTCAACAATGATCCAGAGATTACCGTGTTTCTTCTTACGACAAAATCCGGCGGTGTTGGTATTAATTTAACAAGTGCGAATGTAGTCATCATGTATGATATCGACTATAATCCACATAACGACGCTCAAGTGAGTCTAGGCTGCTGAGTTTTTGATGATTGAATTTCATATACTGATTGTTTTTTGAATGGCTGTTGAAATACAGGCTGAAGATCGAGCTCATCGTGTAGGACAAACACGGGCTGTCACTGTGCATCGATTGATTATGGACAATTCTATCGAGCAGCATATTTTGCGACTGGCAGAACATAAACTTGAATTGGATGCCAAACTACAATCGCGTGAGTATGTTTGTACCAATGATGACAACAAGGATGAAGAAAGTGAGTTTGAAACCAAGAGAAAACACAAGGGTCAAAAACTTGCTTCTGGAAAAGTCAAGGATAACAAAGTGGATCAAATCAGTAAACCCGATTCAAGTATCCTCGACGTGCTTCAAAGCGTGATACTTGGATTGGAGTAGACCGCTGTAGATTGATGTGGTGATGGTCGGAGCCTATATCAACCATTCAGCGACTAATATGCATTTTGTTTTAATGCACATTTTGATATACTGTCTCATTATAATGTGTTTACTTCACTGCTGTATTCACGCAAAACGAAACACTAAAAAGAGAGTCGATATAATAAACAATCAGTCTTGTGAAATGATGGGTGTCAGGTTTACTGGACAACACTGTTTTTTGGAACTTTTAGTTTACTGGGGTTTGCCTTGACGATATTTCTGTTGAACGCGAACATACACATTTTTAAACTACAAAGATGCGTTTAGAGTTTTATTAACAGCAGTCAAATTCAATATCTGGATTCAAACTTGGTGATCGTGTAATGTATGGCAATGTCAAAAGTAAAGAGACCACTCCAGTTCAAAATTAGCTTGATTTTAATACCTATTAAAGCCAATTTTTATCAAGAAAGCGCAACAAATACTTGTCCATTGTTCATTTCAAAGCAAAAGAGGCAGTGACTGCAAAATAAATACAAATGTTTCATATTATGTGAATACAACAGTGATGATATTTAGAATAAATTGCTAATTAACAACTGATAGGCAATTCAGACTTGGCAGACAAGTCCACCAACTAGTCCATTGATTTAAAACCATAAGCTTTTATATCAGTAAAAAAGTCGTGCCAAAAATAGCGTTTTTGAGACTATATTGAAACATTTGATTTTGTATTATTGGGTTAGGGTTGTCAAGACTGATGGTGAATGCTAGTTGAATACAAACAAAACAAGCCTAGTGAATCATCTATTTTATTTAATGATTTCATCTTGAATCTTGAATCTGGGCAGATAAAGCACGCACTGTTTCGAAGACATTCGAAAACTGGTTATAAAATATCATCGGTTTTATTTCGATATAGCCATAGCGGCAGCCGATCGTCGCGTAATTCGCATAGGAGACGCATTTGAGCGTGATGACTGCAATACAGATATAGATGAGTGTCGACGAGATTTGGAAAGGGAAGCTGTAATGGAGATCTGCCTTGCTTCAGTCATCATTTCTGCCGAAAGTGCAATGTTGTTATATGGATTATGGGACATGGTGCGCTGAGCAGCCTCTTCCATCCTTATTCGCTTTCTAATCCGATGAGCACGAACACGTTCGGTACTGGTTTGTCGTTTGTCGCTTATTGGTGTGATGTGCTCAGCAGAACTGGCTGTATCCAATAGCGCTGGATATGGGTTTAACGAGGTCACTGATGTAGTTTTAGAATGTTGGCTCGAGTTGGAAAGTGTAGGTATGATATTGACATCATCTGATGTGGCAGATGAAAGACAAAGCTGCATGGGTGCTGGGAGGATATTGACAAAACGGGTTGGACGTTTAATTTGATTAACTGTTTTTGGCCTTCCAGTTGTCTTCTTTCTTACAAGTGAATTAGAATACGCTTCTTGCGTGTTTGTATAGAGTAGTGACTGAGTGGGTATATACATGCATAGATCCGATGGCGTGGAAACTCCAAACGCTTCAACTGCAAGTGCAATATCGCAAAGTAACTCTAGTTTGGTGACCATAAATATAAAGTTTAATTATTGCTGATATATTTTATCAAAAAAATGATAGCAATATTTTAAATGCCTATCAAGATGAAAATACAATCACTTGGTTAAAGTTTTAAATTCTAGACCATTATTGTTTAGGTGGTTCAAGTAACTTCGCGATTGGCTCAATCTGTGCTTTGTTTGATTGTTTCAAGAAACAAACTAGCGTGATGGTGTTTAGAATTAAATTCTTGTTTAAATTCTATTGAATAGATATTATACGTTTCTTGATCAATCATTTCAATTGTTACCAACGTTGGTGTTGGGAGTTATTTAAACAATAGTACGGCTCTGAAAGAAACCATGATACTACTGGTGCGTCTAAAACGCTTTGAATTTGGTTTATCCTCAACTCAATACCAATTTATTGAAACTAATTATCGATATAGATTAGAAACACGGATATGCTGAAACATTTAGATTCAGCGTTACGTGACCGTGCGTTTAAACATGTGTAGGTGGGTTACTAAAAGTATCCTTATCCACATCACTACCCAATTCAATTTCAGTTGGTTCTGTAGGAACAAGTCCTAGCACATCTTGAATAAAATCTTTTGCATTGATTGTATGAGGCAGTTGTCCACGATAGATGGGATGATCCATCAAGAGCATGGAGAATGCTTCATGCACATCTTCAAGAGAAAAAGATTCGCCTATTTGTAAATATTATTCAATATCGTACAGTTAATAAATAATTATAAAACTAGCTAAATGATTTAAAAATCAATATACCAAATTGCTGAAGTAATGAAACAATTCCTTTGCTTGAAACAGTTTGATTTAAACTGAGCTTAACAACTGGACCCTTTGGAAGCGGCTTTCCAGGCTCTAAACGCTTGGCATGGGACAACGCAATCTCTATATCGTTTAAACTAATATCTCTCACTGGTCGATGATTCAAATACACTTGAATCAAAAGTTGAATAATTGGGTTACAAATCTAGCTTGTACAAAAATTTGGCATACATATTTAAGCATGTAAATACGGAATGCTCACATTTGATGAGTTCAGGGAATGTGATGGATTCAACTTCTTTTCCTTCGCCTTGTGAAAACCTCGAGTATTTAACTTCGTTAATCATGTCGTCAATTTCTTGATTTGAAGGATAATATCCCATGGCTTGAACAATTGATGGGACTTGTGTTAAACTGACTTGATCAGATATGATACGATTGCCAGCAGCATCTCCCTTTTGACTAATAAAACAGTCAGTCCAGTATTATTTTGAGTTTAAATTCACACTTGCAGTACATCAAACTCGATTGAACAGAGTAATGCACTTTCAAAGGCTATTACAAGGCTCCGACCATTAATTTACCTTTGAAGCTGAGCATAGTAGAAATAATCTTCAAATTCACGATATATCGGGCTTTTTTCACCAAGACCACTGGGATCAAGCATATTCAGATAAGGTTCAAGACTCCCAGCAAAAATCGATGCTTGAGCTTCAAGTACAGCCGTGTTGATATTCCAGCAGTTGACTATTCCGTCTGTACCACCAGCAGTAATGATTGATACTCCATCATGTGAACACACAATGTTTGACACCTGAATCAAATCAACGTTGCATTGAATGTTAACAATTTATAATGCATGTTTACAGGAGTAATCAAGCTATACGTGCCTCGCCAGGATGACTAATAACACCCATTGTCGTGGATGGGTTTCCATCCAATGGAAATACCGTTATACCAATAACCTAAACAATTAAATAAATCAGCCAACTATGTCTGATGGCGATTGGTTATACAACAATACAGCCAGCATCAAAACTTGATAGCTTGCCTGATTGGACGTGGAAAAAGCAAGATACTTTGTTTCCGAGTCCGATGGAATAAGACGCATATTATTTATATGCCCACCAAAAGTTGGTCCAAGAACAGTTTTTTTACACAGCTGAGTAGATTCAGTGTATTGCTTGAGTTTGTAACCAGAATTGAAGGTCAGTATCAAATTCTCGGGATGGATACTATGGTGTCGTTTATATATTACTGCCGCTTCAGGTCTATGAATTTGCTCAATCCGTCGAATTGACTACCAAAAACATATACAAAACGTAAGGATTTGATAGTTTACTGTACATGCAACTCAATCAATTATATCTATACTGACATTGATAAAGATCCCACCAACAATATTTGATTTGGCAAGATCAAAATCGGCAACGTGTCTATCCTTTGAAACAGACAAAAGCCTTGGTCCACTATCACTTGTTTCTTTTGGCAAAAATAACAAGGCTGGTTATATCAATACAACGCATCGTACTGTTAAATTCAGATTGGCAATTCAAAACATCTGCATTCAAATGCAAAAGACTTACAGACAATATCTTTAAAGTGAGTTTTGCGACGGCCAATAAATACCCATTCGACACGGTGTCGTAATAAACTTTTCGTGTTCCCATCTTCTCCAACAGCAGCAAGAGTTTTTTGTTGTGGTTCATTACCAACGCATTTTGGTTCAGTACCAGTAGCTTCTGCAGATCTGGTGGATTTTGCACTGACGGCTTCTTTGCAAAGAATACATACAACATGGGCAGCATCCGCCGCAGCACAATAGTCATCATCGGGTGAAAATGATAGTTTTGTAATGGGCTCGGATGATATTTGATAACCGTAAAATTGATTTTTAATGAGATAAGATTGGGGAATATCTTGTAATGTTTGTGCGTCCAACATTCTTAACACGCCATTGGTAAACCCAATTGCTTATTTCAGGTCCATTGTGGTATGAGATTCATGGAAAAATTGTAATGATAAAAACATATTTTAAAAGTTAATAATTAAATACCAAACTCTATTTGAACAGTTTGTAAACAAGTATACTCACCAAGTGTTTTTCCATTGCAAGAATACGCAAGGCAGCTAATTACCATGGGTGTGGGCTCAACGCTATGTGATTTTACACCTGGCTGATCGTTTGCGTCTATAAGAGTATCCGCCTTTTGTTTTTTGTGCTTTTGCGCTGCAATGACGGCTTCAGTAGTGCTAGGAATGTCTTTAAAGTACCGCGAAATAATGATTTTTTTGGTGTCATAGTCCCAGATATGTAAATGACCTAACCACATTCATTATAATCAAATATAGTTGGCAAAGGATAGTTTGTCAAACTCTGTGTAAAACCTACTATTCCACTCCAATCAATACACTATATTTTTACCCGAATCGCTACCCACTGCAAAGCAACTTGACGCGGGATGTGCATCTAATCCACGAATGTTTCCGTATTGACCATGCAATAAGTTGGTTATTCTAGGAACCTAATCAAAATAATACACATTTTCAAAAATTGGTAAATTATGCAAGCTTAATTAAATCTCATTCTATTCTGTCATCAATAAATCAAAATATGATTTACCTCATTGAATTCAAATGTGCCTCGTTGATGTTGAGTAGGTGGATTGTCTCCACTTGATAATCCAGTGGTCAAAAAGTGTGTGTTTGTTAGTGCACATTCCGTGATAGTTTTGTTGTTTGTATTTGAAAACGCTGCCTTGGTTTGAGGATTATGAAGCAGTAAAATGCGTGCGTGTTTAGTCGCAACAACAAGTTCGGGTATACCAATGTCTTCAAACATTGCTAGCATTCATCAACCATACAGATTCAATAGATTGCAAACGTGATTGGTAATAAAACGAGTTAGTTTATGAATATTCACATTTTTACCTAAATTGCTAGGTTGATTTTACTTACGTTCAAATGTAGTGCTTATTGCTACAGATGAAATGGGACCGGCGTCTAATTTTTCGTACCAAAATAGTATTCTAAACTAAGTTTATCATGCATTGTAAATTAATTTTCCAAACTTGTATTGCTTGTTCAAACGGTATGCATCAGGAAATCGACTAAAAATATTCAGCTTACATTTAAATCAAATATTTTGATATAGCCATCCTCGCCACCAGTAATAATAAACTTGTCCTGAAAACTTGTTATAAAGTTTATTGGAGAATTATGCAGCCTAAATAAAAGTTGAAGCATCAGTACATACTTTATCTTGTATGACATCACACCATGTTTTTGACAATTAGTTTATATACATTCACTTACTTGATGAATTTAACTACTTCCTTGTGCCCTTTTTTCAATTTGATACTGAGATTATCAAGACTTTTATCTGACCAGACAATCACCTCGCCATCTTTGGTTCCAGATACAGCCTGATTCAATGAGGGCAGAAAATTCGAGTACGAGTATCCTGAAGGAGTGTGCTTAAAATCTCTAATCATATCAGTTTATTTTAATAGCACAACGTTAGCATTAATTTTATCAAAAGGTTTGCACTGGATTTTGGCCTACTTTGAACTTAAAACTGGCACATTTTGGGTCATTTCCAGCGACTCCTTGTCCCAGATATAAAAATTGATTGAATTTGGACCATTTGAAATCAGTTCAAAAGGATCAACTGGATTGACTCGCAAGCAAGTCTGATCGATATACAAGTTAAACAGTCGCGTTATGTAATACTAGTAAGTAACATATTTTTTGAAATGCGTATAGAATTAGTAGGGTTAAAAATTCATCACCTGCAACTCTCCCACTATTTTGTAGGATAAAAGTGGCTCATTGGTTGAGCAAGTCCAATCCCAAATGCAAATGGTTTGATCTTGACCTATTAAAATCAACACGGGATTATTGTTTTAGTTAATGTATCAGTAAATAGTGTAGTACGTCATACTATAGTAATGGCACAATCTTACTTGCGCCAAGAGTGATTAGATATTTTGAGTCGGGGGTAAATTCAACGGATAGCACACCCAATCCATCATGTGGATCAAAAATGTTTTTAATAGGCACGGCTTGTAGTGTGTTTTGAGGAGTAGCCGATGCATCTGTAGCATCGGAAATATTCGATTTGAGTTCAGGATTTATATCCCATACAATGATCATAGAGTTTGGTCCACAGTCTGCAGTCACAATCCATTGTTGTTTTAAACTAACTGCTGTTGATGTAATTGAATTACACTAGATTGGATGATGAGCGATTTTAGTAAAAATAGACTGCGAATCACTGCAGTCAACATGTATACAAATTACAAAATGGGTTTTGACTTACATGCCCTTGAAGTAGTTTTTGGTTTCCGTGTACCCAGTCGTAAAGTACGCCCGTATGAGCAGATGCGTAAAATAGAACCTATATTACATGTTAGATTTCTTTGACTCGTTTTAAAAGTGTAATTTAGTACAAACACGAGTTGGTTGAAGCCTGTTGGTCAAACCTTTTGCTTGCTATCAGATAGGTTGTGAACTGCACCAATGCATTCACGATTGAATCCAAACGTCCATTTTAGATTCTAAAAGTTGGTATAAACTTGCAAGAGTTAGTCCAATGAGCTAAAACGCGCAGGTCTGATGGCAATAGGAACATGTATTTCAAGCGAGAATGCGTACCAATGCATTTTGGGTCGAGCTGTCCTTTGAAATATAAGGATTATCCATTCTAGATACTATAACAGTATGTTTTTGCAAGATAAAGCGGCTGGTTTAAAGTTGAATGCGACTTGCCAAATATCGTAGTATAGAGTCTGTACCGTGAATTTTAATACGTGATGACAAACCCCAAAAATTTGCCATTTAAATTTTATCCAGAAAAATGCAACAATGCAGTCAATGGACAGCGTATCTGCGACGCCCATATCAACGATTCTCATCTACACAATATTATATGCATAATATCACTTGCCGCTATTCAACAAAAAACCAAAAGAAATATACATTTCCAATCACAACCATTAAATCTCTTGTCACCGATTCAACCTATATTGGAAAAACAGTAACTGTTCATGGATGGGTGCGATCGCAACGACTGCAAAAAACAGTAACATTTATTGATTTAGACGATGGTTCATTACTATCGGGTCTTCAAATTGTTATGGACTCATCAGTGGCCAAGACGTATGTTCTTGCCTAAACATGCACATTTGAATACTTTTACCGTTTAAAACATTCATCGTTGTAGATGCATTGCTTATCATCAATTCATATTGAATTCACTTGTAGATTGACTACTGGCACTTCAGTCAAGATTTCTGGAAAATTGGTTCCATCTCCGTCAAAGAATCAAGCTGTAGATCTAGAAGCCATTGATTTGACGGTGCTGGGTGAATGTGATCCACAGGTACGATGAATTCATCTAAAACATTGACAAGCAAGACTAATTGATCAGCACATGATGTTTGGGTTAGTCGTATGCAATTTCCAAGAATAGGTTACCGCTGGAGCATCTACGAGAATACCAACACTTGCGATCACGAACGAGGATATTCGGTGCGTTATGGCGGATTCGCAGCGCTGCATTGCAAGGAATCCATGATTTTTTCAAAGTAAGTCTCGAGATTCCAGTCTTACTATTCAATTGATATTTATTGCTCAAAATGGAATAATCATTTATAAACCAAACCTTTGAAGTTTGCTAATCTACTGTCTGAAATTTGAAATGAATATACAGGCACAAGAGTTTACACAAGTGAATATGCCAATTTTGACCACACATGATTGTGAAGGTGGTGGAGAAGCATTTCGTGTACTCACAGATGATACACTCAAATCCTATCAAAACTATGCCGTAAACTACTCACAGACTACTCAACACCAGGCATTGCCGCTACCAGATGAATTCTTTGGCAAACCTGTGTATACTACAGTATCTGCACAACTTCATTTAGAATTTATGGCATCGGCTTTATCTAGAGTGTATGTGCTTGGCCCAGCTTTTCGGGCAGAAAAATCTCAATCAACTAGACATTTGGCAGAGTTTTGGATGCTAGAGGCTGAAGCATGTTTCATCCCTACCATTAGCGCTCTCACTGATCTCATCGAGGGGAATATTAAACACGTTATCCAGCATGTTTTAAATACTTGTCAAGAAGATCTAGCCTTGTTTGATCAGTTTTCTGAGCGTGATCTTGTACAGAAACTAGATAATGTATCCAACAAATTGTTTGAACGCATGACGTATACGGATGCAGTGCAAGTGCTACTGAATGCCGAAAAAGGCATAAATGGAAAGCGTTGCGCTCCCGAGTGGCAGTTTCCAGTCAAATGGGGGTTACCTCTTCAGAGTGAGCACGAAAAGTTTCTGGCCGAGACGATTATCAAGGGCCCAGTGTTTGTCACAGATTATCCTAAAAAAATCAAGCCGTTTTATATGAAACAAAGTGGAATTGGTAATACATCTGTGACCAAATGTGATGGAGAAACTGTTGCCTGTACAGACTTGCTTTTACCAAAAGTGGGCGAGTTGGCAGGAGGTAGCTTGCGCGAGGATCAATACGAGTTGCTAGCACAGAAAATCAATGATGCAGGACTAGACTCGGCACAACTTGAGTGGTATTTGGATTTGAGAAAATATGGCAGCGTCCCACATGGAGGGTACGGTATGGGATTTGAACGACTTTTGGGATATCTAACTGGCATGACTAATATTCGCGACATGATACCTGCCCCAAGATCATATGGACACTGCAAGTTCTAGCATATGATTCTGTTGAATCAAAATGTGTATTGCATGCTGTTGAAGCATTTTTGAAATCTAACAAAAATATATAATGACTCGAGTCGAGACTTTAAAAGTACTGTTTATTTGTAGTTTGATCAAACCCATTCTCTTGGGGTTTCCAAAACCTTGATTAAATCTTCTTCTGGACTGCCTGGTTCGGGTTTTTGCATATACTGCCATCTTGCAGTCAATGGTAATGACATGAGAACGCTTTCAATGCGAACACCAGGTGTTACGAATCCAAACTTTGTTCCACGATCATGGACCTGCACGAATTCAGTTTAAGACAGTTAGCGATCCAAAAACAAGCAATGAGATTTAGGTTTATCAATGTAGCAATATTTTGGATAAAAAGCGCTTATATTACCAGATTAAACTCGACATAACGACCACGACGTAACTGTTGCCACTCCTTCTGAGCCGGGGTAAATGGCATGTTTATGCGACGCTTTACAATGGGAATGTACTGCTCGACCAGACTGTTTCCACAGTCACTAACAAAAGAAAACAATTGATCTGCGGGTTTATCTTCTAAATCATCAAAGAAAATACCGCCGATGCCACGTCGCTCGCCACGATGAACATTGTTAAAGTATTTGTCACACCACTCCTTGAAACGAGGATAGTACTCGGGATCGTGCTTGTTGCATGTGTCTTTGATGACCTTGTGGAAATGAACTGCATCTTCTTCAAACAGATATGATGGAGTGAGATCACAACCACCACCAAACCATGCAGCAACAGGCTTGTCAGAATCCTTGGCATTAGAAGAAGCGTCGCGCAACTCAAAGTATCTGTAATTGGCATGGAATGTAGGAGCCATTGGATTATGAGGATGAACGACCATGGACACACCGGCGACAAACATTTTATAATTGCCATTTGGATCGATCGAGTCTTTGTTTCGAGCACGCATATTGGCAATCATGGCTTTAGGTGCTGGACTAGCAATGATGGTGATATTGACGCCAGCCTTTTCAAACACTCTGCCTTCCTGAAGAACACAAGACGTGCCGTATCCACCTTCCTCACGAATCCAAGAGTCGTGAAGGAATTTTCCACCATCAGGACCTTCGATCTCTTCGAGAGCAGAAACCATATCCGATTGTATTTTATTGACTAATTTCTCCATTTTAAATGGAATGGATTTAGCAACATCCTATACACGTATTCAAGATATGGATTAAATAAGTATCTAAGCTATACCAACATAAATAAAGGATCAGATTTCAACTACCTTTTGAGTAGTGGATTGTTTTTGCACAGATTTTGCAGAGTCGCAGTTAATGGGAGAGTTTGAGCCCTAAGCAAGCAGATGCAGAGTTGAAATAAATATTAGTACGGTATTCACATGAAAACAGATTCTAGTTTGAAATCAGTTAATAGTATATTGACATACAGGATAAAAGTATTCCATCAGCACAGAAGTGGACATATAGCCAGCAATGACAGCGACAGTCGTTCCAATCAAGGCACCATCGAGATTGAATGTGTAATAAAATTGTTCTTTTGAGCCACGACTGGAAGAATAGGAACAAACTAGAGAGTTTTGTTTAAAACGAGTGAAGCATATAGCATGGGTTGGTAGTGATAAACGAGCAAAAGTGTCAGATCCATTAATTGTAGTAGATGATAATCTTGCAAGAGAAGGACGTAATCCACGCAACATGACGATTCAATTGATAATTAATACAGTTTATAATCAGTTTAGTTTGTAGTGAATCCAGCTGATAATCCAGTTTTTATGATTAATTCAATTGATAATCAAATCAGTTCTTCAACTCATTTTATCAACACTTCACGTGATTAATGAGTTGGTTGTTGGTCATTGCATACACAAAGTGATTCATTCTGAACATTACAAAACTTTGTATAAAATAATATTCTTTTTAAAGTCGATTTTAATCAAATAAGCTGTTGTGATGTCTGGAATTCAACTGCGAATAAATTGATTTTTTATTTTTTATTTTTCTGATCGAATCTGAAGAGTTCATTTCTATTCAGATAGTTGATGATGATTGCTGCTGTCAGGAATAAGTCTGTATTGAGTCATCTTCATGCTAAATCTCTTTATAGGAAATATCCTATTACAATATTGTATCAAAAACTGCAGTTTTCTTCCACTAGAACACACAAATTCCAACCTTCAAGTCTGCTACTAAAACACACATTTGACAATGCCAAGAACTCGTCTAGTTTGTCTTCTGCTGGATTATCTCTTGAATTCAATACCGATTTAAAAGATTCGAATAGTTATTCTTTAAAACCATTTCAACTGCAAGTCGGTGATCTTGTAGAAGTTCGCAGGTTGGTTGAGCGTTTTTTACGACTATATTTCGAGATTTTATATTCATGGCATCGTTCCATCAATTTACCGTCGTGGCTAATAAAACTGCATATATGATCGTATGTGAAATATAGACAGGGAAAAGTCCAAGTCGGTGTACTCATTAAAGCTAAAAACAGTGGATTCTCATCACACATGACTCTACTTGGCAATGGTCATGTTTTGCTACATTCTCAATCCGATGTGTTTTTTAATATTCCATATTGGATAAAAGACAATTCTACTCCAATTCCTGGAACTGCCACCAAAGTTGCTTTGGGAATGTCCACATTGACTGCTTCTCAATTACAGATCAAAAATATTCCCAAAAGTATCACTCATAATATTATAGATTTTCAACGATTGGTAGACGGCCATATGACTGTTATTCGAGAAAAATCAGAATTAATACACAGCGAATTGATTAAAGGAAGATCGCAAAAGGAAATCTCAAAAGGAGTCGATTTTAGCACTGCAGACGCTGCCAAGATCGCATTCGACGTTGTTCATCCCACTCACTCACAGTTGTATTGCACTTTTCTGTTTTTATGCAAAAATAACATGCAGTTTGTTCCTGCAGATACTTACAAATTGTTGGAATCAAGCATGTTTCGTCTTCGTCCAAAAAAAGAGCACGAGCAAATCAGTTGGATCATGAGTCAAGTTCGACAAACTATTTCGGGAAATGCCGACTCCCATTTTACTGCTTTCCTCAATAAAAGCAAAACCCTGATCCAATGGTTTCGCACTGGATCAACTGCTCTCGTAGAACGTCCATCCATCAACTTTACTGCAGAAGACAAGATCTTTATCAACACGATTCTTCAGTCGCTCTCAGTCGCTCAAAATTTCCCTTCTTTTGAGCGTACATTTTCTTGGGTGCATGTTCTCAAGCGAATTGCTCCATTGTACTCGTTTTATCCTGGTGAAGCAGATGTGATTCTTTTTCTCAAAGAAATAGGTGTTCATGCACCATGGGAAAACATAGCTTTGCATCAATCTACAAATATTGGCAGACCATCGTTCATGTTTGGAGAAGAAGGTGATCTCGTCACTCAAAAATCAGATGCTCTTGGTAGAGAATTGTGTGTAAAGCACAATATTGCTGTTGAAGAGAGCGTGTTTGAAAATGCTGACACTGCAGTAAATACAGAATGGAGTGTTGCAGATCGATTTTCTACCCAAGTGATTGCATTTCCTTCTGCCATGAATCCCCTTTCAACCGAGTCTAAATCCACTAAAGCATTTTATGAAAATGACATAATGGCTTCGTCGCGTGTGGACTTTGGCCAACAGCCCGTTTATATTATCGACTCTTCAACTGCAAATGAGCTTGATGATGGTATTTCTTTGGAAGAAACCCCTCAAGGCACATGGATTCATATTCATATTGCTGATCCTACTGCATACATTCCTCCCAATCACGAACTATCGCTGTTGGCTCAGTTGCGTGGCAATAGTTTGTATCTTCCAGAGCGCCATTTTCCAATGATGCCTGATTACCTCAGTAGTAAACTTATGGGCTTGGATGTGTCGTCCTACTCTCTTACATTCAGTGCTCGTTTATCTACTAATGGCGAAATTATTGACTACAAAGTTGCACCTGGCTATATTCGCAAGCCTGTTGTGACTCGTTATGATGATGTGGACAATGTGCTTGACTGGAGTCAGGTTTATGGCATGGACGCTCCCCGCGACTCGGTCTCTCCTTGGACACGTACTTTTTTAGACAATCATATCTCTAAAATGTCTGGAAAAGCAACTCCAGATGCTAATGACACAGCTTCTATCAACAAGATCAAGACTACTGCCCCAGTAGCCAACGTATTGACTGAAAATGATGCATCTAATTTGAAGAAACTTCACCAGTTTGCATTGCTGCATCAAAAACATCGAATTTCTCAAGGCGCTTTTATCCCTGATCAGATCAATGCCTCAGTGCGAGTTGAACCACATCCTTTACCATTAATATATGATCCCAAATCACCACTAGCTACACCAGATGTAGTCATGTCTGAACTAGAGCTTTCTCATTTGTCGCCATCACATATTCTTGTTTCTGAAATGATGATTATTGCTGGTCGTGTTGCTGCCAAATTCTGCCAGGATCACAATATTCCTGTTCCATATCGTGGACAAGCATCTGTTTTTGACTCGCCAAAAATACAATCTGAAAACCAACTCAAGAAGCATGATACACAAAAGTATATTGAAACCATGTTGAGCACACGCGATCAAGAAACTGGCATACTTCCAATGAGTTCCATGCTGGAAATAATCAGGTATCTCCCGGCTGGTCAATGGAGCACTAAACCAATTTGCCACTCGTCTATGGGTATTCATGGTATATGCCCATTAACTATGAGATCCACTGCTGATAGAAATCTTGAATCGTTTGGACAGCCACCGTCTTTGTCAAGTATGACTGGATATGTAAAAGCATCTAGCCCACTTCGTCGCTACAACGACATTATGGTTCATTGGCAAATCAAGTCAGTTTTTCTCCGCAAACAAATGCACTCGGATCCATCAGCTAAATTGTCTAAAATAGATACAACACCATTTTCTCTCAATCAAGTGACTCAATTGATACCCTTTTTGCAGCGATCAACATTAACTATCAATGACATGTCCAATAGAGCTGGAAGATTTTGGAAATTGGAGTGGGTTCGTCGTAGAGAATTGATGTCGCTTCATGGTGATGCTTACGATCCAAACCTCTTGAGAATGGTTTCACCTCGAGTGACTAAAAATGGATCTATACTTTCTGCTGCTGCTATTGCTCCCTTGGATTTTAAATCCACTGCAATCAAGACTGATCAAGTGCGTAAGCAAGTCAATGTTTATACAGCAATTGTGGTGGAGTCGCCTGAATTGAGAAAGAATCAGTTTGCACGTGTTCAGGTCATTGAGCTGGGTGGACTGCGAACCATTTGTGAAATGTTGGATGAGGATGGTGAGCTAACTCCTTTGGCTACGGTTATTCAATGCGTGGTTGAAAAATGCGATCCAAGCATGGGTCGTCTGCAATTGAAGCAAATTTGATGTGAATTTCAGTTATCTTGATATCTTCATACAAACAGTATATCAATAAATCCTCTATATCTACAATTTTAAATAGTCGATATTGAATCAATGCAAAGTTTCCTTTATTGTTTGGGTTTCAAATCTCAAGAACTGTATTGCTACGCAGACGCTCAAGAGCAGCCTTTTTAGCTTCCTTGCGCCGTTTACGATCAGCAATCGCGTCAACTTCTAAATGTTCTGCAGCCTCCTCATCCACAGGCAAAGGTCGCTTTATTGTAGTCTTTGTCTTGACAGGTCTGGCTGCACTAGAAGCCTCGTGGCGTGGCTTATCAGCAGGCCGAATAAACTTTTTACGCTTTTCCATACTTTCTGCAATCAAAACCTGATCTTCTTTCTCATTAAACTTGACATCAACACTAGATTGCGCTTCCTCCTGTTCGTTGCCATTTGTAGCAGCAGTACCATTGCTATTTTTTGTTTTCAAACTGCCAGGATACTTGTTTGAAGTTTTCTTCAATTTAGCCACAAAAAACCCATCCATATTCTGAGTATGTGGATAGTATCTTCTAGTAAGCGCCATACTGGGATGAAACTGCTTGCCTCGAAAGCTGATAAACCCTTCGCGTCCAAAATCAAGACCCGAGTCAACCAGTTTGACATTGGGTCTCCTGTTAAGAGCGTAATTGATCACCTCTTCGTTTTCTTCAACAGTGATGGCACAGGTAGAATAAACAAGGTATCCTCCTGTAGAAGAATGAGCATCAATAGAATCAATTGCCGAAAGAATAAGTTCCTTTTGGATCTGAGTGAGAATTTGGAAATCTTCGTCTCCCTATATTACACATTATGTTCAATCAAAAAAGGTTGGCAGATTGAGCAAGTGTCAGTATTAATCCAAGCAACAATTCGTTTTTACTGCCATCAAGCATGTGAGTATACCTTGTTGATTTTTACAGATTGATCTTTGGAGATAACGCCTGTACCGCTGCAAGGTGCATCCAAGAGGACACGATCAAATCCACCAATTACATTAGGAAACTGCTTTCCGTCATAACAGCAGACAACAGTGTTACGAACACCCATGCGGTGACAGTTGGCATTAAGACTTTTGAGACGATCTTTGCTAATATCATTGGCAAACAAACATCCAGTGTTTTTCATTAGCGCAGCAATGTAAGTGGTTTTACCACCTGGTGCTGCACACATGTCAAGAATACGTTCGTTGCTTTGAGGAGCAAGCGACATGACTGGAAGAAAAGAAGCAGCAGCTTGAAGCATGTAGTGCCCTGCAAGGTACTCGGGTGTAGCTCCAATGGGCACCGGAGAGTCAAAAACTTGAATGCCTACTTTGGACCATTTTCCAATAGGTTCAAGATTCACTCCACGATTAATAAGGCACTGGGCAAGATCACGACGGCGGGTTTTTAATGTATTGGCTCGAATAACTACGGGACGAGCAACTTCGTTGGCTTCAAAAAACTCAATCACCTCGCCAAGATCAAACAAATGGAATAGTTTTTCTGCCAAAAAGTGGTTATAGCCATAATAATAGGCAATGTCTTTGATGAGTTGATCAACGTATTCTGATCGAGATCTAATGCCAAGAGTTAGTATGTTGAAAGCAATACACATTTATATAAAATGCTAAAACCAACCTGTCGGCCTCGCGCATTGTTTTAAAGTTTGACAGTACACGGATAACCTCGTTGATGCGAGTGTGAACCATGGCAATGTCTTCAGTTTCATCAGAATCCTTTTCAATGTCCTCCCCAGACGGAAGAACAAACTTTTCACGCTCCTCAAGATTAATCTTCAACTCTTCCTCGGCAAGCCTATCATCCTCTTTTGCTTTGGCATCTTCCTCATGAGCCTCACGCTCAAACTCTGTATCGAATTTTTCAGATGCATCCGAATCCATTTCCTCCTCATCAGAGTTGAATTGGATCTCCTCAGCTTCTGCTGGCATGTCTTCATCAAACTCTGCATTTTCCCAAGAATCACTCTCATCTTCCCAACCTTGACTTTCCTAAATATAAAAATATACATTGTATAAATAGTTTAGGATCGTGTACTAATGCATGCAACGCAGAGTCACATACCTCGCTGTCGTTGGCATCACTGGTATCCAGATCATTCAAAGTTTCAACAACATCATCGTCACTTTCTAAATACTCAAACTCTTGCTCATCATTGTCCGATTCCGACTCGATAGATTCAACTCTAAAATAGGTAAAATGACAACAACATAGTGAGTAGATTGAACTACATGAGCAGATTCAAGTACAAATACATACGGTGGTGGTTTTTTGGGAGAACCCTGTGCTTTGGCATTCTTTTTAAAATTACTTGAACTAAATGTTGTAGATGTGAAATAAAATTAGCCATTCAGTTCAAAACTACAAAATCTGAGCATGACATGAATGCAATAATATACTTTTTTGAAGACTCTGATTTGAATGCCTGCTTTTTTTTGGAAACTGTTGAAGCAGGTTCAACATGCTCAACATGATTTTTGGCTAAACATGATTTAAAATAACAGGTAAGTGATCCTTGGATAAATCTAAAAGATTGACAATCAGCATTCAAGGCAATATAAAATAGATTCAGACAAGTCGTACTTTTCTTGGAAACGTTTACCGAAGCACTAGTCTTGACAAATTCAATTTTTTTAACATTGTCAGGATCGACATTGTCAGCTTGTTGTCGCTTTATGATTTTTTTAACTGTATGTTCAGCGAGAGGAGCCGGATCCCTTTGCTTGTTTTTTGCCTGACGAGACCGATTGCCCATTTTGAAACGTAGATTTATATATCTTTATATGTGCCGAGTAATTCAGTTCAGACAGGACAGATAACTTATAGAAATGCTGCAACTATCCAGCACTTGGATTTCTTTTTTTCGATAAAATAAAAATATTCAAATTTGACTGAAAGTGGAAGTAAATCACGTGGTATAGTTTCTGGCTCAAGAATTTGGTAGTCACGCGGCTTACTCGAATGAGCTGTTCAGCAAGTCGACTTTGTTGACGGTTGGAGTACTTTGTTGACTGTTGGAGTACTTTGTTGACGGTTGGAGCACTTTGGTGTACGACAGTGTACGACAGTGTTTTCAGGATTTATTACTGATTAAACGCCAGTACTGGATTTATTAGGATTTTGGATCAACATTCAAAGCATGCAAGGGAATCAGCAACGGCGTCGGTCTAGTCACAAGGAAAGCATCAAGGACGATTTAGTAAATGAACGGGATGTTTTTGGAAATACACCGTTGATGGTCGCAGTGGTTGAGATTGCTTCCAACTGTGTCAGTTCTGATAGTTTAACTATCCCGGATTACGAATCAAAGCGAGCATCGATATTGGCACTTGCAGAGTCTCGCAAACTCAATATTAATCTGCAAGATTTGGAGTCTGGATATACTGTTCTACACAAGGTAAATACAAGAGTTGATAACTACCGGATTGAACAGCATTACCAATCATCCGACTTTGTATTCTAACTTGTGCCCAAATGCAGTGCATTTATCACGGCAATTTGGACATCTTTTTAAAAATACTTCAGCTTCGACCTGATGCAAATCTCGGCATTAAAGACAAGGAGGGTTGCACATGTTTAGACCTTTTGAATGTGCGTATTACCCATGTTTTGATTTCAATCAGTAGCATTGCATGGCGCAATTGTCAAATTTATAAGCTTTGTTTTTAGATTACAATGAAACAGCCTAGACTGTTTGCAGATCTAGATTCACCTAGTGGGTATCTGCATCAGATTAACAAAGAAAATCAAACTGGACCATATTTGCATCACAACGGATCTACAGCTACATACGCGGTTGAAGATACTACTAGCCATGATTCAGATGGCGTTGATACATTTCTTGATGATCAGTCATTTCCAAATAGCAGCACTTTGTTAAACCCAGCAACCTCGGTTTGGAGTTGGGGCTCAAATAAGAATTTTGTATGTATTCGACGCCATGTCAATACTGAATCATATTGCTATTTTGATATCTGATCTTGTCCATGGTACTATTATTTTTATTCAACGAGTTTAGACTTTAGGATTTCCAAATACCCAAGATCGAGCAATCCCTGAACAAATAGATCTTGTACATTCTCTTCACACAACTGGAAATGTGCCTGTATCCTATGCTACGTTATCAGAGTATGATTCACAGGTTGAGCAAGTGGTCATGTCGAAATATCACGTTTGTATTCGTACCAAGGATCGATTGTATACACACGGGTTTGGAGGTGGTGGAAGACTCGGACTTGGTCATGAGGAAACCACGATGCGTCCGACAGAAGTAACTGAATTGACAAACAACATTGGGTTTGTAGCTGCAGGTCCTGATCATACTATTGCCATTACCTTGAATGGTGATGTGTGGACTTGGGGCAGTAACAAATATGCTCAGCTAGGTATTCAATTGTATTACCTAGTCATTTGTTTTTTGATTGGATGCTCGTAAAACATGTGGATAATTCACTCATTCGAATATTTGATCATTACTGTTTTTAGGCTACTATAGTGAAGCATCTGGTGACAGTTTACCACGTGAATGTCATCCTCAGATGGTCCAGCTTAAAAAAACAGTATGTGTTGGTGGAGCTGGATCAAAGTATCACTCGGTTGTATATACTACTTCAGGTGTGATTTACACTTGGGGAACAAACAATGGCCAACTCGGTACGTATTCTGAATCAAGCAGTTGAATGTGCTATAATACGTGTTCGACCTTTTTTAAATTATACCAATACCTGTCATCTACCTTTAACTGTTTCAGGTTATCAACAGCCAGTGCAAGTTGTGCCAAGAAAAGTGACTTCGTTTCCTGTTCAAATGATCTTATCTGTTGCTTCAACCAATTGCTCTACAGCTGTGTTGGTGGGGAGTTTTGATGTCTATGTTTTTGCAGAAAACAAGATTTCCAAGGTTGTTTTTCCATTTTCTAAACCGCTCAAATCGTTCACTCGCCCGCAATCTTCAAATGCTTCTTTATTGATGTCAGGATCACGACCTTCTCAGCCTGCAAAGCACGGTTCTGGATCATCCCATACGGGTTCTCGCTCTGTTGTTAAAATTGTGTCTGGAAACCATCAATATGCTGCACTCATGTCAACAGGCGATGTGTACATGTGGTCACCGCCTGAATCTCGGTTTCAAGACTCTTGGCAGCAAGTCAATTTTCCACAACAGCGTCCAAAACTGGTTTGGTCTGTGCGAAAAAAGTTTATGGCTGCTCATGATGTAGATATTGGAGTTGACTCGAGTATTATTATTGGTACGATTTCTGGACATGTATTTGTTGGAACCCGTCGTGTGCAGGCTCAATCTACTCAACCGTTGGCATCTAGTGAACGATCCGTTTATGTTAGTCCAGCTGTTGCGGCTGCCAAGATGCTAAATGAATCATCAGTGCCTGGAGCTTCTAGTTCTGGAATTGCATCAACCTTGTCGTTGGCTTCGTATTTTTCTCAAGGTGGACTATCATCTATGCACCCAAAGGACTCCAACGTGTTTTTCAAGTACACCATGATTCCAAATCTGCAGCACATTGTCATGGTTGTGGCTAGCTCTGGCGGTGCGTTTGCTGCAGTAAGATCTGACTGCAGGCCATCCCTACCACCACTTCCTGACAACCAGTTATCTAGTGATTTATATCGAGCTCTATATCCGTTACCATTGCATCTTGAGCAGTTTCAACAGCAGCTAACCATTGACCATTACAAGAGTTTGGAAACCCCTAGTTCAGATCAATCGGCCAACTTTCCAGTTGATGCAGCTATTTCTCATATTGAAGCTCCGCTGTTTCCCGTTTTTGAACCACCTGAAATATTTCCCAACTCATCATTTGATATTGAATTTGAATTTGAAGGATGTGTAAAACTATACGCCCATCGAGCAATACTTGCAGCACGCAGTCCTGTATTTTGGTCTGCATTATCATCCATAAACTGTGCAGACTCGCCAACTGAATACATTGCCAAATCTCCAAAAAAATCAAAATCTCCGGAAACTAGACATATTGGTTATGCAAGTAGTCTCAAGTCGTTGCTTGATACGATGACGTTTCCAGAAAAAGATGTGCCGCTTGTGCGATTTAGGTTTCCCCATATACACTCTGCAAGCGGGAAATCATTTTTATATTTTGTATACACTGGCTGCATATATACTGAATTTTTATTGAGCGATTCCGTATTTACATCTGAAAATGATTTCAATGATCAAAGTTTTGGTTCCACCGACAAACAGAATAACCACAGAAACTCAAACCTGTTTAATCGTGCTCAAATAGAATTTACCAAACTGGCACGTTGTTTTGAACTAGATGAAACCGAGATTCTTTATGCTAACATCAAAGCAGGACTAAATCCTGTATCTCCGACTCTTGCTCCAATTACACTCTTGCCGCGTGCCAAGTCTGATCGTATATGTTACACCAATGAAAGGTTCCAGAAATCTATTTCAGCGCTTTATCATCGTCATCGAGATCGATTCACTGACGTTGTAATACACTTGGCAGATAATCATAGAATAGAGGCTCATTCTGTTATTTTATCTGCCCGCAGTACGTTTTTTAATGCAATTGTTGGCCCTGGTTCTCTGTGGAATTGCCATGCTGAAACAGATTCATGTGCACCGCTTTTAAAAAAGCAAAACATTGACTTGACACACATCTCGCATGCAGTATTTCTCGTGGTTATAGAATGGATTTACACAAATGCAGATGCAAGTACGCTATTTGAATCTTTAAACCACTCGAATCCAGCAGAATTCATCGAGTTTGTAACAAGCGTGATGGCTGCAGCAGATGAACTTTTACTTTCTGATTCAACCTACCTCAAAGATTGCTGCAGTGATATTTTAGTCCACTTGCTGGACATCAAAACTGCAGTCAGTTTTCTTAAAATAGCCGATCGATATTCCTCAGCTCGACTCAAAAACATATGTCTTGATTTTATTTGCTGGAATTTGGAAACATTCTTGGAATGCAGTCGTTGGTTCAGGGATTTGGACGAGTTTATGATATTTGGTATTGAATCGAGGCTGAGGGTTTTGCAAACACAAAAGTCGCCGTGCATGCGTGGGTCTGATGGGTTTTATGCTCAACTGAGAGCGAGAACAATCAAGGCTCAAGAAGCTTCAAATGAAAAGAAGCAGGCCGTTTATGAGATTCGAAAACAAGCTGGACTGAACCATAATACTATCAACGAGTCTGCAACTAGCGTTGGTACTACTGATTTACCGTTTATTTATGCTTCAAGTAATGTAGATTATGGCTTACTTAAAGAGAATGTCATTTCTTCGAGTAGTTTTGGAAGTAGATGCGCAATTGGAAGTCAAAGCACCATAAATAGTGGGTTTAGTGCATCAAGTACATATGGATCCGCGTCTTGTCCTGGTTCGAGTTTAAAGCCTGTTTGTAGATTCTCCAAAACACAAAACGCATCCATCACTTCGCCATTACTGAGCGCTGTTAGTCCTAGTTTATCAGCAATATCTCCTGGCGAATCTGGTACTGTGGGTGATCATCTTGATGAGCAAGTGTTTCAACTAGAACTAGATACTGATTTACCTGATCAGCAAGAAACCGTCTCAAAGAGTCGTGCAAATGACAAATTACCTCTTGTAGCGACATCGCGTCACAGAAAGCATGGTACATCTAGCCAAGCCGATCCAAACACTTCAACCTATTCAAGTGTAAAAAGTAAAAAATCGACATTTGTCAAGTTGGATGTGTTTGAAGCATCTTCAGACTCGTCCAAGACAACCGGAGCTTTTCCTGCTGGTAGCTCTTTGCCAGAAACTACACCTGTTTTAAAGGGCTGGTCTCCTGTGATGCAGCCAGTTAATACCGGGTATACATTTAATCTGTCGAGTTTAATTCATGGTATTTCACGGCCCAGCTAATTCATATACACATCATGATTTGTTTATTAGACCAAAGATGTCTTTGCGAGAAATCATGGACGAGACTCGTAAATCCGAGACTGGTTCTGGTTCTGGACCAAGTTTATCCATTCCAAGTCCGGTTAAACTTGGTCCAAGTGTATCATTTTTAATTGTAAGTGATCTGATGCCAAACTTGGATAAACAGCAAGCTCTATTGAATGTAGGGTATATTTTAAACACAACTATTGACTGGCCGTGTTTTATCAATTTGAACTAGCCACCATCGCCATCTTCTTTGAAACCTATAGCAAGATCCATTGAAAATGCACCTCATTCTCCATTCAACCTTGGTGAGCCAATGGAACCGTTAAAACTTGTCAAATCTAAACCTAGTCAGAAACAGCGCAAAAAGGAAGCTGCCAAGTTGGCGGCTCAAACCAATATAGTAGAGCTTCTGCCATCATCCTCGCCTGCATGGAAAACTATTCCTATTTGTGCAGATGTATTGACCAACAGTCTATCTGATACTCGTGATTTAGATGTTGAGTCGATCAATTATGCAACTTCATCGAGTTTAGGCTCGGTAACACCTTGGCCGAATACAGGGAAATCTGTCCCAACCAAATTTTCAACATCAGCTTCATCTGTGGTATTTACACCCGTTGTGAAATCTACCCGAAAACACTCTGGATCAATTGCTAAAACACAGCAAGGTCCCACTACTGATTCATGCAATCAGCCACGTCAACAGCAACAGAAACCACTTTGGCCGGTACAATCTTTTGCAGATATACAAAATGAGCAGGTCGTGGAAGCTCAAACGCTTGCACGTACACTTCAAAAATCACTACTTCGTATCCAGATGGAAGAGGAAGCTGTTCGGGCTTTGACGGAATACTATACCATGACGCAAGCCAATGGAACTGGCGAGTGGTTTCACATTCGTCGAGGCTTGTGACTGCCATAATTATTTGTTGATTGCATTCATAATACACTTTTTTCACTTGATTCAAAACGGGCGTGTTTATTCATCACTAGTAGCGATAGGGATTGAAAGAAGACAAGTGAATAGAGTGGTGTTCTATTGATGAGATTTGGATAGATATTTTTCAACGGCACGTTCAATCATGGGTGCCAAAACGGTATTGTTTTCGCTCATTAGCATTCCACGCACCATATTCTCGACATATTTGCCAACCTGATCCACCTCGATATTGACACGATCACCAATAGATTTAGTGGGCATGACGACAGATTTGAGCGTATGGGCAATCAACATGACGGAGAACTCGCGGGTGGACCAATCCACATCGATCACGGTCAACGAGGTACCATCCAGACAAACGTATCCCTTGGGAACAATGTACTGAAGGAAATCGGTTGAAGGAAGATGTGAGGATTCTCCAGCAGACGGAGTGCAAGCAGGCACATGAAACCTGTATGTGATGGAATTGGGTGGATCAGGAGTGATTCTAGTTATCGTTACGGTAGTATCAACATGTCCTTGAACAACATGACCTCCATATCTTGTAGTTGCAGACATGGATCGTTCCAGATTGACTTTATGACCAACCTCGAATTCTCCTAATAATAAAAAATGCAACGTTGTGAGGGATTCAAGATGACTCGAAGTAGAGATGAATTGCTCATGCCTTACCCAAGTTGGTTTTACGAAGTGTTTCAGGAGCAACACCGACCTTGAATGATGTTCTCTCTGAATCAAACTCGGTGACTGTCATGCAAACACCTAGCAACTCAATGTAGAAAGGTGAGTTTTGACCTGATTGGAAATGTCATTATGCTGTAACTTACCATTGATGGCAATACTGTCACCAATATGAACGTCAGTGAGAACCACTGAAGCATCAGAAACAGTAATAGAATATCCACTTCCTCCAGTTTCTGATGTGTCCATGACATCTTTTGCAGATACTACGCCCACTGTTTCCACAATCCCAGTGAACATGTTGAATGTCAATCACAGTTTTACAAACTTTTGAATTAGTTTTTGACAATCTGCATTCACGCACAATCGAACATTAAACAGTCTTGTGAAATGATCGAATCAATTCAAATGTTGTCTTTTAATGATCGTCATCAAGTTCATTCCTAAAAAGTTGATTCAACTTTGTGACTTTATGGTTACAACCAAATATGAATGTTACATGAATAGTCTGCTGAATTCCACTTCAACTTTATAAAAAAACTATTTTATAATTTCAATCTGAATTCACTTTAAAATCATTCATATATTCAAAGGTTTGGACCAAAGGTTTCAAGAGCAGCAGCAGAAGCTTCTTTGGAATCCTTGACAAGTTTAGATATTGCCTTGAACTGCTCATGCGTAGAATCCACCATCATTTGAAACAGGATAGATTCAGAACTTGTAATGATAGCACCAGCTTGCTCAAGCCTCTATTCAAATTCAAACATTATTGAATGTCAGTCATGTTGATTGATTGGTGATAAACTTGGAATAGAACAAACCTTGAGTGCGATCTTGACTTCATCTTTGTTGATTGAAGATACACCGTCTGCAAGCACATAGACATCAATATTGTTTCGAAGCAAGTCTAATGCAGTCTGAGTTACACATACATGAGACTAGATATACAGTTGTAAAGTAAAAGTCTTGTTAGTTGAACATGTTCAATGAACAACTTGATTCAATACAGTGTCTACCTCGATACCAAACAGCACTGCTGACTTGGATTGCAGTTTGTTTAAAACAAGATCCTTGACTTGATCCGTCCACATGGAGAACTTGGTCTTGGACAGACAACATACAGCGGTAGTCACATCCAGCTCAGCTGCTGTTGTTCCAAACGTTTTTGGAACATGTTCTGTCACAACAAGCGGTACTTTAAGAACCTTGGATGCTTGAACCTACACAATGTTCATCCACTCATGAGTAGAAGGATGATGGTTTGATGCACATTAAAATACTTACCATTTTATTGGCAGTAGCAACAACATGAGGATACTGCCAAATGTGTGGTCTGAATCGCTCTTGAATGTCACAGAGGAAAAATGCAGTAGATTGTGGGAGAGGAGTGGCCTGGATAGACATGGTTCTAGTGCGAACAGCAGTGGATAGAGCAGATGCAGTAACTCGCTGTAGTGAACCAATCGCAATACTTGACATGAAGATGGTCGCGAACTACAATAAAGCAAAACCAATCCAACTGTTCATCTCAAGTCTGGCTCATCATCACCTGGTCAGATTTCTACTATCAAATTACGACTATTTTTGTTGAAATATGTTTCTTAAATATGATTTTGGTCAAGTTCTGTCATACCAAACATGCTGTGTATTACTCAATAACTCACACATGAACTGCTTTGACATTTTATTTGCAAATGGTCGAGTTGTAATCATAAACTAATAAAATAAATTCATGATTCTAAAGGTTTTATCTTGAATACACAACTCTCATGGTACATTTTGGCTCAAGTATTTACACATGTACTATTACTGTAGATTGGATCAGACGTTCCATGAGATGATTGACCTGCACCATTGAGTTCAATAAGAAAGTCCATCAAATAGTCTTCGCGATTAAAATAACTAATAAATAGTTGGAATCAATTAGCAATTAGCAACTAGCGTGAACATGCAATCCATTGTATTACTTACCAGGCATATAAAGGTTCCCAAATAAGAATCCAGAAATTCATGTGCACGATAATAAGAGTAATCATGGCAACAATCATTTGAGCCCATGAATTGTGGAACAGTTTGGTAGCATTGAAAACCAAATTGAAAAAGAATGCTACAAGAGCAAATAAAAGCAAGATCTTATTTTCTCGAAACTCGTTAAATGCTGAAATGTGGATTCTCTTGCCTACATAGTATATGGATCCCTAATAAAAAGTACATGGTATAAGTTGCATGTTGATTCAAATCACCACTCGATTACTTACTCCCACAATGAAAATCATAAGACCAATCAAGGAAATGATGACAAACTTGTAAGTGGGATTGAATTTGCACTGGCCGGTTTCTGGATTTAAAAAGTTCACATACTCTTCAGGCAGAGAAAGACCAAAGATGGCGATCAAGATGGATGGTAGCAGAATAACGACCCACCAGAGTAGGTAATCCAGCCCCTGTACAGGTTTTGTCTAGCAACCAAGTATTAGTCATCAAAAATGAATTTGGTAGACAGCAATGAGTTTCTAATAACATGATGACCATCTTGAGGGTTAGCTTACCTGAACAATGACACGAAAAAGTCGGTATAACCTCAGCAAAATTGTAGTAACAATTGTCAACGAACCCAATGATATCTACAATGGTATACAAGACAATCAAGTAATTAGCAATGTACAATACTTTTTAGTTCTTTTTTGCAAACCAAGTGTTGTCAAGAACAGCAACACTTATAGTGCAACCAATAGGCGTATACAAAACATTGATACTTACTTGAACAACAACCGTCCAGAATGGACAACTGGGAAGAAGGTCAGGAACAATCAGCAGTCCAGCTGCAAGCATAAACCCATAAAACCAACAACATCCACCCATCAGCCCTAATCCAACTAGCAAAAGTTGTTTTGCTCGAAGTGGAGGATAGTCCATATTATACAATGCCAGAAAAAATGCAATCACATTGATAAGGAGAGTGATTGTCCCCAGTAAGAATGTGGTTGCTGCTTGAGGAGTACCTGCAATGCTACATAGGAAAAAGTCGCATTCTGCTGTGGTTGTTAACGTCTCGATTCTATTTCTCTTGACCAAAAGTGGCGGTGAAATAGTGGCTTGATTGGAGTCGAATGCAATTGAATCTGTGGTAGTTACTGATGCACCAACATTGCTAAACCACAGAACAGCTGAAATGATAATCAGTTGAATATATAAAAGTGCATGAGAGCGTATAGCACTACTCCACATAATACAGTAGTATTGATGACAATAAAAAGAACTTTAAAACTCAACACTAAAATTATATGAACGATCCGTGAATTTGAGCAACCCGAGTGCACAAACAGACTAATTGCCGTATTCAGTAAATAAGGGTAACAAAGTGCATAATAAATATCCAGTCTCATGACACAGTTGGTATCAAATTTATTGGACAACATTGTCGTGAACTCTAGTTGACTGGCATAAAAATAACTTGTTTTATCGAGATGTACAATCTTGGATATTCTAAACTATAGCGTATCTGCAAGTTTTTAAATACTACAGTTTGATTGTATACATCAATGATGGACACTGTTTATTGAAGAATTGAACGTGCCAAATTTAGTCTATTAAGAAAACACAACATTTAATCATTGACTTGCTCAAAAACAATACTCCATTTTACACAAATACAACTGTAATAATATTGATCAGTTGACACATGCTGATCAACGCAACTGGTGTGTATTGTATGTATTGTGTGCATATACATGTATGGCTTGATCACTCGGATGTACATACTCGACATATATACTGACACGACAATCAGATCGACAACCACCATCACAATCAGGTTGTATGTGGACAGTGTTGTGATGTCGAATGACTGGATCCAATTGCAGTATATATACGAGTCATACAACGAGTTATTGAACAAGTTGCTCAACGAGTCATACAAAGTTCGTGTTCGTGTTCGAGTGATGCAATACAATACAATGTGTACATCAATCCAGAATACGAGTCAACCATGACATATGATCATGATGTGTAGTCAATACAGCTATATAGTGACAATCGATATTGATATAGTAACACACAACATGCAATGCCAACACAACAGCTGCAAGTCACTGATCATCAATGTGACATTGTGATTGCAACATGGACTACATTGTATTGATTCAATTGATTGATTGAATCCATTGATGAACAACTAATAACTGAATATCAATTCAATCGCATACAGGTTTGCATGGACTGTGCTTATTTGATTATGATTTGACACACTAATCAGGGTTAGGGTGAATAAGGGCGGGAAGCTACACAATTGATCAATCAATCGTACGATGTTTGAATGTATAGCCGAGCAGCGGTTCAGTAAAAATTGCGGATCGTCATATAAAGGGATATCCCTTTAAAGGTTGACATTGATAACAAATCGGCACCAACCCTTACAAAAAAGCTAATTATTTAGGGTGACCACTCAGCATGCTTTTAATACTATTCACTCGACGGATATAAATACGATCAACCCGACCTGTTGAACGGCAATCGTCTGCAACTCGATCAAACCAGTAAAATGAAACTACCAATCGCCGTACTGTCATCGATCCTGCTTGTTTGTTCAGTCACTACAGCCAATCCAATCCATCCCAGTGCAGCTGCAGATGCTGAATTTGTCTCTTTGACAGATATTCCCAGTGCAACTACAGATGCCGAATCTAGTTTCTTGACAGTTGTTCCCAGTTCGACTACAGATGCTGAATCTAGTTTCTCGACAGCTATTCCCAGTTTGACTACAAGTACCGAGTTTAATCCCTCTGCAACTCCTAATGCAAACGGCATAGACTTGGGTAGTCTTGATTCACTTCCAGTTAACATCCAAGATTTGCTCAAAGAATATTCAAAAAGACGAAATGATTATCGTAAACATAAAAAAGAATGCAGACTGATAGATCTTATACATAGTAATCAACAAAGCATGATAACTTATACGGAGCAAAAGATCAAGGACCTCAAGCGTAAAAATTTAAAAGGCATGCTTAAGCTAAAAACCAGCAATGGTAATGATCAACTGAAGGAGCTTAAACTTGAACTTCAAGAAGGATATTCCAAACTTGAAGATCTTGAAGATAAGAAAAGAGCATGCAAATACAAGTCTACTAGTCTCGAGTATGAATTGAAACTCGTCAAAGTAGCTCTTGTGGAGAACATTTCCGGAAAACGTTTCAATCATGAATTATTTGATAAGCAAGTTTCGTCTGTCTTCTCACATCCTCTCGTTAAACAATACCTTGAAGGACTATGTGGTGGTGAACAATCATCAGCATGCAGTGATGATTCTGATCAAGATCCTAATGGTGGCAATTTTGAAGAGATTAGTGATGAAGAACTTGGTGATGAACAGCAAGAAAATCAAAATCCACAACCACAGCCTGGATCTCGCTTCTTTGGGCAGAGACTTGCTTTCTTTGGACATGAAGCTCCCACCTTTAGGCAGAGAGCTTCCACGTTTAGACAGAGAGCTTCTAACTTTGGACATAGAGCTTACTCTGGTGTGCGTAATGTTGTCTCCAGACTTGGTGATAGGATTAGATCGCTTGTCGAACAACTCAGATGTGGCAATCGATTCGAATGTTAATCTGGACTGGTTTCAACCGCTTCAACTGTCATTCTGATTCAACTTGCAATAAACTTGGATTTTCATTTAAACTTGCATGTATTGTATCTGATTATTCTACAGTATTGCTCATCATCATATTGTGTTTTGACACTTGCATTTTCAATACAATACATTTATTCTATACTATATATTTGTACACATTGATGGTTCTGACATACATGTGTACTGTGTCAATATAGTATTGCTTGACATGTCGTATTGACACATGACATGCAACACCAATACCAACAATAGTCATGTGTGTTGGCATCAGATCTGATCAATTTGACTCGTTGATTGTGTTAGACATTGGTAATTTATGACATTTGTAATAGGACCCAGACAGTCAGGATGGGGTTTATAGTAACAAGCATTGTATAAACAAGTAAGCTATACAATGCTTGGATATGGTGATGACCATTGCCTCACTTTATGCAATGACTGTAACGCTTGGGAACCCTTAACGGTGAAGCTTAGGAGTGGCGTTTATACCGTCACTAATTCACCACTACTACTTACTATATATAAGAGACAAAGTTCTCTTATCAATAAACAATCACGACTATTCTGATTCATTCCTTCTTCTTATCTTACATCTCTGTGATCTTCCTCTAAAACTTATACTACATAAATATGTCACTATACGTTAATGAACAAGAGATTGTGGTGTCAATACTTGTATCAATAACCTGACTGATCACACATCGACATGCATGTTCATGTTCATACATGTCCGTACATACTTGTACATACCAAAATTACACTGTAAATACTCGATCCAATGTATAGTTGATGTTCACATTTGTCTTGGATCGCGTCGATTTAAACTCTGTTACGTATTACAACTTGGATATACAATGCCAACAATATGATCATCACGCAACCAACAATCAACAACGACAACCATCACATATTGACACTGTGTCCATTGTATCCATTGTATCCAATATGCACACATTGGTGTATATAATGATCGTATAGAGTCGACTGATGCAATACAATCATGTCAAGCATACTATTGCATTGTTGATCATCGTGTTTGCATGATAATGGTGTGTATGGTTGACTGAACCACCACATACACGTCATGATATACTTGCAGCAGTATATCATATTACACTGTTGATATCTTGCATTCAATGTTAATGCAATGTATCAACACACTTGATATGGTTGGTGTTGATTGTTGCAGTCGTCGAGTGCCGTCATTGGTCATGCATTACCAGTTGTGTGTGATTGACATTGACCATCATGTCATGTATTCAAATGCAACATATCAACATACACCATGGCATGTGTGACATGTATGATTGACTATAACTGGTGTGGATTACAATCAATTGTGCACGATAGTTTGATATCGATTGCAGTTGTTGATCGATACTCGGACTACCCGAGTTTGTATTTCTGGTTGTATTCATGACTGGATGTTTGATTGGATACTTGACATGACTGGCCATATATGGTTTGCACAACAGTCTGGATTGTACAATGATCACTGTCCAGATATACATGTCAAGTGCGTGTATAACCAGGTTGACGATATTGACCAGTTGACACATGCTGATCAACGCAACTGGTATGCATTGTATGTATTGTGTGCATATACATGTATGGCTTGATCACTCGGATGTACATACTCGACATATATACTGACACGACAATCAGATCGACAACCACCATCACAATCAGGTTGTATGTGGACAGTGTTGTAATGTCGAGTGACTGGATCCAATTGCAGTATATATACGAGTCATACAACGAGTTATTGAACAAGTTGCTCAACGAGTCATACAAAGTTCGTGTTCGTGTTCGAGTGATGCAATACAATACAATGTGTACATCAATCCAGAATACGAGTCAACCATGACATATGATCATGATGTGTAGTCAATACAGCTATATAGTGACAATCGATATTGATACAGTAACACACAACATGCAATGCCAACACAACAGTTGCAAGTCATTGATCATCAATGTGACATTGTGATTGCAACATGTCAATCAACTGTGATTGTAAATTATACAATATCACAACACATTGATGACCAACTAATAACTGTCAGCTCAATCGCATACAGGTTTGGAGGTTTGCATGGACTGTGCTTATTTGATTATGATTTGACACTAATCAGGGTTAGGGTGAACAAGGGTGGAAAACTACACAATCAACCATACAACGTTTGGATGTATAGCCGAATAGCGGTCCAGTAAAAATTGCGGATCGTCATATAAAGGGATATCCCTTCAAAGTTTGAAATTGATAGCAAATCGGCATCAACCCTGATAGTAACATCAATCCCTTAGGACGGTCATCCAGCATGCTTTTAATACTATTCACTCGACGGATATAAATACAATACAAAACTGACCTGTTGAATGATAATTGTCTGCAACTCGATCAAACCAGTAAAATGAAACTATCAGTTGCTGTACTATCATCGATCCTGCTTGTTTGTTCAGTCACTACAGCCAATCCAATCCATCCCAGTTCGACTGCAAGTACAGAATATGTCTCTTCGACAGCTATTCCCAGTTCAACTACAAGTACCGAGTTTAATCCCTCTGCAACTCCTAATGCAAACGGCATAGACTTGGGTAGTCTTGATTCATTTTCAGATGATATCCAAGATTTGTTCAAAAACTACTTGAAAAAACAACATGACTATGATGAACATAAAAAAAAATGCAAATTGATAAAGCTTCAATTTGAGGATCAACAAAAACTAGTAAAACATACAAGGGAAAGGTTTGGCAATTTGAGACGTACGGCTCAGAGAAACGGTCGCGGCAATTCAAAATATAGCGATGATGATGAAATGAAAGAGCTTAGGAATAAGTTTCAGGAAGGACATTCCAGACTTGGCGAACTTCAAAGAAAAAAGAACAAGTGTAGATTCGAGCTTAGTCATTTTAATCAACAGCTGGATTTCGCCAAAGTAAATCTCGTGGAGTTCATTTTTGGAGCATCTTTCAATCTTGAATCGCTCGATGGCCAACTTTTGCTTATCCTTTCAGATCCTTACGCTAAACAATACCTCGGCGAATTATGTGGTGGTGAACAATCATCAGCATGCAGTGATGATTCTGATCAAAACTCTAGTGATGGACAGCAGCAACATCAAAATCTTGATGATGACAGTTTTGAAGAGATTGATCTTAATGATCCTAGTGATGGAGAACGTCAAGATCCGCAACCGCAAACACAGTCTGGATCTCGCTCCTTTGGACAAAGAGCCCCCGCCTTTAGACGAAAAGCTCACACCTTTAGACGAAGAGCTCGCACCTTTAGGCAGAAAGCTTCCGCCTTTAGGCAGAGATTTGTATCCTTTAAACATAGAGTTTCCTCTGGTATACGTAAAGCTTTCTCCAGACTTGGTAGTGGGTTTAGATCTCTTGTTGAACGATTCAGACGTGAGAATTAATCCGAGTGTTAATATGGACTGGTTCAACTGTTTCAACTGTCATTCTGATTCAACTTGCAATAAACTTTGATCGTCATTTGACATTGGATATACATACACCATGACATGTGACATGTGTGATTGACTACAACTGGTGTGGATTACAATCAATTGTGCATGGTAGTTTGATATCGATTGCAGTTGTTGATCGATACTCGGACTACCCGAGTTTGTATTTCTGGCTGTATTCATGACTGGATATTTGATTGGATACTTGACATGACTGGTCATATATGGTTTGCACAACAGTCTGGATTGTACAATGATTACTGTCCAGATGCACATGTCAAGTGCGTGTATAACCAGGTTGATGATATTGACCAGTTGACACATGCTGATCAACGCAACTGGTGTGTATTGTATGTATTGTGTGTATATACATGTATGGCTTGATCACTCGGATGTACATACTCGACATATATACCGACACGACAATCAGATCGACAACCACCATCACAATCAGGTTGTATGTGGATCATGTTGTAATGTCGAGTGACTGGATCCAATTGCAGTGTATATACGAGTCATACAACGAGTTATTGAACAAGTTGCTCAACGAGTCATACAAAGTTCGTGTTTGTGTTCGAGTGATGCAATACAATACAATGTGTACATCAATCCAGAATACGAGTCAACCATGACATATGATCATGATGTGTAGTCAATACAACTATATAGTGACAATCGATGTTGATATAGTAACACACAACATGCAATGCCAACACAACAGTTGCAAGTCATTGATCATCAATGTAACATTGTGGTTACAACATGAACTGGATTATATTGATTCAATTGATTGATTGAATCACTCGATCAATACTAATTATGATTGATCGTGTCGAGTTGAGTGGAAAGTACTACTAAACCACAACATGTTTGAATCATGTCAATCAACTGTGATTGCAAATCATGCAATATCATAATACATTGATGACCAACTAATAACTGAATGTCAGCTCAGTTGCATATAGCTATGCATGTTTACATAGCACGCACTGGTTTTTTAGATTGTGGCTCACTAGTCAGGGTTGGGGTGAATAAGGGCGGAAAACTACGCAATCGACCATACAACGTTTGGATGTATAGCCGAGTAGCAGTTCAATCAAAGTCACAAGCCACCATATAAAGGGAGGTCCTTCAAAGTTTGACATTGATAGCAAATCAACACCAACCCTGATAGTAACACCAATCCCTTAGGACGGTCTCCAAGAAATATGCTTTTTAATATTATCCACTCAATAACCGACATAAATACCATCTAAATCCGACCTGTTGAATAACAATCATCCACAACTTGTTTAATCAAACCAGTAAAATGAAACTACCAACTGCTGTACTATCATCAATCCTGCTTATTTGTTCAGTTACTATTGCCAAACCAATCCGTCCCAGTTCGACTACAAGTGCCGAGTCTAGTCCTTCGTTAATTCCTGTTAGCGGTCCTGTAGACTGGAGTGACGTCTTTTCGGCTTCGCGTGAGATGAGAGGATTTCTCAAAAGCTACTTGGAAATACAAAGTAGCTATGATGAACATAAAAAAGAATGCGACCTGATAGAGCTTCGACATAATAATTATTGGAAAATGATAAATTTTATGGAAACAAGGATCTCGGAATTGAAAAGTAAAGCTCTAAAAGACAGAACTAAGCTAAAAAATGATGATGACGATGCTGAGATAAAGAAGCTCGAGAAAAGACTTGAAGAAAAACGTTCCGACTTTGTCGATCTTAAAAGACAACATAACGGGTGCAAAGTTACAAGTGATTGTTTCGATCAAGAATTGATACTTGTCAAAACAAGTATCGTACAGTACTTTATGGAAAGCCGTTTCGATCAAGAATTGCTCGAGAAACAATTTTCGCAAGTCCTCTCAAATTCCATCATTAAAAAATGTCTCGACGAATTATGTCAAGAATCATCAGCATGTAGTGGTGGTTCAGATCAAGATCCAGAGCCGTTACCGCAAATACAGCCTGAATCTAGCTCCTTTGGACAGAGATTCGCTTCCTTTAAGCAGAGATTTGCCACTTTTGGACAGGGATTTTCCTCCCTTAAACAAAGATTTACCACCTTTAGACAGAAAGCTTCCACTGGTTTACGTAAAGTTGCCTCTAAACTTAGTCATGGAGCTAACTTACTCTTGAGTCGAATCAGGCGTGAACCCAAAGATAATTGATTTGAATCCTAATCTGGACTGGCTCAACTGTTTCAACTGTCATTTTGATTTAATTTACAATAAAATATAATCGTCATTTGACATTAAATATACATACACCATGACATGTGTGATATGTGTGATTGACTATAACTGGTGTGGATTACAATCGATTGTGCATGATAGTTTGATATCGATTGCAGTTGTTGATCGATACTCGGACTACCCGAGTTTGTATTCCTGGTTGTATTCATGACTGGATGTTTGATTGGATACTTGACATGACTGGTCATATATGGTTTGCACAACAGTCTGGATTGTACAATGATCACTGTCCAGATATACATGTCAAGTGCGTGTATAACCAGGTTGACAATATTGACCAGTTGACACATGCTGATCAACGCAACTGGTGTGTATTGTATGCATATACATGTATGGCTTGATCACTTGGATGTACATACTCGACATATATACTGACACGACAATCAGATCGACAACCACCATCACAATCAGGTTGTATGTGGATCATGTTGTAATGTCGAGTGACTGGATCCAATTGCAGTGTATATACGAGTCATACAACGAGTTATTGAACAAGTTGCTCAACGAGTCATACAAAGTTCGTGTTCGTGTTCGAGTGATGCAATACAATACAATGTGTACATCAATCCAGAATACGAGTCAACCATGACATATGATCATGATGTGTGATTGATACAACTATATAGTGACAATCGATATTGATATAGTAACACAACATGAAATATCTGTTAGACATTGGTAGCATGTGATCCTTGTAATGGCACTCGGAGTGTTTGGATGCGCAGCCTATTGGGCTACACTGTGTATGTGCGTGTGTGGGCCTTTGTGTATAACGCATGTGGTTGGCTGTGAATACATCCAATCATGAAGGGTTTATAGTGATTAGGGTGTCCTCAAACAGTGACGCTTGAGCTGGGATCTATATAGCCTTCATCTATGTTTCTCCACAGCTCTCCACCCTATAAACCTGCTTTATTCCAAATTGTTAATAGACAACTCAATTACTTTATTAGTTCATTCCTTTGTATATTTGATCTACTATGATTTACTTTCCGACTATGACGATCATCAACATGCCGTCATATGTCGCAAGTTACAATGCCAACACAACAGTTGCAAGTCACTGATCATCAATGTGACATTGTGGTTACAATATGAACTGGATTGTATTAATTTAGTTTATTGATTGAATCCATTGATGACCAGCTAATAACTAAATTCAGCTCAGTTGCATATAGCTATGCAGGTTTACATAGCATGCACTGGTTTCTTAGATTGTGGCTCACTGACCCTTTTTGGGGTGAATAAGGGTGGAAAACTACACAATCGACCATACAAGGTTTGAGTGTATAGCCAAGTAGCACTCGGCAAATATTACATGCCACCATATAAAGGGAGGTCCTTCAAAGTTTGACACTGATAGCAAATCAACACCAACCCTGATAGTAACACCAATCCCTTAGGACGGTCTCCAAGAAATATGCTTTTTAATATTATCCACTCAACAACCAATATAAATACCATCCAAATCCGACCTGCTGAATAACAATCATCCACAACTTGTTTAATCAAACCAGTAAAATGAAACTACCAACTGCTGTACTATCATCAATCCTGCTTATTTGTTCAGTTACTATTGCCAAACCAATTCTCCCTACTGAAACTACAGATACTGTATATAACCCATCTGCAACTCCTAATCCAAACAGCATAGACTTGGGTAGTCTTGATTCACTTTCAGCTGACATGAAGAATTTGCTCAAAGAATACTCAAAAGTACATAATGACTATAATAGGAAAAAAAAGGAATGCGAATTGATAGATCTTGAACATAGTAATCTACGGAGTACAAAGAGTCATCTGGAAAAAAAGATTTCTAATTTGAAACGTAAAATGCTAACAAACAAGTTTAAACTAAAATCCAACAACGGCAACGATCGAATGAAGGAGCTTGAGCAGAAACTTGAAAAAGAAGAGTCTGATTTTGCCTTTCTTCAAAGAAAAAAGAACAGGTGCAAATTCGAGCTTAGTCGTTTCGATTATGATTTGGAACTTATCATAATAAGTCTTGTGGAGTTCGTTTTCAAAGAACCTTTTACTGCTCAAACACTCGATGGCCAACTTTTGCGTATCCTTTCACATCCTATCGTTAAACAATACCTCGGCGAATTATGTGAACAATCATCAGCATGCAGTGGTGGCTCTGGTCAAAGTTCTAACTTTGAACAGCAACGTCAAGATCCACAACCGTCACCGCAAACACAGTCTGGATTTCGCTCCTTTGGACAGAGACTCTCCTCTGGTATACGTAGTGGTTTCTCCAAATTTGGTGATAGGTTTAAATCGCTCATCGATCAATTCAGAAGTGAAAATTAATCCGAATGTTAATATGGACTGGTTCAACTGTTTCAACTTGCAATAAACTTTGATTGTCATTTGACATTAAATATACATACACCATGGCATGTGTGACATGTGTGATTGACTATAACTGGTGTGGATTACAATCGATTGTGCACGATAGTTTGATATCGATTGCAGTTGTTGATCGATACTCGGACTACCCGAGTTTGTATTCCTGGTTGTATTCATGACTGGATGTTTGATTGGATACTTGACATGACTGGTCATATATGGTTTGCACAACAGTCTGGATTGTACAATGATTACTGTCCAGATGTACATGTCAAGTGCGTGTATAATCAGGTTGACGATATTGACCAGTTGACACATGCTGATCAATGCAACTGGTGTGTATTGTATGTATTGTGTGCAT